ACCATGTCCCTCCCCTTTGCTTGCAGGATCCTCATATCCCCATAGTTCAGGTGACCCAACCCATCCCAATTCCCCACTAGTCCAAAGGGTTAGCTGTGAAATCTGCAAGTAAGTGTGAGTGTAAGAAGAGTATTATTCTTATTATCATTATTATTTCACCCTATTCTTCCTTCCACAGAAGCCCAGGGTGGCAAAGCAGCCAAACAATGGAATTAACAATAAAACAAATAAAAACAGTTAAAAATCATTAAGAGCATCTAAAAGCATTTTAATACAGCCGCATATCCGCACAGATAATACTGTCGAGGTTGCTGGAAACAGTCTCTTCCAGCCATCACCTTTTGAGTAAACATGTTTGAATTCCTCCTGAATGTTAATAACGAGGGAGATAGGTGCACATTACTAGGGAGGACAGTTTATAAATGGGGGGCCACCTCTGAGAAGGCCCTGCCATGGGTCAGCACCAAGCAGGCAGTGACCAGAAGCGGCAAAGTGTCCTCCACCACCAGTGGCGTAGCGTGGGTTGTCAGCACCCGGGGCAAGGCAAGTAATTTGCGCCCCCTAACCCGTGAGCCAGGTAGGGGCAGAGAGCTGCAAGTGCGAGCGTGCCCCCCCAGATGTTGTGCCCGGTGCGGCCGGCCCCCCCTGCACCCCCCACGCTACGCCACTGTCCACCACAGCTGCAGAAGACGCACAACAGGGAAGCAACAGAGCCCTGGTGTTAACAAGGTCAAGGATAGCTTTGAAGTCATGGAGATCTGAATGACCCAGGACCTTTCTGTGGAAGAGCACCCACATGCATGCATTAAGGCTGATGGTGTGTGTGGTTAGAATGCATATCAGATGTGGGGGGGGGGCTACTTAATGCCATCCCTTGACTCTCACTTATAATTTTAAGGTGTAAGTGGGGGTTGCCTAACCCCCATGACTAGGTGGAGTAGCTAATTATGGGGGCAATTTGGGAAGGGAAGGAGCCAAAAGGCAGTTGGTCCCAGCCAATAAGGCGTAGGGGACCTTTCTGTGCCAACCTTCTGTCTGACAAAGCAAGGTATAATAGCCACTGATGGAAACTCGGGGTTGGCATATCTGAAAGTAAGTGATGGAGGATGGAAACCCAGGTGAGTTTTGAAGTGTACAGATTGAGCAGCTTCTGCAGGAAGAAGACAACGTTTTAATTTATTTCATTCATTTCTCAACCACCCTTCCCAAGACAGTTTACAACAATTATAATAAAACCAAAAAAATAAAGGTAAAGGGACCCCTGATCATTAGGTCCAGTCGCGGACAACTCTGGGGTTGCGGCGCTCATCTTGCTTTACTGGCCAAGGGAGCCGGCGTGCAGCTTCCGGGTCATGTGGCCAGCATGACTAAGCTGCTTCTGGCGAACCAGAGCAGTGCACGGAAGCGCCGTTTACCTTCCCACCGGAGCAGTACCTATTTATCTACTTGCACTTCGTGCTTTCGAACGGCTAGGTTGGCAGGAGTAGGGACTGAGCAACAGGAGCTCACCGCGTCGCAGGGATTCGAACTGCCAACCTTCTGATCAGCAAGCCCTAGGCTCTGTGGTTTAACCCATAGCGCCACCTGCATCCCTATTAAAAACTGATTTCCTGTTTCCTTGAATCCCACCTGAGGGCGGGGACCATGCAAAGTCTCCCCTGCAAGAACAGGTGTTGTCTCACCTGTGCTTCCTGCCAACATCCTACACGTGCCCTTCCTTGGCCTTTCGCCTCCTAAGGATATGGAACAACCAGCTGGAGAAGTGAACACACCCTGACTCAATGGCTGATCAGGCAGCTGACACAATGACTTGAGTGGGCGAAGCCTCTTGCATCTGATCTGTATCTCCAAAGCTCTACAATATCTGTTCCCGCACATTATTCTTATAGAACACAATGTTCCAACTCCTTTCTGTGCAAGAAAGTAACTGCTGGAAGCCAGTTGCAGCTGCAACTGCTTCCAGTGCCACTCTGATGATGCCCGAATCCATCATGACCATACTTATATGGGATGAGCAGATTGATGGCCATAACTATACCAGCAACCTCACAGGAAAAAACTGAAATTCTAATCAATCTGTTCCTAACTGTGCTTAACGTTTATACCACCAGATCATCCCACTACCTATTGCTCAGAAGTAAAAGGTAAAGGACGCCAGGACAGTTAAGTCCAGTCAAAGGCGGCTATGGGGTTGTGGCACTCATCTCGCTTTCAGGCCGAGGGAGCCGGCATTTATCTACAGACAGCCTTCTGGGTCATGTGGCCAGCATGACTAAACCCAGGCATAGCCAAACTCGGCCCTCCAGATGTTTTGGGACTACAGCTCCCATCATCCCTAGCTAACAGGACCAGTGGTCAGGGATGATGGGAGTTGTAGTCCCAAAACATCTGGAGGGCCAAGTTTGCCTATGCCTAACTAAACCACTTCTGGCACAACTGGACACCGTGACAGAAACCAGAGCACACGGAAATACCATTTACCTTCCCGCCGCAGCAATACCTATTTATCTACTTGCACTGGTGTGCTTTCAAACTGCTAGGTTGGCAGGAGCTGGGGCAGAGCAACGGGAGCTCACCCCATCACGGGGATTCGAACTGCTGACCTTCCAATCAGCAAGCCCAAGAGGCTCAGTGGTTTAGACTACAGGGCCACCCGCATCCCTACATTGAGGCATGCTTTCAAAGAAGCATGCATTGGATTGCTGCCTTAAAAAACCCTTAGTCATGCTGGCATTTTGCTTACTTTGCTAGCATGACCGATACCACTGAGCATCAGCCCAAATCAATCCAATTAAAATGTTACCAATCCCTTGGAAGGAGGAGGAGATGGGGAGAGAGAAATACTGAGTCAGGCTGTATGTGTCAGTCAAACAAAACTGGAGTACATACAAAGAAACCAACAAAGTTTGTTGCCTCATTCAGAACAGGTTATGAATGACAGGGATGAGCGCAGTGGGCTTGGTAGAGGGCGGTGGCATACACCCTCAGTAGTAATGATCAGGAACAGGTTGGGGGGGTGGAACAGGCCACAGGTGTTGGTGTATGCAGAAAGTGCTGAAACACTTCCACATTGATGACTCTGCATATAATAATGATGCTACTGCCACTGTTTACTAACACTCATCAGGAAGACTCGTACGATAGTTATTTAATTTGTGCATGCTGAATTGCTTTCATAGTGTGTGCAGTGGCGTAGCGTGGGTTGTCAGCACCCGGGGCAAGGCAAGTAATTTGCGCCCCCTAACCCGTGGATTTGCACCCCCTAACCCGTGGATTTGCGCCCCCTAACCCTAACCCCCAGATGTTGCGCCCGGTGCGGCCGTCCCCCCCCACACCCCCCACGCTACGCCACTGAGTGTGTGTGATTTTCATAGTGACGAATCGTTATGTATATTATTTTGTTTGTTTCATAAAACGGATATACCACTTGATTGTAAAGACAATAAACAACCTCAAAGCGGTTTACAAAAGATGGAACAGTAAAATCAAGGGGGGGGGGAACCATAGAATCTTAGAAGTGTCCCAAGGGTCACTGAGACCACCCCCCTGCAATGCAGGACTCTCACATATGACTGACAGATGGATACCCAACCTCAGCTTTAAAACCTCCAAGAAAGCAGAGTTCACCACTTTTGGAGGGAATCCATTCCACTGTCGAACAGCTCTTACTGTCAAAAAGTTCTTCCTGATGTTTAGCCGGAATCTTCTTTCTGGTAACTTGGAGTCATTGGTTTGGGTTGTACCCTCCAGAGCAGGAGCAAACAAGCTTGCTCCATCTTCCATGTGATGGCCCTTTAGATGTTTCAAAATAGCTGTCATATCTCTTCTCAGTCTCCTCTTTTCCAGGCTAAACATACCCAACTCCCTAAACTGTTCTTTCTTCTGACAACTCTCAGATTTTTTTGCTTCAAAACATGCAAAAGGTAAAACACTCATGCAGATTAAAATTACCTCAACTTTCTAAGCACCTGGGTAAAAGGTAAAGGGACCCCTGACCATTAGGTCCGGTCGCGGACGACTCTGGGGTTGTGGCGCTCATCTCGCTTTATTGGCCAAGGGAGCCGGTGTGCAGCTTCTGGGTCATGTGGCCAGCATGATTAAGCCGCTTCTGGCAAACCAGAGCAGTGCATGGAAGCGCCGTTTACCTTCCCACTGGAGCGGTACCTATTTATCTACTTGCACTTTGACGTGCTTTCGAACTGCTAGGTTGGCAGGAGGAGGTACCACCTGGATAGGCTTGTCTAAGCAGGAATGTTTTTAGCAGGTGCCAAACAGAGTACAGTGAAGGCGCCTGCTTGGTCTCAATAGGCAGGGAGTTCCCAAGTGCAGGCGCTGCCACACTAAACTTACAAATGTGTGTGTGTGGCAATACTTTTATTAAGACCAACTAGAATGCCACAAAACAGTGAGCAAAAAGCTGGCTTGATGTTCAAGTCATAAAGTCAAGATGGAGTATCAGTTAAGGATTAGCCGCGAAGCTAAAAAAAATGAAAAAGTCAAAGAAGTCCACAATATTTTGCAAACAGATCCCCAGTAAAGATATGCTCACTGATTTCTGAGGTTTTTAAACTTACAAATAGGTGTCACACTTGTAGCAGCGCTAATTCCACCAATGGAAGTGGCCTAGTGCGCCCATCATGTGCTATTGTGAACATAATAGACATACACAGACATAATAAATGTGTTTGTTAGTCGCTGTGTAAAACATATATAACAATGACGAACCAAAACAGGCGTGTGTATATATATCTTAAAGACTAATGAGAACACAGCAACACACAAATACACACACGCATATACATTGAGAGAGAGCGACCAAAACTTCCTGAAAGGCGAAGTATAGCCATCCACTTAAATATGGAGAAAATAGCTCAGCCGCCCCGCTCCCTACGCCCCCCCCCCCAGCTGATTGCAGATGTTAAATCTCCTGCGTTGCAGAAGCGGAACAGTTGTCACCGGGCTGCTTGTTTCCTGGGGGGACTAAAAAAAAGGTGCAACGCAAGGCTGAGCGGCCTGCGAGAGCGCGTTGCCATGGGAACTGCCCGCGTCCTGCAGAAACGGCGATGGCCGCCTACGGGCAGGAAGGCGGGGAGCCCCGCTACGCTTTCCATCACCTCCCGCAAAAAAGCTTCCCAGTACTGGAGAGCAGGGACACCCGAGACCGCCTCCTCAAGTGGTGGGGAGAAGCGGCCATTCCTCCTGCGGTTTCTCAGGCAGGGGGAGGGGAGGAAAGGGGGAGGGAAAAGTGGGGTGAAATGCAAAATGGGGGTCAGTCTTCTGGGTAGAGGCTGCCCTCAGGACTGTGGGAGGGCAGGTTGCGTTTCAGCATCAGGATTTAATCGAGAGGCTTCACTGCTGTAATTGGAAATCTGCTCCAGAACTTAAATCACTTTTCAAAAAATAAAATAAAATAAAATGCCCCATTAAAGGTTCTTTTATCATTATTTTTTCCAGTGCAGAATCTCCTCATGCCTATTATTATTACTTGAAGAATACAAGCCTGACGGACTTCTTTTTCTACATTCCGCAGGTCCATGGATGGCAGAATCGCTGCACAGGCATTCAGCTTTGATCAGAACTTCAAAGGCTACCAGAGGGATGATTTCATTATGGTAGTTAACCTAATCTGGCTAGTTAGTTTAAAAGTGGGTTTCCTACAGTTGGGAGGGACACCGAAGGGTCATCTAGGCCAACTCCAGGAATCGCATCCAAGACAGAGAGTCATCCAACCTCTTGTTTAAAAACCTCCAGTGAATGAGCGAGTCCACCAGCTTTTGAGGTAGTCTGTAGATTTATAGGCCACTTTGGAATTTTGATTAAAATGTTCAAAGTGGTGTGTAATAAATATTACTAAGACGGAAGCAGCATTAAAATATCAAATGGCTCAAAGCACAACAGGGCAAAACAGCAGCATGCATTATTTTAAATACAACCCTGTTTCCAACCTTGGTTTTGTATGATATACAGTTGCATTTTTAAAATTTTAGTTTTTAGGATTGAATGTGGTTGTGTTTTTCTTGTTTTTATGTATGCTACTTAGTGATTTCTATTATATTAAGTAAGACAACATGTTTGTTTGTTTGTTTGTTTGTTTGTTTATTAAAAACTTGTTTCTCATTTCCCACAATACTTTTTTGTTTTGTTCACAAGAGTGCTTCTACAGGTCATTCCCATAGTGTGTGTGTGTTTTAAGGGGAAGAATTATACCCCTGTGTGAACTTGTGATTGTGTTTGCTCAGAAGCAGCTGGGCAGACCTGTCTCATTTATAAATAGACATGGGTATAAATCGTTCTCACGTTCCAGACTTTTATCAGTGGAGTGACTTGCAGCAGTAGTTCCCTGAATGAAAACCCTAATTTGGTCAGCAGTCTTGAATTTCAGACATTTGGAGAGGATTAGACAAATTTACGAAGGATGAAGCTGTCAATGGTTACTAGTTATTATGACTATGTAGCACCTGATGGGTCAGAAGGCAGCATGTCACTGATGAACAACAACAGGAAGGGACTGTTGTCCTCATGTCCTACTTGGGGGCTTCCTATAGACATATGTTTGGCTAGTGGGAAATATAGGACTGGTGGACCTCTGGTGCAGGGTCCCTTTATGGTCTTAAATCAAGCCAAGGCCACCTTACTTGATGCATGTATCAAATCAGATAATAGAATCTGTTTAACTGCCAATTGTTATTGACTCTACTTCCAGGCCTTTTTTAATCATCCAGATGTTAACAGCAATTTGAAATTGATTTCCCCTTCTGGACAATGGACTACATTAGGTAAAAATAACAACTTTGGGACAACTTCTCTTTTAAATCCGTTTTCAGTGTGATAATTCCTTTTCCTCTGCAAAATGACTTGCTGATTCTAATGATGGTGTGATTGGTAGTGGTTATTTATATATTGCTTTTCAGGATACAGATCCTTCCAACACAGCTTATACCAAAGTAGCATGAAGCTACATTCATAAAATGACAATGAACAATATTAAAAGATTGTTAAATATTAAGTAACAATATTCAAACTTTTATTTAAATCCCTACTGTTGCTTGTGGTCTGTTAAAACATTTCTAGGTCAGTTTACCATTGAAAGGTGATGTAAAATGTATTAAATTTATATGATGAACATTATCGCCTGCATTTGCAGACATTAATGCATTGTCAGCTGTTTCTCTTTCATCTTAGTCTCTTCAAAAGAGTTCCTGATCTATTTATTTTTAAGATAGCCTTTAAGTTGTTTTTTTTTGAGACTGAGTAAAAGTACCTCCTTCTGCACTGACATCTTTATTGCTTGCTTTTTGTGGTTTCCTCAGCTTTGATACTACTGAATAAATAATTTTATATGAGCTGTTCATAATTATTTCATAATTGAAAATTGGGCAAGAGAACACTTGCATATTTCCTGCTCATTCCAGTCCAGTGAACAGAAGTTCTAAGAAGTTCTAAGCTGATCATGCCCAATGTGTGCTTGTTACATTTGCATACTGCTCTTCCTCAGGGCAACATTTTAGCCTGTGGTTAGACTGAGAGATAAGTGACATACAAAGGCCACCCTACTGGGAATGGAACTACAGTACTTACAAAGAACATGGGAATGCTGTTGAAAATGTTGTATCCATGTAACCCCCCTTCCATCCCAAAGTGTCTAGTTCCACCTACCCTGTGTCCTCACATCACAACATTTCGCATTTCCTCATGCCTGCACCATTTCATTGGCTTCTTCACATTAAAATATCTTCACATGTGCTGGACTAGACATTAGGGAAGAGGGAAGAATTCTACACCAAGTTGGGGGTTTTGCCAACTTTTGTATGCTTTGTGACCTGTTTGTAATTGTGTTGGAATTTATCTTGCTTTCTCTTAACCAAACTCTATCCCTATTCCACCACACTGGGTCTAAAGGTAGTCATATTTTTCATACGTAGTAAGTTGGGAAACATTTCAACAGGTTTAAAATGTTCCAAATTAAAATGTAACCTTGATAGTATTAAACCACTTTGTTCAGATATGAAAATATAATCTTGCAGATATGTAAATGCTATTGTGATTGTTCGTTTGATTTCTGCCATATGTTTCAGATACCAGTGTGAGAAAAACTGATGTCAAGAATATTCTGTGCAAGCAAGTTTCCATGTCATTTTTTGACCGATTATACTGTAAAGGGGTTGTTCGAGAAAGTGGAAGTATTGTAAAGTGTTTTGATGAATATCACGATGATATTCTCATTGCTGATGAGTTAAGAAAGGTTAGTACAAGTGTAGTTAACACCTGTCTTCTGTCTATTATTATTTTATAGTTTAATTATCATTTATTAAATTTATTAGTCACTTTTTCTTGCCAGGGCAACCACATAGTTATCACAGCTAATATTAATATTATATTGATAGCCTCCATACGGATCTTGTGTTCATTGTAGTTGTTTAGTCATTTAGTTGTGTCTGACTCTTTGTGACCCCATGGACCACAGCACACCAGGCACTCCTGTCTTCCACTGCCTCCTGCAATTTGGTCAAACTCATGTTCGTAGCTTCAAAAACACTGTCCAACCATCTCGTCCTCTGTCGTCCCCTTCTCCTCGTGCCCTCAATCTTTCCCAACATCAGGGTCTTTTCCAGGGAGTCTTCTCTTCTCATGAGGTAACCAAAGTATTGGAGCCTCAGCTTCAGGATCTGTCCTTCCCGTGAGCACTCAGGGCTGATTTCCTTAAGAATGGATAGGTTTGATCTTCTTGCAGTCCATGGGACTCTCAAGAGTCTCCTCCAGCACCATAATTCAAAAGCATCAATTCTTCGGCGATCAGCCTTCTTTATGATCCAGCTCTCACTTCCATACATCACTATTGGGAAAACCATAGCTTTAACTATAGGTGATGTCTCTGCTTCTTAAGATGCTGTCTAGGTTTGTCATGGCTTTTCTCCCAAGAAGCAGGCGTCTCTTAATTTCGTGACTGCTGTCACCATCTGCAGTGATCATGGAACCCAAGAAAATAAAATCTCTCACTGAATCATAGAGTTGGAAGAGACCACAAGGGCCATCGAGTCCAACCCCCTGCCAAGCAGGAACACCATCAGAGCACTCCTGACATATGGTTGTCAAGCCTCTGCTTAAAGACCTCCAAAGAAGGAGACTCCACCACACTCCTTGGCAGCAAATTCCACTGTCGAACAGCTCTTACTGTCAGGAAGTTCTTCCTAATGTTTAGGTGGAATCTTCTTTCTTGTAGTTTGGATCCATTGCTCCGTGTCCGCTTTTCTGGAGCAGCAGAAAACAACCTTTTCCCCTCCTCTATGTGACATCCTTTTATATATTTGAACATGGCTATCATATCACCCCTTAACCTCCTCTTCTCCAGGCTAAACATGCCCAGCTCCCTTAGCCGTTCCTCATAAGGCATCGTTTCCAGGCCTTTGACCATTTTGGTTGCCCTCCTCTGGACACGTTCCAGTTTGTCAGTGTCCTTCTTGAACTGTGGTGCCCAGAACTGGACACAGTACTCCAGGTGAGGTCTGACCAGAGCAGAATACAGTGGCACTATTACTTCCCTTGATCTAGATGCTATACTCCTATGGATGCAGCCCAGAATTGCATTGGCTTTTTTAGCTGCCGCGTCACACTGTTGGCTCATGTCCAGTTTGTGGTCAACCAAGACTCCTAGATCCTTTTCACATGTACTGCTCTCAAGCCAGGTGCCCCCCATCTTGTATTTGTGCCTCTCATTTTTTTTTGCCCAAGTGCAATACTTTACATTTCTCTCTGTTAAAATTCATCTTGTTTGTTTTGGCCCAGTTCTCTAATCTGTCAAGGTCGTTTTGAAGTGTGATCCTGTCCTCTGGGGTGTTAGCCACCCCTCCCAATTTGGTGTCATCTGCAAATTTGATCAGAATGCCCTTGAGTCCATCATCCAAGTCGTTGATAAAGATGTTGAATAAGACCGGGCCCAAGACAGAACCCTGTGGCACCCCACTAGTCACTCTTCTCCAGGATGAAGAGGAACCATTGATGAGCACCCTTTGGGTTCGGTCAGTCAGCCAGTTACAAATCCACTGAGTGGTAGCATAGTCAAGACCACATTTTACCAGCTTCTTTACAAGAATATCATGAGGCACCTTGTCAAATGCCTTGCTGAAATCAAGGTAGGCTACATCCACTGCGTTCCCTTCATCTACCAGGCTTGTAATTCTGTCAAAAAAACGAGATCAGGTTAGTCTGACATGACTTATTTTTCAGAAATCCATGCTGACTGTTGGTGATCAAAGCATTCCTTTCTAGGTGCTCACAGACTGTTTGCTTAATGATCTGCTCCAGAATCTTCCCTGGTATTGATGTCAGACTGACTGGGCGGTAATTATTTGGGTCCTCTCTTTTCCCCTTTTGAAAATAGGGACAACATTTGCCCTCCTCCAGTCTGCCGGGACTTCGCCTGTTCTCCAGGAATTCTCAAAGATGACTGCCAGTGGTTCTGAGATCACATCTGCCAGTTCTTTTAATACTCTTGGATGCAGTTCATCTGGCCCTTGAGACTTGAATACATCTAAACTAGCCAAGTATTCTTGTACTATCTCCTTAGTAATTCTGGGCTGTGTTTCCTTTGCTGAATCATTTGCTCCAAATTCTTCAGGTCGGGCATTGTTTTCTTTATCGGAGAAGACTGAGGCAAAGAAGGCATTGAGGAGTTCAGCTCTTTCTGTGTCCCCTGTTTGCATTTCACCATCTTCTCCTCTGAGTGATCCCACTGTTTCTTTGTTCTTCCTTTTGCTACGGACATACCCATAAAAGCCTTTTTTTGTTGCTTTTAACCTCTCTAGCAAGCCTGAGTTCATTCTGTGCTTTAGCTTTTCTGACTTTGTGTCTACACGTGTTGGCTATTTGTTTGAATTCCTCTTTGGTGGTTTCCCCCCTTTTCCATTTTTTGTACACATCCTTTTTTTAATCTTAACTCAGTTAAAAGTTCTTTAGATAGCCACCCTGGCTTCTTTAGGCACCTTCCATGTTTCTGTCTCATTGGTATTGCCTGACGTTGTGCTTTTAGTATCTCCCTCTTAACAAACTCCCAGCCATCATGAACTCCCTTTCCTTTTAGTATTACTGTCCATGGGATCTCACCCAGCACTTCCCTAAGTTTTATGAAGTCAGCTTTCTTAAAGTCAAGAAATTGAGTCCTAGTATGCTTGGCTGCTCCTTTCCGCTGTACAGTAAACTTCAGAAGAGCATGATCACTCGCGCCTAATGATCCTTCCACTTCTACCCCACTAACCAGGTCATCAACATTGGTTAGGACCAGATCTAAAATGGCTGTTCCTCTTGTTGCTTCTCCCACTTTCTGGACAATGAAGTTGTCTGCAAGGCCAGTGAGGAATCTGTTTGACCTTATGCTCTTGGCTGAGTTTGACATCCAACAAATATCCGGGTAATTGAAGTCCCCCATTACTACTATCTCCCTTCCTTTTGCATGCTTGGCCATCTGTTCCAGGAAGGCATCATCTATGTCCTCCGTTTGGCTTGGGGATCTATAGTAAACTCCCACAATGAGGTCCCTGCCTCCATTTCTTCCCCTTCTATTTGCCAGGAGGTGATGGGACCAGTGGTCATGATCTTAGTTTTTTTGATGTTGAGCTTCAGACCATATTTTGCGCTCTCCTCTTTCACCCTCATTAAATGATTCTTTAATTCCTCCTCACTTTCTGCCATCAAGGTTGTGTTCATAAACAGGACTAAATCCCAAAGTGTTTTTTCTCAATTTCCTTTCAATTTTGCTATCATCTGATGGTGTCAGCATGTAGTTTCATAGAACTGCATTTTGCAGCCAGTTTTATTACAAATTGCGAAATATACAAGCCTTTTATGCCTGGAGTGTACTCCTACTCCTCCCTTTGACCAATTGTGGTGCAGAACAAGAAATTCACTTGCTCAGTTCCTTTTTGTCTCCGCAGAGTCAAAACCTGCTTGAGGTTCAGGAAGTGTTTCTATGTCCAAAAAAAGCTCATTGTGATAAAATTAGGATGTGCTACTGCATCTTGACTGATGGTGACCTCCCTTGGTTTTGTGGGCTGGTTTATAGAGACATTGCCCTTGAGAAAGACTGATAACTTAAGATGTGCTAGAGCAGTGAATAGCCTGTGGCTCTCTAGATGTTGCTGGACTTAAGCCAGTGGCAGATTTTGGGCCCTGTGGAATGCTAAAATTCAGCACCCCCCACCTCTCATGTTCCATTCTATAGCGTTGTTTTGGCACCCCCTGCAGCGCAGTGCCTAGTGCAACCACACCAGTCACGCCACCTGTCTGGACCCGATGTCAGTGATGTTAACTCTTTATTCAGAGAAACAAAACAGCTGAGTCCTAGCGGTCACAGCAATGCTTTCCAGTCTTGCCCTAATGAAGCCACTGCAAGGATTGCTTCCCACCACTCTCTAAGGCTCCTTCCCTCGTTCCGTCCCCAGCAAACTGATGCTCCGTCGCCTTTTATCTCATTGCTCCACACTTTTCATTTCTCTGCGTGTTCTGGGAGACGGGAGAGGGGAACTGGTCGCAGCAGGAGGGGGAGACTCCCTGGATTCTTCAGCAGTCTGCCTCATCTCTGTCTGCCTCCCTACCTCCCTCCTGCCTCAATGAGTCTGGACTGCCCTCTGCCACAGCCTCTCCCTGCCCACTAAAGCCTGTTGCCTCTTCAGCTTCCAACACCTCCTCTTCCCAGTCTTCTCTCTCTTCTCCCTCTGACCACACATCGTCCCACCACCAATCCCCCAGCTGCTGCCTCCCACTACTACTCTGCATCCAGCCAGTCCATGACACCACCCTAGAACCACCTCTGTTTAATCGTGGCGGAGGACACTGAATTTCCAGGGGGGGAAATGTTTTCTAGCAACTGGTGACTTTTTTGATGGGGCTATTTCCTGTTGACATATGTTTCAAAGCTGATGGCAGCTGTGCAGTTTGGTCAGTGATTGGGCCAGATTGTGGTCCGGATTCCCTGCTGCAGCACTGCATACTTTTTTTAAATAACTATACTCAAATTAATTACCAAATTTATTGCATGTATATATAAACAGAAACCACTGGGAATACAAAATAGTGTCTTTTTGTAATATAATTTATAAATCATTATCCATATTACATTGTCTTTCCTCCTTGTCTCATGATAGGTACTTCTACTGGAAGATTCAGACCACTATGACTTATTTAGCCATTTAGACCGGGAGGAATTTCTCTTCTGTCTTTTTAAGCATCTTTGCCTTGGAGGAGCTCTTTGTCAATATGAAGATGAACTTGGTCCATACTTAGAAACCACAAAGGCTTTATATAAAGAACTTGTGAGGTGAATATGTTTTTGCTTTTTTAATGTGAATCTGATTTACTTACTTGTTTTACTTGTTGGTGTGTTCATGGAAGATGCTCTGGGGCAGATTTCAGCTTTGCAATGGCATCATATATATGATCTAAGCAGGGCTGGGCAGGAAACAAGTTTGCAATGCTAGTATAAATGCCTTGTCATCTTATAAGGAACAACCTTGTCCACAGAAGATATGGGTAGAAGCTGGCTTCCAGGTAGAAAGCATACCCAATAAGGTTTATGAGTGTGATCCTATTCTAGCAACCTGCAAATTGAGCAGCAACATACAGAATTCCACTCCCACCCTTGCCATGGCTAGTTGGAGCACCAGTCCAAAAAGAAGCTTGGAAATAAGGGGTTCACAACATACTCTAAAAATCTTCTGGAGTCGTTTTCCTCCCTTTCCTTTTCATTTCTTAATTCCACCTTTTCCTCCATTTTTCCACTCAACACAGCTTAAAGCCATAACACCCTGAGCAAGACAGTGTTCACTCTTGGCTGCCATGACATTTTTCAATATTTTCCCACCCACTTACTAGCCACTCTCTTCTGGAAGCTTTCCTTTCTCTTTTTCTATTATGTTTCATGTTTTTACTTGTTGTTGTTCTACTGCTCCTTCTTTGATCCTGAAGGTCTCATATGATCTTGTGTTCTATTAACTCTTTAGCTGCCAATCCAAATAGTCTGTCTTGGACTGTAAGTTCTGACTGTTCCAGATGTCATTATTAAAACAGTTTATACTTCTTTGAATTTCAGTGTTCAAAAGGATCCTGAAACTAAGGAAATAAAAATAATATCTACCATTTTTAAAGTCTGCGCTTATGTAAGTATTTCATTAGGAGGAGGGGTACTAATCATGTAACCAAAAATATTTTCAAATATAAATTTCAAGCAAATTATGAATAAAGACAGTCAAGCAAACACTGTTTGGGCATGATCAAGCCACAGCAAAGTACTTTTACATCCTATTGATTTTGATGGGTGAAATTGTTGTTATAACACTAAGCACTTAAGAACAAAAATTCACAGGAAATGTTATACACAAAAAAATGCAACTTTCAGTAACCATAATCTTTCAAAGACCTGTTGAAGATAAAATAATAAACAAAAATCTTTACAAATAGCTGAGAAGTCATCCAACAAAATTCTGCATCTATTGACTACTTTAGTTCAAATTTTTAAAACATTTCAAAACCATAATTTGACTTGGGTGACAAACCATGTTTCTTCTAATTGTCAAAAAAAGACATAAAATTTATTAGAAATTATTGTTGTATTGTTATTTCTCCTTTAAATCTTGTTAACATGTTAGTTTAGACATTGAAACAAACTTCTTATGGCCAAAATGGGAGAGGTAAACATGTGCTAGGATCACTCCCATCAAAACCAATGAGACATAAAAGTGCATAACTTTTGCTGAACCATGAGGATTTTCCTGCAAGATTTTAAAATTATTTTTTCCTCAGTTTTTACATAACACTTTAAGAATGAGAACTACGATGGGTATTTGTACTTTTAGCTATGTTGGCATCCAATATATTACAGCACTTGATTGCATCCATTACTACAACTTACTTTTGTAAATCTGAGGACCCTCTTGATGTGATTGTATAAATGGTTGTTGCAGATTTGGACGTAACCTTTTCTATTTACACAACAATCTTTCAAGTTAAACTGGGTATTGTGCTTATGATCAGAAAATCTATTTAAGGATACAGTTGCATTTCTGTCCTGCCTCTGTTTTGGAGTTGTTCTTCGATAAATTTCTTTTCAATGTCATCAAGTGCTTGTGGGAACCCAGCCATGAGTCATTGTATCTAAGTCTGCATCCGAAAATAAGAAATAGGAAATAACAAATATTCTAGTCGTAAGACACAGGTGAAAGAAAGCTGTCTTGGTCACTCTTGCTATGTGATTTTTTAACAACAGCTGAGAATCTAACCTTAGTCCCAGAGTGCAAATCATGTAACAAATGTTTGACCACCCACCTGCACACAAAGAGGATGATAAAAGGTTTTCTGTTTAAAACGATAGATTCTTTTATAATTCATTGGAAACTTTGCTGAAGAGGACTGTATAATAGCTATATAATGATGTTTGGCTCATCATTCTGTTAATCATCAACCTAACCCATTTCTCAAGATTTCAATCCACTGTGAACATTATTATCATTTATAGTACTGTGAGCCTTAACTACATATGATGCTGCTTTATACCAATGCAGACCATCAATCCATCTAGTTCAATATTGTCTATAGTGCCAGGCAGTGGCTTTCTAGAGAGAGGGGGGTCTTTCCTAGCTGTGCCTACAGATGCCGGGGATTAAAGTTGGTACCTGTTGCATGCCAGTGAGCCAGTGTGGTGTAGTGGTTAAGAGCGGTAGTCTCGTAATCTGGTGAACCGGGTTCGCTTCCCCACTCCTCCACATGCAGCTGCTGGGTGACCTTGGGCTAGTCACACTTCTTTGAAGTCTCTCAGCCCCACTCACCTCACAGAGTGTTTGTTGTGGGGGAGGAAGGGAAAGGAGAATGTTAGCCGCTTTGAGACTCCCGAAGGGGAGTGAAAGGCGGGGTATCAAATCCAAAAACTCTCTCTTCTCATGCAGAGCACTCCATTCCCTCACAAAGCTACAATTCCCAGGGTGGTTGAACCATCAATATCTCTTCCCAGAGAACTCGGAAATTATAGCTCCGTGAGGGGAGTAGAGGTCTAACAATTATCAGCAACCTTAACTATAGTTCCCAGTATTTTTTGGAGGAAGCCATGACTCTTTAAAGTGGTATAATACTGCATTAAATGTATTGTGCAGATGGTGCCTCCTTTTAAATTATATTGGGCGTCTTCAATTATAGTCCTAGTCAGAGCAGACGTATTGAAAATAATTTCAGTGGGTCTGCTCTGAGTAGAATTAGATGGACCCAACCCAATATTTCTAACTGCATTTATACATATTAATTAGAATATGCAAATTTTGTGCACACCTGTTTCCAATTTTTGCGCTCTTTCTTCCTTGGGCAATAGACAATGCAGTAAGTGGGGGGGGGTTCTGTTTTGCCTGGCCACAAACATCTTCAGATATCAGAATTTCAAGGACTTTACATAGACTGAACACATTTCTCAAAAAGGAAAATCAGACAACGAATTTCATTTTAACCTATGGTTTTAAAAGTATTCTGCTATAGGGAAAAGGAAGGTATTTTTATGGCTTCCATGTCAAACTGGATTTCAATATAGGTAGCTTCAAATAAAATGCAGGCCTATAGAATTTTAAATGCTGCCAATCAGATAAAGGAAGCCCATTCAATGAAACAACTTCTCCTTTTTTAAGGACTAGCATTTGCCTTTCTAAGTAGCATGTGAAAATGCCCTTAGTTTACTTCCCTAAGGAAAGAGAATGATAGTCACTTATTTGTAGTTTGCATGTCAATGAGATAAGAAAATGGAGTTGCATACCTTAATGGTTATACATCTAAGAAAAACTTAAGAACACCTTCAGAACAACTTTAGAAATTGTGAGACACTGTAAAACTCTTAAGTTAGATTCAGTAAGAGATAATAGTGATAATAATGATGATAATAATAATAATAATAATAAATATATTTATTTATACACCACCCATCTGGCTGGGTTTCCAGATTCAGTTGATATGAGGGTTAGAAGATAACACTAGAATTTGAGGTTTGGTTTTGCGAAAACAGAGTACCTCTACAGTGATAGATTTTGCATTTCCCTAAGCAAAACTTTGATTTAGATACTGCTAAAGTCAGCACCCAGCGTGCCTGAAGAACCAGCATTTTCGATGTGGACAGCTTGCAGATGTGAAGTTCAGAGTTAATTTATTTTACTCTGTCTCTACCAAAAGGTCCAATGCAGCTAGCAAACTTGATAATAAGATATCAAAACCTTCTATTGCAAAATGTATAAAAGGTATAAAAGCCATGAGATAAAACATAAGCTAGAATAATAGGACAAGGCCATGAAAATAGCAGCCGCATTGTTAATCAAAATGGCAACAGATGAGTATCCTTAATAGAGCTACCGAAAGAGTTGTAGAAAGGCATCTCTAAAGAGGATGACCTTTGCCATCCAGCAAAACACCATAAGAGGGATCAGTAGTATTTCTACTATACTATTATTTCTCATGACAGAATGTCCTTACCCAACGCTGCACCCTCCACTTATTTTTATGCTACTGTATTTAATATAATATGGTGTAGCCATTTCTATTTTAAAGTGTGTGTGTGTGCGCGCGCGCCTGCATGGGGGCGGGAGGCAGGGAAATAAGAAACTGATGTAAATAGCAGCAGTTTTGTTCCAAATAATCAGGAATAATTATAGTATGTAGCAAAAACTTACTCAGATTTGTTAGCATAGTAATAGAGTTAGAGTCAGGAAACCCATAATTAGGAGCAACCTAGCAATCTGTTTAGAATATTCCTTTGACCAATCGGGCCTAAAAAGACTTGCGTGACACTCAAAGAGGCACTGCATCCTTCTTGGTCTTACCTGCAAAGTCAAGAAACCCAGATCAGCAGTGTTGCTCTTTGGCCCAAATATAAGCCACACCCGAATATAAGCTACTCCATTCCTCACTGCTCCTGGCTGCATACTGTGTGTGTGTTAGGATTCATTCCCTGTGCTTGCAGTCATGGGATTGTTTTTATCACTTGACGGTGTATGTTTTCATTCCACATAGTGGGAAGTGACGGAGACAGGATGTTTGTATTACTGTGTTCCGTGATATAGGACGCTTGTCTTTGTCTCTCTCTTTCCTGTTTGATGCTGATGAGGAAGGAGTTAGAATGCTCCGAGCGTATTATATGTAAATAAAGTAGTTTAGCCAAAATGCTGCGCTCCTGAGTCTGTTACGCCGACTGCCCATACTCTGCTGTTCCTGAAGTGTGCCGATGCCTGTGAAGCATCAGTCGCTGTGATGTTTGGGCTGGAGAAAGTCTTTGAGACTCTCGAACAACCGACCAGGAGGGAGAGAACATGCCAGCCGGGCATGTGTCTCTGCCGGATTCCTACTCGTGTGTAGCGCCTCCTGACAGGGGGAGCCACGCTGTGTTGCCGGCAGCCTTTCCCCTTCCTCGCTCTCTCCCTTCCTGGCCTTGGGGGAGAGGACGGGGAACAACGCGCAAGGTGGGCGCCGCTTTGCCGCGTTCCTGGTGCTGTTTGCCCCATGCTCCTGTTTGCAACCCGTAAGCTGCACTTTACCTTTTCACGGTCGGAATTTGGGGAGAAAGTGAGGCTTATATTCATACCAATTTGGTATTTTTGCCCCTGCTGTTGAAAGACATTAATCAGTGCTGTAGTAGCACTCCTTGTAGTCCCACAACTGACAGTACAGCACCTTCACCTACAATATTTCTGGCTCTCCACTGGGTGATATTTGCCTGGAAAGGATGCTTCCATGGTCCCTTTTCATGCAGCAGTTCTTGTTAAGAGATGGAGACAGCTCTGGCTTTGGACTTAGTTCTGCCAGCACTCTCCCATTAACTGCAGTCTCTTGTCTCCTCTCTTTCCTCCTCAGCTGCCTCTGCTCCCTATGTAGCAGAAATGAGGGCAGGGGAAATGTGAGACAACTGACCACTACCAGTCCAAGCCACTTCCAGCCTGGTTGTGCTGATAATCTTTTCAGGTTACCTGCAGTGCAGAGCTGATGTGATGAGCCCCAATAGTATCTGATCTCCCGCATGTGGTTTACTGAAACAAGCCAAATTCAAACAGAACAGAGCCAAAGAGCTGTGCATGCTTAATCCCATTTAAGTCAGGCTTTGTAGTGTTCAGGATGAATTCGTATCACACTTTAGTACCTTATATTAATGCTAAATATTTTGTCTTCTAGGATGCTCATGGCCTTTGTTACCCTTCATCCAACATCCATGAACAGAATTTTGCCTATTTGATTGTGAATCCTTTGAAACGACACATCTATGTTTTGTACCACTCTTTTGGTGAAGCTTGTTTTTATAATTGACTCTCTTCTCAGATATATTTGATTATTAGAGGGGTGTTGTTGGTTTTTTAAAAGTGTAACTTTAATGAATTATATTAATATTTAATAAATAATAATAACTTGTCAAGATTCTGTTATTTACAGTGAAATCTATTTTACCTAGACATTGGGCACTGATGTTGATTTTGCACACATGCTATTTGTATTATTGTTGAAAACTGTAAGGCAATACCAATACTTACAGAATATATTCTCTAAAAAGTTTTGGAGCTCCTGTATTGACTAATATTCTGCTGTTACAAAGTTTCCTTTTTAAAACTAGGTTGTTGCATTGATACATTTTAACTTTATTTATTTTATATTAAAAAAACCTAGCTTAATAAATTACTGATTGAAAAAAAGAGCCTGTATTATTTCCTAAACATGTTTTGGAGTATGAAATATCCTTCTATATTTTTCTAACTATTAAAGAGGTTTAACATTTCCAAACTCGTATTCCTGTGAGAAAGAAGTCTCTTATATTGAGATGAAAGGATGCACTTTGAAAGAGATATTGTGATTCTGTCAGTCCAATTTGCAAGCTCTGATGACTTTTCTTGACTACTCTTAACGCACCCTTGAAGACAGTATGGAAACTGCAGCTAGCACAAAATGGTGGTACGAGGGTACTGATTGGCACAGCCATTTAAAACCTGTTCTACAGGATCTGCACTGGCTGCCTATATTGTAGTATGTCCAATTCAAGGTATGGATGTTAAAATACAAAGCTGAGAATGACTTGGTACTTAGGCATTCGATGGAGCATCTCTTTCCATACCAGTCAGCCCAGGCTCTGAGTTTGGAAGAGGAGTGCCTTCTCACTATCCCATGGAGTGCTGCTCCATGTGGAGATGAAGGTTAGGGCCTTCTCTGTGGTTGGCCCCAGATGTGGAACTCCTTCCTTTGGAGCAGGCTTCCTCAAACCCGGCCCTCCAGATGTTTTGAGACTACAATTCCCATCATCCTTGACTACTGGTCCTGCTAGCTAGGGTGCATGGGAGTTGTAGGCCAAAAACACCTGGAGGGCCGAGTTTGAGGAATTCTGCTTTGGAGACACAGAAGGCAACTCAGCCTCATCAGGGATGTAGCTAACTCAAGACATTTCTGTTTACCCCAGGCATATGGTGGGTTTGGTTAGCCCGCTCTGGATCAAAAGGCTGTGTTGTGCTTAGAGATGGGAAGGCCTGGGGAAAAAAACCTGGGGAAATTGGGGGGGGGACGACGACACCAGGTTTTTTCTGTTTTCCCCCCAAAGCCGGTTTTTTTAAATATTTTTTTTTAAACCCAGTTTGATATAGTTTGAATATTCCACACACTTTCGCCCCCATCCCCCCGCCCCGGGAAAAATGGCTTTGGGGGAAATGGGAAAAAAACTCCCCCCCCATTTTTCCAGTCCCCCCCAGGCCTTCCCATCTCTAGTTGTGCTGTAGTACTGTGCCTATTTACTGAACTTTTGTGGGGGGCTTTTAACCACCATATTACTTTGATTGTATTGCTTTAAATTGCTTTTTGGCTGCTGTGTAAACTGCTTTGTGAGCATGTATGGTGTTAAAAGTGGCCTATAAATATTGGAAATAAAACCCTTATGGCCTTTAATCATTATAAATAATAATAATAATAACAATAGCAGTACGTGGCTTTTGTATAGCATTTTCAAGTGCTCAAAGTGCTTCACAAGCATTTTCTAGTTGCAATCCTTACAACTCTGTAAGGTAGGTAACTTCACCAAAGAGAGTAGGATGAGATAGTTCGAGCTTAATTTTCTTAAAACTATTTAGTATTGCTTCTCTGTATGAAAATACCCCTCCCTTTAAGGACACTGAAGGCAGGACTGCCTGTAGTAACTCACAATGTTTATATGCTGAAGTAAGCTCCACTGATTTCAATGGTACTTCTTTGATTACAACTTTATTTTGGTGCTTTAGTTTGTGACCTACTTCTCAGGCAGTTTCTCCTCCCACACCCCTTAAAGAAACTTTTCACCATTTGCTTGTAAACAAGGGGAATTTCCTTTTAGAAGATTTCTTGCATGGCTTTGCTGACACTATTGACAGTTCAGATGGTTTCGTAACCCCATTTTATAATTAATTGCAAATATGTTTTATTTGCAAGATATAATTGCCCAGGAGTGGGGTAAGTGGCTTGATGTCACCCAACTAGGAGGGACTCCCATCATCATCATCATCATCATTTTATTTGTATGCCGTCTTTCCATATTAAAACAATGCTCAAGGCGGCTTACAACATGACAAGATTTACATAATTACCAACATAACAAAAGTCATAAGCAATAAATAAAACACATCAAAAAGTACACAACCAAATGGAAAACAATTTCCACATAAATCATAAAATCTAAAACTAAGAATACAGCATTAATATCAATCACAATTTAAAAATGACATAGATAAAAAATCTTCTTATTGTAGCAGGCCTCTCTGATCAATAGCTCATCACTGTCCAGTTGCAATGTATTTGCATGTGATGACAGGGCAGATTCCCCAAGTCTTCGGATGTGATCAGTTTAATATAGTTTGCAGATTATACACTTCTACAGCCTGTTGCTGCTTTAACTGCAGAAAGCCTATGTTGTTGCCTAAAATGCTTCTCAAGTAGCCAGTCATTTTATGGATGCATTGTTTATTATTTATAAATAAAAAAGTCTCCAGCTGTATCCCCACCATCTCCGGCTGGGGCTGGAAATGCCCCATTTGAAACCCCAGAGAGTTACTGCCAATAGACAGTATTCTGAGCTAGATGGTCTGAAGTATACCGCAGCTTCATATTCTAAATTTTGGACTACAGGCAGTAAATTAGACAAGAATGCAGCAGAGGTTCTCACACTCCTGCCCCCTGCAGACTACTTGAAAACTACAGGCGCATCAGTGGACCATTTAAAAAAATCACTTTGTATAAATCAAAGCTGATTCATAACGTCATATTTTTAAATGCCATCTTTGTAATGCGATGGATTTGTGTTTTGTGAGCAAATGCCTGTGAAGTCAAGTGTAGCCCAAGTATCTGTTAGCTTGAAGTACCACTTTTACTCAGAGTAGAAGTTAACAGACCCAATTTAAGTCACGCTCATTAATTTCAGGGGGTCTACTCTGAAAGAAAAGAAAAGAACTTAGTGGGATACTACTTTACCTTTTCTAACTTGTTTTTTTGTTTTTTTAAATCGGACTGCACCAGAACCCTATTTTTAACCAAACACAAACGCACAAGGGCCTAGGGCTCTTTCTTCGCCTCTGGTCATCTGCCTTTGATCCGAAGGGCTTCAATCTTTGCTATCAGAAAAAGAAACAAAACCAAAGCGAAAACAGATCCACCTGAAGTTTGGGAACGTCGCGGGAGACAGAGGATTGCAGTGCTGTCTGCGTGTGGGCTGAAACTTTTCCTTGCACTTGTTCCTCCCCTCCCCACGTCCCCACCACCAGCTCCCGTGTCAAGGAGGGTGTGTGTGTGTGTGCTTGTGACTCTGGTTCTGGTGGGGGCTAAAGGAAGAAGAGCTCTGGCCTTTTTCTGCAGCCCATTTTGGGGGACGGGGAGGCGTTGCAGCAGCTTGCACCGCTGTCAAAGGAAGAAGGGGCGCCCTGATTTCTCCCTCCCCCCCCAAGTGTGGGGTTTGGAGCCTGTGCTGTGATTAGGGTCTCGTTTCCTTCCCTCATCCCCCCCTACCACCCGTTCTGGTGCGGGAGAGGGAGGGGGAAACCCAACCACCCCCAACTTCCCCTCCTCCCCGTCTCCGTGGGAGGGATGGAAAACCTCTTTCTTTTAAAGCGAAGTCCTGTAAAAACCCGCGGTTGCCGGACAACATTCGCGACGGGAAACAGCCGCGCGGGCGGGCGCGTGAAACCGAGAAAACTCACCGACCACGCCGGGGGTGCTGCGTGTTTGTGTGTGGTGGTGGGGGCGGGGGGGGGAGACGTAGAGTAAAAAGTAGAGTGAGGGCGGGGAAAAAGAGAAAAAACTGGAAGGGGCGGGGAGAGAAAGAATGTCCTCTCTCTAAAATCCAGCGCGGTCGGGCGCGAGAAGTCCAGCAGCGGGAGAAGGAGGAGGAGGAGGATCCGCCCCCCCCACCCTCGCCGGCTGGGCTGCGTTAAAGTCCCGCCGGATTCGGCGCGGGCGGGCTCTCGCTGGGCGGAGCTGGCTCGGGCGGGCGCGTCTCAGAACTTTTGTTTGGCGGTGTTTGTGCGCGAGTTCGGCGGCGGCGGCGGCGGCGCGCGGGACGAGATTCCTCCGAAATATATATAGAGATATATATCAAAGTCCTCCTTCTCCTTCTCCTCGCCGTGTTGGTTTGAGGGGCTGCGTCGCGCTGCTGCGTGTGGAGGAGGCGCAACTCGCAGGAACTTTTTAAAGGAGGAGGAGGAGGCGGCGGCGGCGGGCGGGCAGCCAGAACCGGCGGCGGGGGATGCGGGACGGAGAGCGCGGAGCTGCGGCCGCTTGAGAGAGAGACCGAGCGAGCGAGCGAGAGAGGAGTCGGTGGGGACGGGAGCCCGCCGCCGCCGCCATGGACGCCGCCGGGCAGCCCCCGCAGTCGGCCTCTCAGCAACCGGGGCAGCAGCAGCAGCCTCCTCCGCCCCCCAATTCTTCGGGGCAGCCCCCTCCTCAGGCGCCGCCGCCTCAGCAGCCCGGCGGCGGCGCCGCCGTCTCCGGCCCACCCCCGGCCGGCCACCAGATCGTGCACGTCCGCGGCGACTCGGAGACGGACCTGGAGGCTCTCTTCAACGCCGTCATGAACCCCAAGGGCGCCAACGTCCCCCACACGCTGCCCATGAGGCTCCGGAAGCTGCCCGACTCTTTCTTCAAGCCGCCCGAGCCCAAGGCCCACTCCCGCCAGGTGAGCTGGTTTTGGGAGGTGGGGGTGGGAGGGAGAGAGAGAAGCTTCCCTCTTTGGGTGTGGGTGGATTTTTTTGGGGGGTAATTATGGTATTATTAAAACTTGTTTTTATTTTTTAATAGTTTGGTTTGTTTGTGCCCCGCCTTTCCCTCCCCCCCCCCCAAGGACTCAAGGCGGCTTACAAAAATCTGCCTTAAAAACAGCGGCGGGGAATGGGTGGGAATCATTTAAAAGCGAGCAAACATGGGTAGGATCAAAAGCTGTAATAGCTATATTTTTTTGTAGAGAAAGGGCTGTCTTCTGCTCACACACCACTTCTTGAAACACCCCACCCCCCCAATCTCAATTTCCATAAACTTTTGTCGGCTGCCTTTGAATGGGCTGCATGGAAAAGGCTGTATTTTAAGAATAAAGTGGTTAAGAACAATAGTAGCAACATACAGTACTCTCTTTCTCCCTCCCCCGTTTCTTTCTCACCATGAACTCCAGATAGGGAATAGTTTTTTTGTTGCAGTGTAACACTGTTAGGGGTCTACTCAGAAGTAAATCTCACTTCGTTTCAATGGGTCAAGCTACCTGAAGGGAAGGGTAGAGCAGCCTTGCCTATGACCTGAGTTCTGTGTTTCATTGGGGTGTACGAAATCATGAATCAAAGTTAATGATATACTGTGTTTCAGAGTTCAGTGCAGATTGTCTTGCACCATACTGGTAGGAGTATGATTAAAAAATAAATAAATCATTGTCTCTCGCCGTCTTCATCATCATCATCATCTAACATTTGCAAGTGATGTTTCGTTGGGTAAGATGGATGAAAAAAGGCAGGTCTTTGCCCCAAGGAGCTTGCAGTCTAAATGCTGACAGAGGATGACACAACAGGGTAAATAAAGGGAGGAAAGGAAAACCAGAGTTAAGGATGTCAGGAGAAGAATCATGGGCAGATGCAGTTACATACTGCTTTTCAGGTAAAAACAAGTGTAGCCTTGCTTCCTGATGACAGCCTTTACACACACTTTTCTTGTATTTCTTGTGTGTGTGTGGGGAGGGGTTATTCAGAATTGAACACTTGCCTGATGTTTACTTGGATTTTTGCCATGTGTACACATTAGGAAGCTGCCATATATTGCTAAATAGATGGGTGCAGGTATGTATTGATTTATTAGATTTGTATCTTGCTTTTTAAAAAAGAAACTCACTAGGCAACGTACAAGGTACATGGGTCCACCCAACAGATATAGAGCAAAAATAATAAATGAAAGTAGCAAGTAGACAAAAGTACATTAAACACAGTAAGTGGTCTTACAACTACAGTCATCGTCCCCAGTAAAACCTTAAAACTACAGTACAGCCACAGTAAACTAGCACCACATATTTCACAATCTCATTACCATAAAGATACAGCAAACAAATAGGTTTTCAGGGCCTGCTTAAGAAGGTTTGAAGAGATGGAGCTTCTGTAGCAAAATGAACATTTGTATGCTTCCCATGTGCAACTGTATATACAGGTGTTTGCTTTTCCTACTTGAGTGTACAAAAATGCTGTGGGTGAGGCAGCCCTGAGCCTTGAGGAAAAGGGTTTCCAGGTCAGAGGGTGTGACTTCCAGGCAGCTTGATCCTGTGTATCTGACACTTAAAGACGTAAATACCCGCCTATGACTACTTTGCTTGTTGGGAAGTTGTGTACACGCACCCAGAGTGTGTATGTGTATTCTTTCAGAACAATAATAAAACTCAATTACTGATTTTTATTTTTATTTACATGAAAAGCACTTCATAGTTTTCTGTTTCCTTGCAGTTGTCTGAGGTATTCAACACCCGTTCCTAGTTTTTCAGGAAAGGGGAGAAGAATTTATCTCATAATTATTCTAGAAGCCTGTGGCTTCTTGTAGGGATTTACAGTGGTACCTCAAGTTACAAACACTTCAGATTACAGACTCCGCTAACCCAGAAGTAGTACCTCGGGTTAAGAACTTTGCTTCAGGATGAGAACAGAAATCACGCAGTGGCAGCGGGAGGCCCCATTAGCTAAAGTGGTACCTCAGGTTAAGAACGGTTTCAGGTTAAGAACGGACCTCCGGAACAAATTAAGTTCGTAACCAGAGGCACCACTGTATTACTTTGTTACACTCCAAGGAACTTAAGATGGCATACATGTTTTTTTACCCAACCACAATATTTTCCTTGCATCAACCTTGTGAAGTAGTTAGGCCGAAAGAGAGTGATTACAGTTTGCACATAATTGCAAAGGCACGGTTTGTTCAGCCAAATGTGAGTCCTCTTACAGATGAGCAAACAAACCATTGCTTGTCCTCCAAAGCTTGGTTTGTATTTGAGCTATTAAATTTATATCCTGCTCTTGCTCCCAAAGGAGCCCAGGAGGGCTTGTTTTCCAGCTACTGTTTCCACATGCCAGTGTAGCATCATGAGTGTCTGGTGTGGGCTGGCCAAACAAACCAAGGTTGTTGGGTTCAGACATGGGTTAAAACAAGCCATGGTTGCTAAGCCAACCACAGCTTTGTTCATTGGTAGAAATCAAATGATGGTTAACCTGCTGAACTTGCGCATTCAAAGAACCCGAGTTTGTTTAAACCATGAAGTAATATTAGGCAAGGACCAAGCCAGTAACTTGACCAAGTTTGGGCAGTGAGAGTGTCATTTCCAAGTGGGGGTTTGAACCTGATTTCCCCAGTTTTAGTTTGACACTTTTATGAGGGGAGGAGGAAAGATAGGGTAGAGTCTTGCTTTCTCCCCTGCACTGCTGCTTTCTTTTTGGGATCCTAAACTTCAGTCCCCTTCTTGGGCTTCTGCAGCACAAAATGCAATTTTCATCTTCTTCCTCTTGACTGTGTGCTTGGCCTTGGTGCTTATATAGGTGGATATTGTTCCCTTGCTTTTGGTTCTTGTTATAAAGTGATCACTTTTTTCATTTTCCTTTCCTCCACAGTTCTTCTGAGCTTGTGGTGGTGGAGTGCAGTTGTTAATGATCCTAAATTTTCAAGTAGACAGTGTCGGATTTAGGAAAATGATGTGTAGTGGTTTGGCAGTGCTTAAACTTCCTTCTCTCCGTCCCTTGCTTTAGGAGATGGAAGATAATTTCCTTTCTAGAAGAGCTCGGAAACCTCTTTTTACCCTCTGAAGTACTTTTGGTGGTGGCCCCCTTCCTCTCCACAGCACTTCCCAGCATATAATTATTCTCTTTATCCCACCTCCATTCCTCTTCCAGAGTTCATTATGAGGAAATTTTCACTTTTGCCTATTATAGACCTGCTTCACACCCCTCCATTTTGTCTTTGCTTGTGAAGAAGTGTTGACCTACCTTCCGATTTTATACTCTCATAAATCCCTGGATGGAGCTGTTCAGGCCAGCTTCCCTCTTCTTTACCTCTAATCTGTTTTTTTGTTTGCTTGTTTTCCTGGCCACTTGTTTGTGAATGGGGGAGGTGGGAGTGATGGCAGCAGTTCTCTCCTATCCCTTCCTTTGAGCTACCTTTAATCCTTATCCCAATAGGGAGGAACTATGCCATCCTTTAAGATAGGGGTAGGCAACCTAAGGCCCGTGGGCCGGATTTGGCCCAATCGCCTTCTCAATCCGGCCCACAGACGGTCTGGGAATCAGCGTGTTTTTACATGAGTAGAATGTGTCCTTTTATTTAAAATGCATCTCTGGGTTATTTCTGGGGCATAGGAATTTGTTCATTCCCCCCCCCCCCAAAAAAAATATAGTCCAGCCCACCACATGGTCTGAGGGACGGTGGACTGGCCCACAGCTGAAAAAGTTGCTGACGCCTGCTCTAAGGCCTTCTAAGATGCTTGCGGCAACTCCGTTTCCCCCCTATTACTTAACTTAAGGGAATTTGTAGGGGAGGGGGCTTTAACTCCCCTGTCTTGCCCACTTGCATATTGCATTCCCTGCACTTTGTCTTTTTAATGATTTATATTTACTGTTACATTTATAGCACACGTTTTCTCCATGGAATTCAAGGTTGTGCAGATGGTTCTTTCCTCCTCATTTTCCCCCTTTCCCCTGTGAAGTAAGTTGGGTTAAGAGACGAGTAACTGGCCAAAGGTTACCCCGTGAACTTCATGGCTAAGGGAGGATTTGAACCCTGGTCTTCCGGGTCCTGATGGACTCCCCTAATCACCACACCACACTTATCCCCCATTCCCTCTTCCCAGGATTGTGGAAAGTCTGTCATTTCTCTCTGAGCTAGGAGGAGGAGTTGGAGCTATGGAAGCCTTGAATTTTGCGCTTTTTAGATAAGGCACCCCCCCCCATATCATTCCAAGGCCTGTTTTCGCCACACCAATATTTTTAGCTATCGCCTAAGCAGAGTTCTTGCCTTTGCTGCAAGAAGAAGGCTTAAAGCCTCTGAAATGATATTGGAACTTAATCACACAGAAAAGCAAATGGACATTGATCTCGTAATTGCTATTGACCAGAGTACTGAGAGGGGGAGTTGTGTGAGTGTCCAAAAACTTCTAAATGTAGAGCTGTGCCAGTTTTGTGCCTTAAGAGCATTAGATTGCAGCATATTCCTATGACATTAGCATGAACCTTCCTAATGTCGGCTTGGATGTATTGCCATTGTACTGTTGACACTTTGATGTCTGTAATGTGGAGTGTTTGCTGTCTTGAAGCTTGAATCCAGGTGTTGAGGCCATAGTCTTGCAGACCATAAACACTTCCAGAGAAAAGTTGTCTGAAAAGATGTTGGGTTCTGAATAAGTTTAGCCTATGGATAATTATTTAAATATTAGAACAGACAAGATGGAAGTTAATAAGTTGGCAACTTACAGTAATGGGTTCTCTGTGTGGTTGTTTTTTTTTGAGGGGGAGGGGAGTTGGAATTGGTTCTTTTTCTTAAAGATTTTTTATATGAGAAGTATATTTTGAGTCTTCATCATAAGCTATTGTCATCTATTCAGCCAGCAGAAGTGACTATTTTGCAACTGCTTCTGATATTTCTGTGACCAATTATGTCAGCTTTTCCATTATTAAACCTCTCTTAAAAAGGGGCTTGGCTTTGTGTGTGGCTTAAAAAAAAAAGTCTGCTTGAACCTTGGCATACAGCTCTTACCCAAACATTAATTCACTTGACAGATATTAAATGGAAAAAAGCCTAGACTTGAAGTTGTAGAGTTGCAAGTAGAGATGATTGCTTTGCTGCCTTTGAACTTTAACGTAGTACAGGCTTATCACATACTTTCCATGTAGGTCCAATATCTCAAACTCCCCTGACAATTGCAGAAGAAAAGTTATTAGCTATGTACCGAAACCATCTTTAACTTCAAGTACGAGAGTGGTTTTTATCATGGTTTACTTATTTGCAAACTGGCATTAATCTGCGTTTGAGCTGCCTCCCATATGGAGATAGCTGTATAGTGTAATCCATGTGTGCTGCTTGAATACAAAAGGCTAAAATACTTGCCTAAACAGTTTCACATTGAACTGCGTACTTAATTCCATGCCTTGGGCCTTAAAGCTCTCCAGACATACATCTATATGCACCATAAAATGCATAAAAGCTATCTGTGTGTCTAGGTGTCTGTGGTTGTCAAAAGCTTCATGTCTGTGTGTTCAGATCTTGGTGGACAGTAATTCAGCATATTAACACAAACTGAGAATTACTTAGGCTCATGGTAAAGGACTTGGCAGTTGCTGGGTGTGGATTACAGTCTAAGGCTGGGCTGGGACCTAGGTTAATAAACTCTCTTGAGTTGTGCAAATTCAGGCTTCATAGCCTTCCTAAGGTGCAGAAGAGATTAGGGGATCTGCAACATCAGCCTCTGTGATTCAGTAGGAAAGCCTGGCCCAAACTAATCATCCATATTTTCTACCTGTTGTACTCCAGTCTCCAGTTTCCCAAGCTGCAGCCAATGTCCTAAGTAATAGAATCAGAATTGTAGAGTTGAAAGGGACCGCAAGTGTCATCTTGTCCAGCCTGCCTGCAATGCAATGCAAAGTTCCTTGAGAACACGCAATGACCACTGAACACCATTCTGGGCAATATCCAGCTTAGTCATGCTCAGTGTCAACCGATTGGAATCAATAGTTAATGAAGTGTGTTGATTTCAGTGGGTACGACTTCATTGGCTCGCCCTCTGTTGTTGTTTTTGTGTGTGTGTATCTTGGCAGTTTAAGAGACACCACTCTGTTCAACTTATAGTAGAATCCCATCACATCACAGAAGGGATGTGAGGATTGTATCTCCAGCTGTATTCTAAAATGGCAGCATTGAGAAGTTCTGCCTCGGAGATACAGTAATAGGAGAAAAGTTAGCCTGGAGAAAAAGAGTGATTTGCCCTGCCCTGCTTTAAATCATGCTTTCTCTCCCCCCCCCCAAATCTTTTGTCATCTGGAACACATTTTAGCAAAACCAGACATGTATTACTGTTTGCAATGTGGACCTCATTTGTCCCATTTTGTAAGACCATTTAAACAGCTTTCACAGCTGTCTCTGAAGCCCTTGATAAAGATGTGGGACAGCAATGGGGGCGGGGGGGGGGCAGAGGACAGAGCAGACAGAAGCAAGAACTTGATATTAGAAAGAGATGAGGGATATCTGTAAATTCTAAAAGATGTACATGTAAACAAAACCATTCAGTAGAAACGTTCTTATAAAGCAGGGATGAGAAGCCTGTGACTCTTCAGCTGATGGACTTTTGGGGGCTGATGGGAGTTATAGTACTCCAGTTGTTGCTGGACACCAAGTTCCTCACCTGGTTATAAAGCTTTCTCCTCCACAAAAGATAGTGGTCCAATTCCAATACTGCATCTGCAGTCATGGACTTAAAAAAACAACCTGTGTATGAAATAATAAAATTCCGTTTTTGTCTTATGCCCATTTCGACATTAGCTTTGGTTATTACTCTACGTGTTGGAAGCCACACTGCCCTGTGCGTTCACCTGTCCTTGGGGCAGATTAACTGTTTCTAGATGAAAAGTGGGGGTTCTTGAGCATGCTGCTGACATAATGGGTACCTGGCTACATCACAGACTTAAGGAATTGTTTAATCCTGCAGGCCAGTACAGATGCAGGGACAGCAGGAGCTCTGACACCTCAGCATGTCCGTGCCCACTCCTCTCCAGCATCGTTGCAGTTGGGAACCGTTTCTCCAGGGGGACTTACCCCTTCCGGCATAGTTCCTGGAGCGGCACCTTCTTCTCAACATCTCCGCCAGTCATCCTTTGAAATCCCTGATGATGTGCCCCTACCACCGGGTTGGGAGATGGCAAAGACACCTTCTGGCCAGAGATATTTTTTGAAGTAAGTACAATTACCGGGCAAGGGGAGGTGGCGGCAGCGGCAAATCTTTGTGCTTAAAAAACAACAACTGGTAGAATTAATACCTTGTGCTTCATCTGAAGGCCATATCCTTGTTTGACAGTGTGGGGTCATGCTGAAAATTGTATTGTCAGTTTTAAAATAATTGTGTACTTTTAACTTTATGCAATTAAGCAATTTGCATATCACTAATAAACACATAGTATTGCAAGACTTTTGATAGTATATGGGAATGGTTGTAACTCTGTTATACGTGTTTCACAATGGAAAGGTTCCAGAGTCTCTGTTAGAAAGGACCTTGGGGTTGCAGAGGTGAGAGATCTTGAAGAGTCACTGCAAGTCAATAGAGACAGTAACAGTGGGCTGATAAGGTAGTTTCATGCTTTCATATAGAACTAGGAACAGCAAAAGTGTGAGTTGAGGGTCAGGTTCATCCCCTCGTTAAAACTCAGTATTTTTGCCACCACGACTTCTCTGGAATAATGAAGAGCACTTTTTTTTTTTTTTGGAAAGCTATGATTTTGTAGATATGTTTAACTAATTTATGGGCCATAGGTCTGCCCATCCCTACCTTTTAAGTTCATATGCTCACTTGATTGTAGGCTGACTCTGCATACTTTCTATACCTCTAGAATGTAGGACAGGATGGGACCTCATGGATGCCTGGTTCTGAAAGTTCCATTAAAGCAGGTCTTGTCATGCACAACTAATCCGTCCTGATCAGACCCTATCATTTGACATTACTACTCCCATAAACATATTTATTTATATAGAAATTTCTATCCCACCCATCTAATGCAGTTCATTCTTTTCACGATAAACCATGGTTTATTGTGACAGCCATACCGCTTTTAAAATGTCACGGTGGTTAAGAAAGTGAACTGTGAAGCAAAGGAACCGGGCTAAAAATCTTTCCTTAGCCTGTACTTGTCTGGTGACCTTCGGCAAGCCTTGGCTCATAATATGGAAATGAAACTGACTTGCTTTGCAGGGTTCTTGTGAGGCTTGCTGAGATAATGAATGTGAAGCTGTTGTGCAGTAAGCAATATAAAAACACCAGGTAGTTATTGGGGAAAATGACAGTGTTCAAGGGAGTAAAGAGTAAGTCGGTGCGTGGATCTAGTGCGCGTTAATAACAGCCCTGTGTTTTAAGACCGTGTGGGCATTTTACAGCATCATCTCATCAGATTTTCCATTGCCTTTCCTTAAGAAAAATTAAGGATTGTAGTCGTTAATTCTTCCTGTTGGCCTCCTTAGACATCTGCCGTAAGGAAGAAAGGTGGCATATAGATTTTGAAGTATTTAAAATAAGATCGCATTGTTGGATCCATGGGGCAAGGCTGTAGCAGAAAAAGTTCCAGCTTGAATCTTTGGAATCTGCAGTTAGGTCTGAGAGACAGTATTGCATAAAAACCCCGAGTAGCTGCTGCCGATTAGGGAAGATCATACTGAGTTAGATGGAGCAATGGTCTGATTTGGCTGGCTGGCTTGATCTATCTATCTATCTATCATCTATCCTATCATCTATCAATCTATATCACTACCTATAGCAAATTGTCTAAGGGTGGGGTACCCAAAAACATACTAAGTATAAGGTACCCTCTCAATTCATATTATTTTAGCAGTAATTATTTTCAACTCAAGTGCATTTTCAACTCAAGATGATTGTGTACAGCAAGCCAGTGAAAAATACCAAATTCAATTCAGGAGTGGGGCTTCTGCTAAGCCTGGCAGAAGGTAAACAAGCCTTTAAAACGGTGTTTCAGTTACACCCCACTTTTTTGTGGGTTGCCAGGTCACGTGACCAAACTGAATGTGCTTAGGATTTGCTCTGAGTTTCCCCTCTCTGGTCCTGCCCCAACCATGGCCCCTTTCCAGGGCTTACCATGCTGCCCGCATGTGGGGAGACAAACCAATGTATCCCCCAGCTGAACTGAGGTTGGGGAAGTTACAGTGGTGTAGCCTAGCTGCCTCCCAGTTCAGCCAGAAATCCACTGGATCCTAACCCCAAGCATCTAGCAGATCTTCCTATGGATTTTCTTCCTTAGGGTTGCAGTCTATGGGTTCTTTTCAGCCAAGTCCTATTCAGAGCAGACCCTTTTAAATTAACCAAACTAAGTTAGTCATATCTAACTTCAGTCAGTTTACCCGGAGTAGAAGTAGTGTTGATTTCCACCCCGTTTATCTAATTCAGTTCAAGAATATAGGACTTGGAAACCGCATAGTAGACAGTTCAGCAAAAGTCCTTTTTTAAAAATAAGCTGCCTCTAAAAAGAGGAGAAAAACGAACTTAAGCCTTTGTGTAACTGGTTTTCCAACCTATGCAGATTTAGGTGAAAGCAGAGGAACAGTTTGATCATGGCCATTTTTTTTTGACAGTTTTATTATTGCTACAGAAAAGTCTTCCTGCTCCTATGAGTGATCTCCTCCCTCTCTCACTGGTCTTTTCTTGGTATCTGTTTCAAAGGGTCAGGTTTCCATAAGGACAATAAAGAGCCTGAGACTGGAAAGTACACACAAGTCTGGCAAACTCATCTGCATGAGCAAGATCATTTGTTCTCAAGCAGACATCCAAAGTAAATGATTGAAAGAGCTGCTAGCTGTGAAGGATGTGTCTTGAAGGGGGGAAAGAGTAGAAACAAACCAGGTTGTTAGGAAGAAAAATAAAGACTGTGCTTTTTTTTGAACCTCTCCCTGCTGGGTCACATGCTGATCTGGGGAGATTTTAAACAGCTTAATAAATTGTTTTTCTTTCTGCTTTTCCTTGGGTGCTGCTGTGGTTTGGGAGAATCTGAGGACAGTTCTGAAAGTTCTGCTTAGGCCCGAAGAACAACAACATGGACACTCCTATATAGATTTTGTGTGTTGTGGAGATGTACCAGACCCGCTGTTCTGTGTAAAACGATTTCTTATTACTTTGTAACCTAGGTTACCTAAGTTTAAAGAATAACTTGTTTTGAAAGTTCTGTTTTTAGCAGAAATAAATGCATGAAGTCATCTTAAAGCTGTATTATTTTTTTTAACCCACAGCTGATAGAAATGCAACTGATAATATTCTCATTGTCTGCAACACAGAATATATATAGAGAGAGAGAGAGGGAGAATGTGCGCATGTGAGCACTTTAAAATTAATATTCGCTGACATTAAATTACAGCAAGTCTTTTTAATCTTGACAATCAGCCTCTCAATCACGTGAGTTAGAGGCTTTGCCTTTCTTTCTCCGCGTTCCTTCATACTTCCACCTCTTCCAAATTCTGACCATGATATTGTCGCTGGTGCCAAATCAATTAGGATTGGTAGTGGAAGTCTGCACAAATTGGTGTTTAGCACAGGGTAGTCCTTAATGTTAGAGAAAGTGACAGAGCTGTGTGTACAGCTTTTGCAGTTCTGTTCAGAAGCAGCACTATGGTACCTACATGTTTGGCTCTCCCACGCCGGGTTGTATGCCCTCTTTACTGGAGAAAATGGCTCCTCTGACAAAGCAAGCAGACAAATACGTTATATGGAGGCTCTTTTTATTTTCTGTTACTCCACTTGAAACCTCATTGTGGGCGCTCTTCACTGACACTTGGCTTCCTGTTCTGACTTCAGGATTCACATTTGACCAAGAGCAGTTTAATATTGCATTACTGCTGGAAGATCCAGCAATAGTTCATTGCTGCTACCTGTGGACTGCTTGAAAAAAGTGTGCACAGTTCAGGAAGAAGTGTGTAGCTTTCCTACTGGAAAGAAGTGGTTGGGTAGAGAGGTGTGCTTTGAAAAAACAGTATTGCCTAATGTAAGTCAGTGCGGGATAGAAAAAATACTGTTTAGAAAAAGTACTGTTTCTTCTCAAGATTGGGAACACCTGCGGTGCATGGCTCCAGCCTTGGTTTTTGGTGAATGTTAACAGGTTCAGCATTAGTAGCTTTTTAAAAAGACCGTCAGAATTAATGAGACCTGATTGCTGGCTGGACAGACAAAAGTTAAAATGGAAAATGGAAAGCAACTGTTTAGAACTAATCTCCAGTTTTTGGTACAATTTGGCCTAGCTGCTACTGCACCATATTAATCTACCTAACAGCCTGTTTCATTTGTTCTGGCAGAACAGAAATCAATGCAGTTTGTGTGTTTGTAAATGCTGTTAAGTTATAAGTAAATGAACAGTTAGCATGGAGTATTGATTGTCTGCCAATGCAGTGTCATAACTGGTGATGATCATCTGTACTAGAGACAGGTAACACATGGTATCCAGTTTTTAATTGCTGATAGATGGTGGTTTTGGTCCTAGGGCATGATTTTGAAGATGTACAAGACTTGCTGAAGATAAGCAAGTCTGAGACTGGTTATTGGCTGGATAAGGGTATCCTGTCTTTGGTTCCATCTTGGAAGAAAAATGGGCCATAGATATTGTCACTTTGCATCTGAAATGAAATCCAGAAATAGTGGTGTAATTAACTATTTGTTTGCTTGTTTGTTTGCTCATGAAAAACAGTGATGGCACATGAACGAACAGGCAGGTGACAGTACTTAATCATGTACAAAGTTAATTCTCTTGTTAGAAATAGCACCACAGTTATCTTTCTAGCTGAAGCATCTTACGGTAAATCACACAAGTAACTTTTTGTTAAGAAATGGCATGCAAATGTTCTATACAGAAATATTTCCAGACAAGTTGAGAGAAAATGTTTGCAATCGCAGTAATGTTTAAAATGTGTTTAATGAAAGCAGACCTGATCCCAAAATATGGGTTAAAACATGTTTAATATAAACAAACCTATTAATAATGTGAAAAGTCTTAAAATTTTAATGCCTGGCTCTCAATTAAACATGCTGTAACTTGCGGTTGTTCAGAGTAGACCCATTGTGGACTTTACTAATGTAGTCATTGATTTCAATGGGTCCAACCTGTGTCTGATGTGTTACTTATGTGTAAAACAACATGTTATTGTATTACTACTGAAAAAAGAATATTGTATCAGGTTCAGTGGGATTCTTTAAACTTTTTCAAAATACTTCTTATGTGACAATCTCTGTTAATACTACTATATTCAGCCAGCTATCATGATGTTGATAGTGCTTTAAATGACTCTTGGAAATTGTTGTCAAAAGAATCAGAACCTTACAGCGTGAATTGTAAGATCTGGGGGAATAAAACTCTTTGAATTAATGAACACTGATTTAAAGCAATTATTTGATTTGAGACCACTAGATTCTCAGGGCTAATAACATCTCAATATGCATAGGATGCTACACATTCAATATAGTTTTCTTTTTTTTATAAGAGCTTAGCACTACCCATTGGAAAGTTCCTTTTTGTACACTCCCATTGGAATGCCATGTTTGGTTTATCATTTATTTTAATGGGGAGTGTGCAGGAGAGCTTTGCAGTAGATTGCACCTCAAATTTAGACTAACCTGATGGATAACACTGGTCAACAACAAATTTGTTGTCTGCGTTTTTTCAGCTGATTTAGGACGAATCTGATGCGCTGAATCCAAAAATCACATTGGTTTTGCTCAATCAGGTCAAGTTTTTGAGGTATGACCACATGTCATTTTTTAACGTTTTTGTTCACATGTACGCTTGTGTGGAGCATTTTAGAAGAAGTTGGTGGGGGTAAAATGCCATGTCGAATAATTGTTTTGATTGGAAATGATTATTTTAATGACAAGAAGTATTCAGGTCCGATGGTTCTGGGTGATTATGTCGAAAAGGGATCAGTTTGAAGTCATAAAACCTCGAAATCTTCCTTAAATTGGTGCAGCAAAGCATAAAGTTGGGGGATCAAAACTAAGTTAATGGGGCAGCTGCCCCATGAAGTGTAAAGCTTGGGCGCCACACATGGTGTGCAAGGCATGCACCGAGACTCTACGTGGGTGGACCAATGGCAAGAGGAGTCTGAACTTTGGAATTCCCATGGTTTGGAGGGAGCCGACAAACCATGTCACTGACTGCTACTTCTGCGCTGTTGATGTGACTGGGATCAACAGAAAGAACCGGAGCAGCCTCAAGTATACTGATCTTCAATCAGCACGTCGTCCTGTAGCTCATTGTGATGAAATTCCAGTGCCTATCTTTGGAGAACTTCCTGACATTAGTGACGAAGATGCCTCCAGTGTTGAAGGACATGAAGAAGAAGAAGTGGTTCTTGAAGATGATGCTCCACATCCATTTTCCCAAAAGGAGTTGAATGATCTAGTTCGCGACCTCAGCTTGTCAAAGGACTCTGCTGAACTGTTGGCATCCAGATTGAAGGAAAAAACCTCTTCTCTGACAGTGCTCGCATCAGCTTCTTCCGCAACAGGCATCAAGAGTACCTCCATTTTTCTCGGAAGAGAAGGACTTGGTGTACTGTGCAGATATTGCGCAGCTTCTGCTCAAGCTTGGAGTGCCACAGTACGAACCCAAAGATTGGAGACTGTTCATTGACAGCAGCAAGCAATCACTGAAATGTGTTCTGCTATACAACGGCAACAGTTGCCTCTATATCCCTGGCTCACTCGAGTACACTGAAGGAGAACTATGAAGCGGTGAAGTATGTGCTGGAGAAAATTGGTTATGATCAGCATAAGTGGTTTATATGTGTTGACCTGAAGATGGTGAACTTTTTGTTGGGACAACAGACTGGCTTCACCAAGTACCCATGTTTTCTGTGCATGTGGGATAGTAGGGACCGTGCTCAGCATTACACGAAGAAGGACTGGCCTGTGCAGGAGGAATTGGTGCCTTGCAAAGAAAGGAACGTCATCAACGACCCTCTGGTGGACAGAGACAGAATACTCTTCCCACCGCTGCACATCAAGCTCAGCTTAATCAAGCAGTTCACCAAGGCTCTGGACAAGGATGGTGACTGCTTCACTTACTTGTGCCAGGCTTTTCCAGGATTGACCATGGAGAAGTTGAAAGCTGGCATCTTTGACGGTCCTCAGATCCGTCAGCTCATCAGAGATCCAGAGTTTGGAAACTCAATGAACGAAGTGGAACTGGAAGCGTGGAAGGCATTTGTTCTGGTAGTGAAGAACTTTCTTGGCAACAATAAGGCCAGAAACTACGCAGAACTTGTCAACAACATGCTGACTGCTTTCAGAAACCTGGGCTGCAACATGAGCGTCAAGATGCACTACCTATTTTCACATATGGACCGGTTTCCTGAGAACCTGGGTTCAATGAGTGACGAGCAGGGGGAGAGATTCCATCAGGACATGAAAGAGATGGAGACCAGGTATCAGGGTCGCTGGGACGCAGTCATGATGGCTGACTACTGTTGGACTCTGAAGAGAGACCTCCCTGCCGCTGAGCATTCCAGGAGTTCCAAGAACGGAAGTTCAAGCCCTGAAGTTTGAAAAATGGTGAAGCAACATGCAATTTACGTGTACTTACCTTTATCAATGCCCACCATTCAGTTTACAGTAAACCTGACCTGATGGAGAGAAACGGATGCCATTTCCTGATTCAGCACTGCAAAAATACCCTAAATCAGTTTTAGAAATCTAGACAACATTCAAAAAGTAAAAAATTGTTGCCCAGTGTAATAGGTTTATCTCACTTAGTTAGATAATTAGGATAATTAAAAAATGTTTCCATAGAAGAATGCTTTAGTTGAGATGACTCTCAGGGTCCCTTCCGACTCTACAATTCTATTCTGTGATTCTATTTTTTTGTTCAGTTAGTTCTTAACTTGTATAACTCAAAACATCCGTCAACTCAGTATCATTCGTTATGAATTCTAAATATGAATTCCTTAATGTCATTCAGTTAATCCCACATTAGTTGAATACATTTATTAAATGATGAGAGAGAGAGAGAGTGAATCTTGCCATGACACTACTGAAGAGAAACAAAATACCTCCTGGCCATCGTTTTCAAATAGTGCCTGGATGCTTTGCTCTCAGCAGAGTAGCTGCGCAGTATCTTTCCCCCTGTGGGTAGAAAAGTAGTTCAGAGGGATAAATTGCATTGTGTGAAAATGCCTAAAGAGTTTAGGGTAGCCCCTCTTTCAGCTGTTTCTCTGCTCAAATTTCCATGCTCCCCAAGGCATCTTTTGGTTTATTGTTTGCTATTTTTGCCTCCAGCATGCAGATGTGGCTTTTGTATTAGAGTTCCGCAAAGTTAAGGTCGGGCCAGAGAGCTGCTAGAAGAGAGTCAGATGTGTTTGTGTGCCTTGACTGCACCAGGAAACAGTGCAAAATGGAAGGCTGCATATTTTATCCATTGTGCTGGCTGGCCCTAGTGGGGGAGTGCCACGTAGCAAACTTCTCCACTTCCCTTAAGGGCCAGCCTTTTGGGGGGTATATCACCTGCCTGTGAAATTTCACCAGCTTCACCTTTACTTTTTTTGACATATTTGTTGATGAGCAAATGCTGCAAGGTGTTAGTGTTTATTTCTGAGAGCTACTACTGGGTGTTGCAGTTACAACAGGAAGCTTCCTGTTCCTCCACGGTACCGCCTCACGTATTGTATCTTTTTCATCTTTCCAGTATGCTGATGTAGGTCAGTGTGTACACCCCATGAATGCCGAAGCTTTGAAAGTTTTAATTCAGACAGGATGGAGTTGTGGTCGAACAGGAAGAGCAAGGCGCTTGGCTGCTTTCTGTTGACTCCACAAACCCTTGCCTGCCTCAGGCAGCTCTTAGGCTTAAGGAGCCTTGGACAGTTTTGGCTTAGACTTTGTAGCGAACCTTCTTGAGAACTGCTTTTGTGGTCGCGACTACGGTTGAATTAAAAGCGAGAATGGCTAACCAAGGCTCACTATTTGGTAGTTAAGAGTGCAACCCATGAAATGTTGTCCTGCTGAGCTCACATTCGTTTTGGTGGGGTTTGTACCTCTAGTGTCTGGGTGTTGGCAGAAGAGTGTTTGGAATGGGCCCGTGTACCATGCAAATGGCAAGCAGAACAGACATCTGTGTTGCTTTTGAAATGCTTCCTGTTGGCCAGCTGTAAGTTGACATTGCAGTGAACTATGAAGTGGGGGTTTGGCTTCATCTTTTAAGACAAAAAAGCAAGCTCTAATTAGCAGCAGATGATGATTTGCAGACCCATATCTTGAAGAGGTTGTTTTTTCCCCAGGTGTGCTTTTGCTGGTGTCTTCTAAGTAGAAGCAAGTTGGATGGTTTGACGTCATAGACTCCTGCATCTAATCCCTGTACAGACTCTTGCAACACTCATTAATCATGCCGCATGCTGAGGAAACTGTTACTGATCACCCCAGCTGTCTTCTGTAGTTAACTTTCTCTGCAGGAAACTGCTCTTCCAAGGAGTTTGTCAACAACTTCCTATTTTCTCTTTCAGCTGTTGTATAGCTTCCTGAATGAACTGGCCACAAGTTTTCAATTTGTATCTGTGGGTGCTGTTGGGGATGTTGACACAACCCGAGTGTTAAAACTTAACCCGGATGAGGTTGCTAGGTGTGTTATGCCTTCAGTGTAAGAACTGGGCAAGCCAAAGGCAAAATGTGTGATAATCGTCCCTTTAAGAAAACAGAACGGCTTGTTTCACAAGAACTTCATAAAATCAAAACGCAAAAATTGTAAGTTTGTATCTGAAAAGGACAGAAGACTGTCACTAAGGGCAGTTTATGCTGTGTACACAAATTGGAAATTTGTATTGGCGTAACTCGGGTAATGGTATCCTCCTATGAAAAGGATTAGGTGGTTCGAAGGTCCATGGAGAACAACTGTCAGGTTGAATAAACATTTCTGGACTAGAGGAACAAATGGGAAGATGCCTTGGACCAATGAGACATTGTTGATTCTCTTACCTGAGCAAACTAATGATTTATTCATTTTTCAGACTTTACTATTTCTCACAGTTCTGCTTCTGCTAATTCAGTAGGGAGTCAGGTACTACACTGACCATGCATTTTCATTTAATTCTTAAATTTATATCCTGCCCTTCCTTCCAAAGCAACCAATGTTGTCCACTAGTTATTGCCCACGTGCCTTACTTCAACAACCATACAAGTAAAAAATTTAAATTGCGCTGACCATACTGTAGAATCATGATAAGTACAAATATACAGACTTGACTGTATTAAAAGTGACCAGAGGGAAACTTTATTTGGCAACTCGGTTTAAAAACTGAGCTCACTTGAGTTGGTATGGTGTTCATAGATCAATCTGGTCCTGAATGTTCTTTTTCTGGTGCAAATCCCATTCTTTCTGAAGGCATGTGTGCCAACTTCTGAAGATATAGGCAGATGAATTGCACTTTTAGCATTGCTCCTGTTTTTGTTATGGGTGTATTGACCACATAGATTCATGTAGTTCTCAAAATGGACAGACTTTCTCATATATTCAGTACTAATGTGTTGCTAATTGGTCTTGTGCCAACTGTTGCCATTTCATCGTGTGTGTGTGTGTGTGTGTGTGTGTGTGTTATGGGCAATTATTGGGCAGCTTGCACATCTACCCTGCTTTTTGCCTTTCCTTTTATTTCTTGGACACTTGGTTGAAATTCTCTAGTGTGACTTCTCTGTTGTACCTTACTTGTACATAGTACTGGATTGTGTGAAAACAGAAGATGAATACTGGTATAGACTGTATGCAAAGTGCATTGAGCTCTGACTGTGCCACCAAACCTAGTGTCTTGGTGAGATTGGTAAATTCTCATGTGGCTTCTAAACATCACCTCTCTGTGGGGAACATAAATCATGTCATATTGCTCATATGATCACACTCCTATTCACATATGCACTTGTGCAGTGCTTTTATTTATTTTTTGCTGGTACTCACCATGAAGTTGTTTGAGTAAGTGCCACACTTTTTAACAACGAAAAAGAGGTGCCAGTACTACATACCCTTGAGTACCCTCTGAAAAGAAAGCACTGCATCTGTGTTTGCCACCTTTCTTCCAAGGTGCTCAGGCAGGCAAATAAGGAGCTGTGTTTCAGTTGCGTAATGTTTCTGTGAGGTTGGCTGGTCTGTGACAATAATTTGTCAAAGGTCTGGATAGGATATTATTTGGGAATTCCTATGTTCACTGCCTTGAGATTCCTGGAGTGAGATACAAAATTGGGGATCAAGGGGTCCCAGTTGCCACAGAGTTGGTATACTGCTTGGAAATCCAGAGTGATATTTCTGGCATAGTCCTGCTACCAAGGATCTATTTGACACAATGAGACTTTGGTAGGTTCAGTTCTGATGGCAAGAATACAGTCGTACCTTGGTTTTTGAACAGCTTAGTTCTCGGACGTTTTGGCTTCCAAACGCCGCAAACCCAGATGTGACTGGTCCAGTTTGCGAACTATTTTTGTAAGCCGAAAGTCCAGTGGGCCTTCTGCGGCTTCCAATTGGCTGCAGGAGCTTCCTGCAGCCAACCAGAAGCTGTGCTTTGGTTTCCAAACATTTTAGAAGTCGAACAGACTTCCGGAACAGATTCCATTCCACTTCCAAGGTACGACTGTATAGCAGTTGCCAAATAATCGCAAACATTTTTAAATCAGCAGACACTAGGCAAATGTTTGTGTTGTAAAGTTCTTGTTGGATACAAATAGAGCAAAAGATATCTGTAATCCGAAAACTTAAATTTTGCTGAGAGAAATCGGTGTTGAAATGCTGGTGTGGAAAATGCAGCTTTGCAAAATAACTGTCCTGTCTAGGGAGCTTGGGGGAGTGTCTGCCTATTTGCCTTAGTCTTCTTGGGGCAAAGCTATGAGAGAAAGGGAGCGCTGGCAGCTTGGTGGGTGGGCATTGAAGGCAAGAGTGACATGCTAAATACCGCACTGCAGCTTAAAAAACAAAACACTGATAACATCCTTGGAGTGAGTGCTCTGCTACGTGCAGAGCTGCTGGAAAAAGAAGATTGGAAAGGAGGGATTTTAAGCAGATATACTTATGAGCATATAGGTCACATGGTGAAACACAAAAGCATAATATGTCATAGTTCAAAGTTGGGCAGTCCTAGGAAACAAGTGTTGATTTTTCTGTCAATGGCAGCGTGTGGTGGTGTACTTCTGTTCATTTAAAATAAACCCTACCTTCCTGTTTGATAACAGGCCTCCAAGGTGGCTGATAAGTGAAAATAAATACATGCTAAAGAGTTGTTTCATTAAGGTAGTGGTGACGATGATTTTAGTTATTTATTTAGGAGTATTTATACCCCACCTACTAATTAAAAGTTCTCAAGGCAGTTTGCATTGTATTTAAAACACAAGCAAACTGATATAAAACAAACTGATAAAATAGTCACCGCAGCAGGCCAAAGATGTACCATATTTTTCCGTGTACAGTGGTACCTCGGGTTACAGACACTTCAGGTTACAGACTCCACTAACCCAGAAATAGTACTTCGGGTTAAGAACTTTGCTTCAGGATGAGAACAGAAATCGTGCTCCGGCAGCGTGGCGGCAGTGATTAGCTAAAGTGGTGCTTCAGGTTAAGAACAGATTCAGGTTAAGAATGGACCTCCGGAACGAATTAAGTACTTAACCTGAGGTACCACTGTATAAGACAGTGCTTTTTTTGCTTTAAAAAAATGTCAAAAGTTGGGGGTTGTCTTATACATGGATGGTGAATGCACAGGGTTTGGGCTCTAGCTCTGGTGCGAGCAGTCCAGGCTTTGGTTCAGGTTCTGGCACTGGTGGTCTGGGTTCGGGGTTGGGCTTTGGTGCGGGTGGCCCAGGTTCGGGTTCGGGCTCTGGCTCTGGCCCCACTTCTTAATTTAGGGTTGAAAAAAATAGGGGTTGTCTTATACATTGGGGTGTCTTGTACAGTCATACCTCGGGTTAAATATGCTTCAGGTTGAGCGTTTTCGGGTTACACTCTGCGGCGACCCGGAAGTAACGGAATGCGTTACATTGGGGTTTCGCCGCTCGCGCATGCGCAGACGCTCAAAATGACATCATGCGCGGAAGCGGCGAAATGCGACACGCGCAGTCGCGTGTTACATTCTACTTAGGATGCGAACAGGGCTCCGGAACGGATCCCGTTCGCATCCAGAGGTACCACTGTACATGGGAAAATGCTTGCTGGAGCTGATGGTTGTAGTTCAGCAGCATTTGTAGGGCCATAGTTTCCTTACATTTGCTCTAAGGCCAGACTAAAAGCAATTGCTGCAAATGTGTTTACTTAAACCCAGGCCTGCCCCAAAACAAAAGGAGTTAATGTTTGATGGGATGCTAAAACCACTACCATTAGGTTTTCCCCCTCAAACCAGCTGATATTCAATTGGAGAGATTTAAATTGTAGGTGCAGGGGGGGGCTCACCCCCCCTTCCCTGCAGATTTCCCTTTTGCTATAAAATTGATATCCCACCCCAGTCTGTCGCTGACTCGTGTACTTTGGCCCTAAGGTTGGTTTCGTTGTACAGGAAAATCAAAACTTCCAACTGTGAAACAGGATGTTGTTCCTTTAAAGAACGGAAATTGTTTGTTCATGTCTCTGGCTGCCCAAATACTATAGCAGAGGGCTTTCTAGCAACTTTATACGGCTGCCATGGAAGCACCTTTATTTGCTCAGGTCTTGACCTCCCCAAGAGGCAAACAAGAGTTGGCTATAAATCATGGCACTTGCTCCTCTAACCCTTCACCCTGCTGTCTCATTATTTTCTTCTCCAACCCCTCCCCCAACGTAGCTAGAGAGCAAGAGTAGTTAAACCGGTTAGTTCTCATCTGGTTTATGGTTTTATGAGCAATGTGATGTCTCACGGTACATCTTAAATTACCAAAGGAAAATATTTAAATAAATGTCCTTTTGAAATTCATGCTATGCAAACTTATTTTGCAAGTTCTTGAACTTGCACTGTGCTTCGCTGTGTGAAGCTGGAAACAAAACAGTACGCTCCAATATGTTGGGAGTAATCCCCATTGAATGAAGTGAGTCTTGCCTCTAAGTAAACATACGTAGAATTGTGCAGAAGGGAAGGGACTCCAGGGACCACAAATTTTGACTTGACTATGAAGACCGGGCAAAATTTGGGGGTCCCTGGTGTAAGGAACTGTCATTTGCAGAACTAAATAGAACCTTTATATAAATTTGGAACATTATGTCTTTGTAAAGTTGAGACAAGCCTTCTTGGTTCCTTGTATAGCAGCAAATCAAGGTCACTTACTTGAAGACTTAATTTTCCAAAAGCAAAGGATCTGAATTTGGCAAAATATTTTTCAACTAGATGGAAAATAGAGGTTTCAGCTGTTTGGTGAAACCCCAAAGAGGTGAGTTCTCAGGAGTGCCACAACCAATTTATTTAGAAGCCCAGTGCATTTTGGATAAGTTCCCTTGTCAGGGGCATCTTAGAAAGAGATGAATATAGCACAGAAATGGAGCTAATTTATTGTCTCGTTGGTCCTTTAATTTATTGAAGCTGACATGCCTGCTGTTTTATATAGTGATAATGATAATTTCGCCCTCTATTTTCACACAGGAAACCTTAATACAGTAAGCTCACAACTTACACATATTTAGCTTTACACAATTGGCAAAACTTGTTTAGCAACATTAAAAAGGGGGCTAGCATCGGGGGGGTGAGGCGGGAAGACTTTGGCAATGCCAACTGCCATTGCACCCAGTGTGTTCTGATTATACATTGATTTTGGCTTTAGAGAGGGCCCCCAGAATTTACCCCCACGTAAATTGAGGACTTGCTATACCCTAAATAGAAATTGACTGCTTCAGCGATACTGACCAATGCTTAACAGTACAAGTCTTGTTTAAAACATTTCCTGCCTGCATTGATTTCACAATTGGCAACCATTTAATGTAATTGCAAGTGGCTGAATAAATGAAGACTCATTTAAAACATTTTGTTAAAGGAAACGTCTTTCATCTTTCAGGAATAACAGGAATTTGTTTTCTGAAGAACAGGAATTCATGCAGGTGTGCGCACAGAACCAGATTTTCCAAAGAGAGGCAGGGCTCCCTTGGTGTGTTTTGGCAGAGCTGGGTTTTCCTACCTGACAGCCACATATGACTCCTCTTCCTGCTCTTCTCCAAACAACCATTGAAATGCAAGCAGCCAAAAGGGAGGAGCTGTTATGCTTCTGTTCCTTCATCGCTTCTTCCTTTCTTGAGGAACAGAGACCTCCAAGTGCAATGCCTCTGTCTGTCCTAGTCATGGTATAGAACTAGGCACTGCTATAGTCTAGGGCTCTCCCTTGGCCTACTTATGAGCCCATCCATTTATCTGAAATAAGCACCTAAAACATTTATGCTTTGGCTGTACTGAAAAATATAGTTCAGGCATGTCCAGGACTTGGTTTGCCCCAAGGCAAGACAGCATTTCATTCACCTGTGCTGTAAAAGTTCTTTTAAATGTAATTGCACTGTCCAGTTTTCAGTACTTCGGAAGGAGTAAATGTACTGTATTAAATTACTAACCTGTATCTTTAGTGTTTTCAGGGCAGTTCATTATATAAATACAATAATAACGCTCAGCCATAAAATTCAGTAACAATAGATACACAGAAGCCTTTCAAATTGAGGGAAACCGCTTACCAAATAATTAGAATGCTGTTTTTCAAAGGTTGTCCCAGTGGATATGGTGAGAGTTTTGGATCTTGGAGACAAATACTGGAATTTATGTCTTTGTATTGCCTTGGGAATGACCTAGTCAGAAGCTAGCTTTTATTGGAAAGCTACTTTGAGATGGGCAAAAGCATTGACAAATCAAGTCCTCATCTCATTGCTACGTCTCAGTCCATCCTTCCCCACTATAAACTGGATGAGAATGTCAATAAAAGGCTAACTGGATCCAAATCTGAACTTCTGTGGTCCAACCCTCTAACCACCATACAGTATTGGGTTTCATTTTAAGCTGTCTGGCACCTCCTACAAAACCAAATTGTTCACTGAACTTTGCAGTTCAATACATTTAAGAGACCTTGGGAAAGTTGCTGGTTCTTCAGATTGGTATTCATATCACTTGCCTTTGGCAAATAAACTTGAATTTAATTGTGGTCTTTCGGAAAAGCATAGCCATTAAAATTCTTAAGAGGATTGGACAAGCTAATAGTATGACAACGGCAAGGTTATTAAGTTGAGATATAACTAAAGTTGATAAAATCTTGAGATCTTCTATTGGATAAAGTTGTGCATGTTTGGTGGGGAAGAAGGCATGCAGACCATTAATATTGCATCAGCTGCAAACTTGTTTGGTATAGTTTGAATATGAGTGTCGGGTAAGAGGAGACAGTGGGAAAGAACGCACAAAAATTCAATCTGATAAGGTAAAGGTAGATTACTACATTTGAAAATAAAAGCATTTGTAAATCACAGAAAACACTGCTGATAACCCCATGCCCATCCCTGGACGCAAGATGCCTGCCAGAATAAACATTGCCTCTAGAAAACATTCCCGCTTGAGCTTTGGCAAACACCTGGGAGGAAGAGCATTGGAGAACAGCCAGTACAACTCTTGTGCCACCGCCATTCATGACTTTCTTGGTGTGGCTAGCACTGTTGAACACACAGCAGGCCATGAGGATTGTTGAGGAAGGGGTGATCTTATCCAGTGGCACTCTTCTTATTAGGTCAAAGCTCCACCTACTTCAGCATCCTGCTTTGTACAGTGGTCAACCAGGTGCCTCTGGGAGCCACAAGCAACAGCTCCACCCTTTTTGCCTGGAAACTTTGATTTGATGATATACACCCTTTGAAATGGAGGCTCCATAGTCATGACCAATAGACTTATTCGTGAACTTATCTAATCTCCCTTTCATGACATCTAAATATATGGCCATCATCACATCCTGTAGCATAGGATTCCAAAACCTATACATTGTGTGAAGGTCACAAACAGGAATCTTGCAGGGATTGGTACCCAAGCTACTGAAGGCTACACACTGAAAATAAAATGATGAAAATGGCAAAGAGTACCCCCCCTCAAACTATCAAATATAAAAAAGCTTGACAGTGCTACTCTGGGATGTCGTTGACCCTATGCAAGTTGCAAGGTCTTTATAGTACTCTGTTTGAACATCATTTACCTTAACCTGAGGTGGAAAATCCAAATTGCAGCCTCTTGATATTCCCCATTAACTTTAGCAGAACCGTCTCTTGATTTATGTTCTCATACAGATTCTGTTCATTTTGGAGGAGTGCTTTCTGCTGGATTTTGCTTCTTGGGGTCAGGTCTATCTTACGACACTCAAACTCTGCTGCCTGAGGTGCGTCAACTAATGGCAAGACCTTTCAACTTTTGATGGGAGAGGGGTAAAAACTGGAAGCTAGCTGTTTTGGCTCATGATCAGAGCTGACTAAAATGTTTTAAACATGCAAGTATCTCCCATCTGTAGGAATCCATGCTGAAATTAATTTTCTAAAACAGCGTTGACAGTTCTTTAGCTTTTACTGTTAACAATCAATTAGTACCTTAAAGGTTTTTTCTTCTTCTACATTTCTTTCCTCGGGGCTGCAACCTGAATCCTGTTTATGCAGAGCTGCTGAGCAAGGTGGAGATTGACTTGCAATCTTAATTGATCCCTCCACCCTTTAGTTCTGCTGAAGGAAGAGTTCAAAACTTTTGCTTTGTAAACTTTGCTCTCTTAAAATGGCTTCCGGTTCTTTGCTTTCCCAGCAAAAAGTAGGGAGGAATAGGTTAATAACTTTCAAAGCAAGTTAACTTAGCTGAAATAATAACTACAGAGGTCACGTGGGCAGAGTTGAGGAAAGAGCAATTCAGTCTCTTTAAGCATTCCCCACCCCAGCTTTTAAGTTTGCATCAGGTAAGGGATGTGCTAGGAAACCCAAATAGAAAATCATACATCATGTTGTACAAAGCGCTTCAGAGGATTGCTTTTTTATTCATTTTGAGCCACAGCTTAGTGTTTTTCCCCAGCAAATATTTCAATTGATCTGTTATGGCTGACCTCAGAAATACTTCCCCCCCACCCCACCTTTGTTCTAGTAACCTGAGGGAGTATGAAATTTAATACCCAGCAGCCATATTGGCCTAGATTTGAACTCCTATAAAATTCTATTCATCTTGAGATTCATTTGGAATATTTTGTGTGTGCGTGTTGGGAGTTAGGGTCTGAGTTAATGCATGGTGTATTTGCCAGAGGCCACAGAATTTAGAGTATTAAGTTGCTTAAGAAGAAGGGAGAGATTCCAACATAAAGACAAACCGGTTAGAGCGGTTTTTAGGTGGGTGTTCCTTCACTAATACATCATTGTTACTTTAATTTTTTAACATGTTGCTTATGAAGCATGCCCCTACTATTGCGTTCAAACATCTTGCTTGGAGAATTCTAGTACATACAGAATATAATTGATTGTGACTCAGATCATGAGAAGTACTCTACTGCAAATGCAAATGCAAATAGACATAAATTCCTGCTAGCTATATCCAACTACTAAGTTGTACTCGGATTAGACTTAATGGATCCAAGTGAGTCACATTCATCAGTTGCAGTCGGTCTACTCTTGGGAATGGCCAGTGTTGGATACAGTTCTCCGTCTCTGCTGTTCCTACGAACTTTGAGAATTGAATTTTCATAAGGGGATGGGAAACTGCAACGCTCTGGCATCTTACTAGAACTCTTCCTGTTGGAGGAGCAACCGTATCAGTTTCGTCAAGTTAAAAATATTTACAGTATTTACATGTAGGCTAATAACAAAGTTTTCATGTTGTTTTACAATAATATAAATGCATCCTAATTATCATGTTGCTTTCTTTCCACTCTGCAAGTTACTATATATATATATATATATATATGCGCTCCCCAAAAAGGTTAGGCTGAATTAATGGTGCTCTTGTTCTAGAAAGACTAAACAAAACACAAAGTTTACATTCCATTTTTACTATATGAAAAGCAAACTAAATATTTAAATTCAGTAAACCTTGCAGTTTGTAGCTTTTTGCAGTGTGTGTGTGTGTGTGCGCGTGCATACAGCTTCATGGTGTTGCTTATTAACTTCTGTAGAGTAGGCACATAAACTATAAACTGTTTACGTTGAATCTGAGGCAGTGGAAGTGGTCTTGTCTCCCTGCGCTTTGCTGTGACATGTAAACATATCTACACCTACATACCCAACTTCTGCAATATTTACCACCAATTCTGAGGTTAAAGAACGGAACATTAAGGGGCATGTGCATGTTGAAGTGTGTATGTCTAGGCAAGATTTAGCTGTTTCGGCAAACACATAGAGTACACACAATCTTTTACATGGGCATTGCATATAGCTGTGTGTGTCTGAATATACCTTCTGAAACAAATATGCAACACAATCCAGGCTTACTGAGCTGAAGGGTGTTGGATTTTGTCTTCTGTACAGCAGTATTCATGACTGGTCATACTTGTCAGTTGACCCAGTGATCTTAATAAGTCAAATGTTACTGTTGGGCTTGTCCAAATAAGGATGTGCATGACCACTTTCTCTAGTTAACCTTGCTTATTTAATTGCTGAACTTTGAAAAGCTAAAGTAAATTTTGGTGTGGTAATTTGTGACTATGTGGTTGCAAAGCAGGAGATGTTTATTCTCTGAGCAGAGTGTAATGGGTTTCCCATCATGCTGTTGCTACTACTTTCAGGAAGTTTGGCAGGGATAAGCATGCATGAACAGTTTCTCTCTTCAAGGCATCCACTTGCCACACATGCCACACATTTGTTCTGGCATTACAGAAATGAGCAGATATAAGCATCAGACTAATGTGCCTTTTTTCCTGTGTCCTCATCACTTTTTGTTATGTAAGCTTCTTTTGGGTGGGAGCCTATCTTCACTTAACATTGTAAAGCAAGGAACATAGCTCAGTTGGTTAGAGCATGGTGCTGATAATGTCAAGGTTGCAGGTTCAATCCCCATATGGGACAGCTGCATATTCCTGCATTGAACGACAGCTGCATATTCCTGCGTTGAACGAGATAATCCTCAGGGGTCCCTTCCAGCTCTACGCTTCCGTGATTCTGTGTGTGGTTTGGCACTATATATAAATACTAATACAACTACTATACTCTGCCAGGATCAGTTGAAGTCGTTGGCCATGGTTTGCGATAAATTGCCACCTAAAGTTTGGCTCATGAAGGAAGGGGGAGTACAAGGACCTTGGGCCTGCATCTCCTTTTTTATGATGCCAAACCATGTTTTGGTGTGGCATTTGGTTCTGCATACTTTCAAGATTCAAACATACATCTTCGTAGCCGAGTAAGATTGCCTTCCATAAACACAGTTTTAACAATGAGTCTGTAAGTGACTGTGGAGGCCAATTCTGGATCCACACGTCCTTCCACAGTGGGAACATAGGTTTCCGGGCGGGAGTTGATCATGGTGTGGATTTGCCAAGCATGCCTTCCTCTTAGCACGTTTCTCCCTTGCGTCCTGAGTTTGATTGTCTTCAAAGCCCATGACACCTTTTAAAGGCTGTTCTCCAACTGGAGAGCTTGCAGGCCAGTCTTTCCCAGTTGTCAGTGTTTATACTACATTTTTTAAGATTTGCCTTGAAACAGTGTTTAAACCTCTTTTGTTGACCACCAGCATTACGCTTTCCATTTTTAAGTTCAGAATAGAGTAGTTGCTTTGGAAGACGATCATCAGGCATCCGCACAACATGACCAGTCCAACGAAGTTGATGTTGAGGAATCATTGCTTCAACACCGGTGATCTTTGCTTCTTCCAGTACACTGATATTAGTTTGCCTGTCTTCCCAAGTGATGTGCAACTTTTTCAGAGACACCATTGATGGAATCTTTCTAGGAGTTGTAACCCTATATTTTCCCTCATGCCCTTGATTTTATCAACTTAATTTTTGAAATATGAATGTTGGTCTTTGCAGCCGCATGGCCTGAAATAATACAGGAAAACCCACCTTGTCTTAGCCATTCATGTTTGAGGTGTGACAAAAAGCTAGCAAACTACCAATATCATAGCAGTATGTATTGCCTGCTGATTAGTTTACAGTGAAGTAAACTAAGCATTTGGCTTATCTGCATCCATAAGACGTCAGTTAAAAATTAATACAACTAAGCAATACTTTAATAACATAATTATTTCAATTTCAAATTCTTACTACAGTCGTACCTTGTTTTGCAGCCGGGATCCATTCCAGAGCCCTGGCCGCTAGCTGAAAAGGACGCAGGGCAAAGCACTGCGTCTGTGCATGCATACGTTCAGAGCAGTTTGTGCTTCTGCACATGCACAAAGCGCGATTTAGCGCTTCTGCACATGCGCGCAGGGCAAACCTGGAAGTAACCCGTTCTGGTACTTCCGGGTTTGCTGCGGACGTTCGCCGGAATGGACACTAGACAAGGCGGACGTTCGCGGAGGATCAGCTACAGAATGTACATTTAATGCAGCAACGTTAACAGAAAAAAAATCTTAAACATTTCAAAAGAAAACACTAGTAAAGGAAGTCAAATATAAAAACAACATAACAAGAGATCAAAATATTGTAAGTACAGTAGACCCTCGAGTTATGTACCACTCTGGATACGTAACTTTCGGGTTGCATGCACAGAAGTGCTCTATTGCAATGCGCGTGTGCACAGAAGTGGCGCCTCCAGTTATGGACTTTTCGAGTTAAGTACAGACCCCTGGAACAAATTTAATTCGTATCTGGAGGGTCCACTGTACAGACATCTGCTACTGTTGCTGCTAGTCCTGCCCAATGGTGGTTTATGGTGGGTGGCAGCTGTGGAATCTCAGTCTCAATGACCTGGGTCTGCGCTAAGAGACAGCCAAGATGGTCTCTGGCCTCTTCAGCAGCCTCAGCTTTTGTAGCTGGAGTCAATCAGGGTTCTGCCCTCCCAAGGAAGGTAGAAAAAGGCATGGAGGCATGAAGCAGGTCTTCCTAGACTCACAGCCAATATAGCTTTAGGCATTTGTTAAACTGCATGAGTAGTTCTGTCCTTTTTTTGGATATTGTCAGGCTGGAGCTTGCTCACTGCTGGCTTCAGTAGGAAGCCCACAGTAAATACACTATTGAAGTGGATAGCTCGGTTGGTTAGAGCCTGAGGCGGATAACAACACCAAGGTTGCAGGTTTGATCCCCATAATGCTTTATTTTTATTTTGAAAATTTATACCTCACCCCACCCTCACAATGCATTTGCATAGCTCATGGTGGTTTATAACAACAACTGTCCTTTTTTTTTTAAACCGAGCTTAAAAAGAAAAATTCTCAAATATAAACCTACCACGTAAAAATAAACTGTCCAGTAAGACCAATGCTACAAGGGACGCGGGTGGCGCTGTGGGTAAAACCTCAGTGCCTAGGGCTTGCCGATCGCATGGTCGGCGGTTCGAATCCCCGCGGCGGGGTGAGCTCCTGTCTTTCGGTCCCAGCTCCTGCCCACCTAGCAGTTCGAAAGCACCCTTAAGTGCAAGTAGATAAATAGGTACCGCTTTATAGCGGGAAGGTAAACGGCGTTCCGTGTGCGGCGCTGGTGCCAGTTCGCTGGAGCAGCTTCGTCACGCTGGCCACGTGACCCGGAAGTGTCTGCGGACAGCGCTGGCTCCCGGCCTATAGAGTGAGATGAGCGCACAACCCTAGAGTCTGTCAAGACTGGCCCGTACGGGCAGGGGTAGCTTTACCTTTACTTTAAGACCAATGCTTGCCAACTTTTTAAACTGTTGGTAAAAACCAATTTGAGGGAAATCAAATGGATCTTCCAGGATCAGATATTCCAGACTCTGGGAACAGTCTCTGAGACTCAAAGTATTCCCCAGCCCCAGTCAGTACAGTGGTACCTCGGGTTAAGAACTTAATTCGTTCTGGAGGTCCATTCTTAACCTGAAACTGTTCTTAACCTGAGGTACCACTTTAGCTAATGGGGCCTCCCACTGCCACTGTGCTGCTGCCACATGATTTCCTGTTTTCATCTTGAAGCAAAGTTCTTAACCCGAGGTACTATTTCTGGGTTAGCAGAGTCTGCAACCTGAAGCATCTGTAACCCAAGGTACCAATGTACATGGTGGTGGGCCTCTTCTATAGATCATAGGAAGTGGACAGGAGGATAGTTTTCTTGGTTCTAAGCCATCTAGCTCTTTATAGGTAATAAGATTTTAATTGTATGGTCCTGGCAAACAGAATGGCATCCGGCACATCCGCTGCAGAACAGGTATATTATTATCCCATCAGTGAGCATCCACTAATGTTCTTGACTAGTTGGAAGTTTCTGAAGACTCTTCTAGTAAAATTCACTGCAATCTGAATTTAAATAAGGCATGTTTAATGTGGCCAGGTTTGATTTTTCTCAGGAACAGGCACAATCTAAGCTGTGCAAAGGTGCCCATGAACAATGTTCGAAACTCCCATTGTTCTAGGCATGTTTTGTGACAGGAATTTCATTAATGTGAGCAGTTTCTGAGCTCTGGACGCATTACTGCGCATAAGATTTCAGATTAAAACTGTGACTGCTGGAAAGAAAAGAAGACCTTTTTTCTGCCTCCCCACTTCCAGCCACTCTCTGAAGACTGGAGAAGGGACTCTCCTAAGAATATTAGGGGGGCAGGCAGGTAAAGTATGGTTTTATTTTTTTGCAGTCTTCAGATAAGGAATAGACCATGTGAAAAATGAAGTTTTTAGCTGCAGTTCATTTTTTTTCAGCTTTGTATTCTTGTTATTAAAAAACGCACCTACATACTCTGTTGCGGTGCCCATAACCTAGGTTTAAAGTGCCATTTAGCTCCTAGCTTTCATATCTCAGTTTCCATGAACATAGCATAAAGATGCAAAGTTAGATTCAGGAGTACCCAAAAACTGCAAGCCCAATTCCTTTATTTTCCAAGGGGAGTGCTGCCCCATCCAAAACAGGCTGAATCCCTATTCCAGAGTCTTGCATTTGTCTTCAAATGGAGCACCTTTTCTGGATTAAACTTCACCCCACTTTGAGTCTGTTACCACCTCCAGACTGCCTTTGGCAGGTCCCCTGATATCTGATGGAGAAAAAGAGGTGCGTGTCGTAGAATTGTATACAGTTGGAAGGAGCCGTAAGGGTCATTCAGTCCGAACCCTTGCAGTGCAGGAATCTTTTGCCCAATGTGGGGCTTGAACACACGGCCCTGAGATTAAGAGTCTCATGCTCTACTGACTGAACTATCCTAGGAGCAGGGCTTTTTTTCTAGTAAAAGAGGTGCCAAAGTTGTTGAGCTCACTCCTAAAAAAGCTTCTCTTCTTTGCCTGCTTGTGCCACCTTAGCAATGCCACAATGATCGCCATGCAGCCCGCAGCATCCGCCGCACAACACAAAGCGCTGTGATGACCGCAGCCTCCATTGTTCAACTCAGAGCACTGTGCTGCCCGCCTCTTCTGGCATACAGCCCCCAGTGACAGGGTGCCGGAACACACCAAAGAGGTACCGGAACTCCGTTCCGGTGAGTTCTGGATGAAAAAAAGCCCTGCCCAGGAGTTATTCGCACATTGACAACACAGCCCAGATCCCTGTACAATTCCTGTCCACTGGGAATGTTAAGAAGCATGAGGAACAGAACTGGTCCTTGTGGGGTGCCAGTGGCACCAAACGGGACCCCTCCAGCAGCATCCCCTGGAAAAGACCTGCAAGGAAGTACTAGAACTGAATAATGTTGTGCCTGAAGCTTATCCTAGCCAGAGTGATTCAGAAGGTAACCGTGGTCAATTGTATTGAACTCTACTGAGGAGTCCAGCAGACCCAACAGGGATGTGCTTCCCTTATTTGGCCCTTGGCGTGGATCTGCAATTAGTGAGAGACGTTTCCCCCCACCCTTCTTTCTCTTGCATGAAAGAGCAAAATTGTCTGACAGTTCATGGCTTCATCTATGTGCAGGGTTAATGGGTATGCATGTAACCTGACTTTCAGTGAATATTTTTAAATTGAAGAGCCTTAATGGTAACTGTGGTGTAAGGTTTTTTTTTTTAAAAAAATCATTTAAAGCAGTTTCCCCTGTCCCATTTCCAGAACTAATTAATCACGTTGTATGCATCCAGCATTCTATGCCTGCTGGAGTTGGGAGATCCTGTGCGGCATCAATACCTTCCTCTTTTGGAGCAGTGATACCCTGAAGAAGGAAGTATATGGAGACACTAGGATTCCCTAATGCAGGTTGTGCCTTGGAAATCCATCACGTGTCACCATGTCCCAGAAATCTCAGTCCCTTCCCTGAGTCCAGACTTGACTAGGGAAATGGGAGGATCAACTGCTTGCTAGGAAGTCTTATTAACTGGGCAATCCTGAAGGTGGCAAAGAGAATGTCCGTTCATTGTTCTGCAAGCTGACTCAGGGAAAACTGGGTGACGTTGCGCCCTAGTACTTATTGCAATACACTAATCGAAGTGGTTGTGGCATTTCTTTCTATTCTTATGAAACTTGTGGACCAGTAAGACAAGTACTTAAGTTTGATTCAAGGAGTCATCATCTCCTTGCTATTGCTACCTGTTGTTCTGGCCTCTGATGTAGGATCCTCCTTTTAAGCTCACTTCTGATTTCTCCTTGTTGTGCTGCGTCTAAAGCACACCTTCTGCCAGTCCAGTTATTTCTCTTACATTTGTGTTCGTTCCTGCAACCCAGTCACTATTCCCCTTTGCTCTCATTTCTCCCCTTCTCATCTCTCTTTTCCTGGCTTGACCCCCAGTTGGCTGCAAACTGCTATGACTTCGCTATAGTAGACTGCCTTGTTCCTGTTCTCTGCCAAGTGTATCAACGCTGCCCGTGATCCTGCAAATACGGTTTATCTATCCCTAGCTGTGTGTGCTGCAGGTATCGACATTCACTGAACTCTTGGTAAAGAAAGGCAGAATTACATTTAAGGTCCCAAGGCCATCCCAGGAGCTGTGAATGTTCAGGGGATTCAGTCTTTCTGAGTTATTGAGATGCCCCCACCCAGTGACAACAACAGTTTAAATTCTTGGTATTTCCCATTATTATTATTTTTACAAAAATGGCATGTTTATTCTAATGTAGTTTGGAAAAAAATGAACTTTTATTTTTTAAAAAAAAAAATAACAACAATGAAGTAATAAATATGCAACTTGTTAATCATTAGTTCTTGGAGAGGGAAAAGAGCCCATTAATGCTTAACTTTAGTTGGAATTGTGCCATAGATAAGTTTCTTCATTTTGCCCTAGGTTTACTACCCTGGTTATAAATAGGCTAATGATTTCCAAGCTATTTTAAAGGCGATGCCTTTCCTGTTCTAGGCATAGTAAATATTTAAAGTGTAATTGTTTAATCTTTGCTTCCAGATATTCACAACTCTCGATAGAGGGGTGTGCTTATCAATACGTCAATGAACTTTCGGTTGAGAATTCCTCAATGTCTATTTTGCTACATTTGGTAGTGTGATAAAAACTGACTTCCTGCCTATTGGCTGTGGCATTAATAATTGTAGTCTTTCATTCATATATTTTCACTGTAATGAGTTGCAACTTTGTGTTGACAATTCTGAAAATAGACAAGAGTGAACATGCAAACAGCGTAACCCAAACAAGAGATCATACATTTTTGTGTGAGGAACTGTGGAAAGATTAGCTGACAATAAAGCATTGTCCGGAGAGTCAATTAAGCGTGTAGGTTTAGCAAGCTTGGGAACAAGCCCTAGCATGTGACTTTATAAATAACAATTTCACAACAAACATAGGCTTGGTAAGTGGGCCATAAATCTGAGCAGTCAGCCTGCTGAGCATTTTAAATGCCAGCCTTGCCATTGCATTATTTTGAATTGACTGCTGGTGAGAAAATTAAGGAGAGCTGGAGTTGAGCTAAAAAACTATTCTGTTGTCAAAGCCATTTTTTTGCATCGTTCTGCTTCATGGATTCAGCCTCTACTGCTTGCTTGTTTCCATAAAGGGAAATGGGGTCATTGGGTTAAAAACAAAAACCCACAATACAAAGGATTCATATACAGGAAAAAGAACTGCAGGGCTGTGGAATGCAACAGGTGGCATATCTCCCCTGACACAGCAATGCAACTTTGATTGTAGAAGTGGTTGTGTGCTCTAATCTTCCCCAGAATTTTCTGCTCCAAGCAAGAGGAGGAATACAGTGGGGTAAGCACACTTTATGAAGAAATCGATCTGGATATGAAAAGAAATGATACTCTGTCACACATACAGGTGGGCAGAGGGAGACTCGGAGAAAGGCTTCCTACAATCATGGAATCATAGAAATGTAGAGTTGGAAGGGACCCCAAGGGTCATCCAGTCCAGCCCCCTGCAATGCAGGAATCTCAGCTAGAGCATCCATGATAGATGGCCACCCAACCTCTGCTTTAAAACCTCCAAGGAAGAAGAGTCAGCATCCTCTGGTTTTCTCCAGTGTTGTGGTCGGGAGAAAGTGCGGAGGCGCCATTCTTCTGGCCAAGAATGGCTGGTCAGCTTGGGCAAGTGGGCACAGCCACCCCTGAAGTCCCAGAACCCCAAGGACAGAAGAGCTCAGTCCCTCCTGCCTCTCGCCCACCCTTGTTAATTTTTTTCACTCTCAGAGTAAATGAATCTTTACATCAAACGAGACTGGCTAGTCTGCCAGCCAGAAGCAACACTCTTGCTGATTCCCATGCCTCCGCTACCTCACAGGTTCATTGATAAAATCAGCTCTGTATCTCTGGGACCAGTTTTTAGTTTCTGGCCAATAAGCATTCAAAGAGCAATCAGTGTGTGTTGCTAAGTCCTACCTGGGGGGGGGGGGGAGAGGCGTGGCAGGACAACCAGGGAAACATAGTCAACTTGCTTGGAGCTACACTCCTCTGCTAATCCTTTCTCTCCTGCCTCCACCAATTGTTAACATTCAGAAGGTCACAAAAGTTTAGCAAAGAGATAATCAGTGCTCCCAACCAATTCAAGTTGCAGCGTTTTCCAATCCTCTGCACATTTTTTAAGAAAGTGAGTGAGAGTCAGGCTGCAGCTTGCTTTTACACTTGCATAATTTTGTTACGGCCTTGCCTAAACAATATGTGTGTGTGAGAGAGAGAGAGAGGACTAGGAGGAGCTGGAATAGGAGATGAAAAATCATCTCAGTGAGTTAGTCTCTTTATTTAAATTTTTTGTTAATGACAAGCCAGAGGTGAACACAGAGTGCAGAGGTGGGGAGTGGGTGCTTATCACCAGCATGCGCCCCAAGCTTTTCTCCTCCTCCCCTTAATATCCCTTTGTTTGCTGGCTGTAGCAGCAAAAAGAAAACAAAAATCAAAAATTAAAAGTATCAAGAGGCCAAAAGAAACACTGCCATTTTTATGTAGTCTGGTGTGACTATTGATTATACAAATAACAAGGGATATGGTAAAACAGTACCCTCCCCATTCCTATAAATTTTCATTGTTATTGATACAAAATAACTTTTACTTACGGTCACCAAGCTAAGCAATACACATTACAACACATCATTTCATATACAGTGGCACCTCTGGTTACGAACTTAATTCGTTCCAGAGGTCCGTTCTTAACCTGAAACCGTTCTTAACCTGAGATACCACTGTAGCTAATGGGGCCTCCTGCCGCCGCCGCTGCGCAATTTTGTTCTCATCCTGGGGCAAAGTTCTTAACCCGAAGTGTTTGTAACCCAAGGTACCACTGTATGTAATGACTAATAATTTTGGTTATCTACACTTTTGACACAACTTTGTTGATATATTCAGAAATGTTTTTCTGACTGTTCTTGCTTCATTTTTTGTTTGTAATTCTATGTAATTGTTGCATGCCAAACGCGTGTGTGTGTGTGTGTGTGTGTGTGTGTGTGTGTGTATTCAACCGTGTTGATAGTTTAAAGATGAAAATGAATAAAAACTATGTCACCAAAAAAATAATAATGGTAATATGGTTGAAATAAAGGTCAGTTGAGAATGGACCTTTAGATAAGGTAAGCGTAAAGGACCCCTGACAGTTAAGTCCAGTTGCGAACGACTCTGGGGTTGCGGCGCTCATCTCGCTTTACTGGCCGAGGGAGCCGACGTTTGTCCGCAGACAGTTTTTCCGGGTCATGTGGCCAGCATGACTAAGCCGCTTCTGGTGAAACCAGAGCAGCTTATGGAAACGCCGTTTACCTTCCCGTCGGAGCGGTACTTGCACTTTGATGTGCTTTCAAACTGCTAGGTTGGCACGAGCTGAGACCGAGCAACAGGAGCTCACCCTGTTGCGGAAGTTCGAACCGCCGGCCTTTCGATCAGCAAGCCCAAGAGGCTCAGTGGTTTAGACCACAGCGCCACCCACGCCCTGCGTTTAGATAAGAGGTGGTTACTATTCAGGAGCTAGAGAGCCCAGTTAATCTGGTCAATATTTTGAGCATAGCTATTTGTATTGTTTCCTAGTTGACCTCCATGCTGTTTCCTGAACCCTGATTTGTCCAGCAAAGCATTGTAAAGGGGAGCAGCCTGTGCAGTTAGCTGCAGAGGTACCCAAATCCCCCTACAACTTAGCTGGGAGTCTCTTGTAGCAAAAACAATCAAAAAGTCTAATGGCACCCCTTAAAAACTAGCCTATTTATTATAGCATAAGCTTTCATGGACTCAAGCCTGCATCTGATGAAGTGGGATTGAGTCCATGGAACCTTATGCCAAAAACAATTTGTTAGTCTTCAAGGTTCTACAAGACTCTTCAATTGTTAGAAATAGTGATAAACAATAGCCTGAGTATATGCCTGCTTTTCTCCCTATGCATTTCCAGTCTTCTCTTCCTAGTGTGTTTTAAGGCCCACTACCTAGCACTTATTTCTTGCTTGCTGAATAAATGTGTTGTTTCAAAAGTCATGAAACTTCTTAACCTCTCAATGCTCTGTTCTTTCCTCTCTAAAAGAAGTTGGTTATGGAAACTGTAACATGAGACATAAGCCGAGTAGGGAGCCAGAGATTTGCCTCTGAAGAACAGTCTTTACTAAAGGAGTGGGAGCCAAACTCTTTGTAAACAGCACAAAGCAGGCAGTCCAAAATATTTAATTTGGCTCTAGAGGGATCAGGGAGAAATTGCTGATACGTTTTGCCACAAATGTACATTAGCTTCATCAGTTGCTCTGACTTTTTAGTATTATTTTTTCAAAAGCTTTATTGTGATCTGAGCTTCTTTTTCCACTGTGTGTGTGAGAGAGAAGGGAGGGCGGGGATTAGTTGTTATTTTAATGGATGTTTATTAAAAGAGGATTGGAAAAATAATCTAAAACTTTCGGCACTCCCTTTTCATGAAGACTTAAACATGAAATTATCTAAAGCTGAACTAAGAAAGATCATTGTGCACTCAGAAGTCTGCATGACCATGTTGAAATAGCTAAATAAATAAGTAAATCTGAAAGTTTTGGCCAGGATAGTTTTTTGGCTCTGAATAGCAGTGACTTGTCTGACAAATCTGTGTGTTGCCAGATGTGCACAAACATGCCCACTACCCTACCTAATTGTGCTTGCACTTTTTGTTTATCAGGGTGTTCAATACACGAACAACTTTTGAGTGGCCTTTCTGTGGCAGTAATAATATAAATCGGAGCTTTTCAACCTTTTTGAGTCTACGGCTCCCTTGACAATCTACATTCTTTCTGTGGCATCCCTGTGGGGCTCAGGAGCCCAGTTATGTCACCCCTTGCCTGCAGAGCTGGCAGCCCCTCACCCTTTTTCGAACACCCTCTTTTGTGGAGTGCTCCTTCAGCCTCCTCCCCTCTCCTTGGGAGTCCTTTGGGCAGCCGCAGCTGCCGCCCCTGGTCTCTGAGCTGCCCCCCTTACCCCAAAGAGAGGTGTCTCCTCACAGGGCTCCACAGGGGCCTGGGAAGCACCCACTGGCCAGCCCCAGAGGCACCATTCGTCTGGAGAGCTTGTAGCCAGCGCTGCTGCAACAAACAGCCATGCAAGCCTTGGGGAGGCAGAGACTCAAGAGGGCATCAGAGGAGGGAGGGAAGGAAAGAAAGAGGGACAGAGGCCAGTGTTTATTGCAGCACCCCTGACCACCATTCAGGCACCCCAAGGTGCCACGGCATACTGCCTGAAAACCAATGATATAAATAAATGTGCTTGTCTGCAAACCACTACAAACTAAAATGGTTATCTAAAGCACAAAAAAGTTCAAGAAGAACCATGCTGTCTTGTTTCCACTCCTGTGGGGCTTACTTAAAATGTGTGCCCAAAATGGCTAAAAATCAGAACTGTACTAAATGGAACAGAGGACTGTGGGTTGCAGCAGCATTACTATTGGCCCAAAAGCATTTGGTGAAAGAAAGCTTATGCTGATTGGGCAAAAGAAAAAAAAAGGTGTGTGTCTGTGTGTGTGTGTGTAGAGAATGGAGGCAAGGAAATGAAACTTAGTTTGTGTCTGTGTACACTGGTGTCATCTTTTCCTGGCCTTCTCCTCAGGCGTGTTGCCTGTGATGCAACAGGCACACACATGTTCCAAAGAATGACAACTGGCTCATTAGAGCAGTCTGATATCTAATCCCAAGTGCATTTCTCTGCTGTTTGTGTTCCTGGAATTCTGAGTAAGCAGATTTGAGGAAGTGGAAATGAAGGAGGTAGTAAAAACACACTTTAAAGGCGGGTTGGGAGAAAGCTACTTTTATGCATGAGTTAGCTTGCCTTGTTGGTAGCAGATTCATTGTAATTGGGCAGTTGCATAACAACAAAACATATTTAGGTGAAATGTGACTAGCCTCCCCCCGCCCCTGTGAAAATAGTTAGGTTTTTGTGCCATCTGAAATAATACTGTTCTTTTTGGACACATATCTATAAACAGTTACTTGCCCCCCCCCCCAATCGTGGTTAAATTTATATTTGGAAAAATCTTTTTATATAAGAATGCTAATTATACTCCCAGTTACCATTGGAAGCATGGAAACATGTCAAAGATGGTCAACCCTCAGTTGACTGCATTCAGAATTGATCCTGTCTCCTGTAGTCCCCGTCCTTGTGTAGCCCTCTAGTTTTAGCTGACTCCCCTGACAATTTTTGTCCTTATGCCAAAGCAGCTGGAACCTGTATTGTTTGACAGCAGACCAACATGATATGGCGGAGGGCCGAAGAGCCACTTTAGACATGCCCCTCTTGCAGACTTTCCGGTGAGGTTGTTTGTGGCCTTTAAACAGCAGACCCTCCCATGCCATACTACAAATTTGTATTACAAGATGCTCCTGTTTCAAAAACAGTTCATTATATGCCATGGGAACCTGCTGTTGGTGGAGCACTCAAGCCAAACGCCTGTTGGGTATGTTGAACTATGCAGTTCAACATAGATGCTAGCCCATGCCTCCAATGATTGGAGCTATTCTTTGTGAAGAACAAATCATCTGATACTCCTTTTGTGTGGCCTCATGTTTTGGTGCTTGCTTTTCCAGTCACTTGTAACCTTGAGTATTGCAATAGCATGTTGTCTAAATTCCTCGTTCTGTTTTGTCTCAGTCACATTGATCAGACAACAACATGGCAGGATCCAAGGAAGGCCCTCCTTTCTCAGATGAATGTTACAGCTCCCACAAGTCCTCCGGTGCAACAGAGCATCATGAATTCAGCAACTGGTAAGGAGAAATCAACAAAAATCTTCAATGAAGTTGCGTCAAGCAGTTTAGTATTTCACAGTGAAAAGTTATGCATTGCTGAAGTGCAGTCTGTCATTACTACATATGCTTCAATTCCTAAATAGTTTATGTCCCATATAATTGCTATATACTGGTGCTTCCACCGAGGAGGTAGAACACCCAATTAAAAATAATACAGATTTGTATAATTAACAAGGGACCCACTGTACTTCCAAGATAGAGAAGTGAGATTCAACTGTTTCTTTTGAAATATTCAAGTCTGCTTTTAAAAAGTATCAAAGTTCATATGCTGCTCTGGTTACTACATGTTAGTCAACATAACCCCTTCTCTTGTTTCTCTCTCTCGTCCTCTTAAATCTTTTCTGCCTTCTTCTGCCTTCATTTTTATTACAATCGTGATGTATTTCTCTCCTATCTGGTGTGATTTCATGGTGTTTTTCCTAACATTTGGCTCATGCAAAACCTTTTGAAAAAGTCAACACTGCTTTGTTTGATCCCTTTTTGGGGAAGTGGCTCAGTATCTGCACAACCCATTCTTGCCTATGACAGCCGATCTCTCATTCAAAAAAAGCCAATGGTCCTCCTCTACAGGCATTACTTTAAAACATGGCACTAATTAAAATGCTAGGTCTGGCTCCCTCCTGTTGCAGTTTCTGTCACTTTCCAATTCATGGAGGTTGACTGAAATGGGGAACCTGCTCTAAACTCTTGAGACATGTGCCATGCAGCTACAGGCCCTTAACCTATGCTAGTCCTTCAGCTGTCTGAATGCCAGATGGGGAACAGTTGTGGTGATTATACATAGGTGCAGTGTTAAGATGAGTTCCCTGTGCAATGCTGATTCTTTGTTGGAAAGACAGACCAAAGCAACTTTCCTTGCCATTGCTTTTCTTATTGTATACCCACTTCTTGCTTTATCTAAACTAGGGGTGGGAAACCAATTGGCCTCTAGATGTTGTTGGACTCCAGTTCCCATCAGACCCACTGAGCAAACCAATAGACAGAAACAATGAGAGTTGTAGTCCAACAATATTTGGAGGGCCTTAAGTTCACCATCCCTAATCTAAACAAGCTCTCAGGGGTACTGTAGCTCTGAATTCTGCGCTAGCTATTATTTTGTATATTATTGAGTTACACAACTGCATTTTAAAAACTTGAACACCTGGCTTCTCGGATGTGAAATTGCATGGCTTTAATAAAGATTACAGATGGATCACATAACATTGGATGGTGCCTTTTAAGAGCTCAGATTATGTAGGAATTGTCACTTTCTGCAGCTTTAATTTTTGTAGTTTACCAAAAGTAATGATGGTGGTTGCAACTTTTCATGTGATGATTGGAGTGGGAAGTTGGGCATGGATGAGAGAGAAACTGGAATTTTTTGAGGGAGGACTACTGCAATGACTCTATGGATCTGTTAGAAAAGAGGAGAGGTTCACATTTGGTACTGTGTTTGATTGTGTTGTGGGAGGGGAGGCACACTTGCAGCCACAACAAAAGATCAAATTGAGAATTGGTCAATTACTCTATCCACCAAAAGGTGGGGCGGGGCAAAGTTATGATTTTTCTTCCCTTTCAAAGCCGTCAGTTGGGAAGTGGTGATGCTTCTAAAAGGCTGCATGGTAGTCTTGATTCAGTGTGTGTGTGTGTGTGTGTGTGTGTGTGTGTGTGTGTACAGTAATGCATATTGCTAATCCCTTTGGTTAATAATGATAGCTACTAAGTGGTTTGCCTGGAGTGAGATACTTAGAAGTATCAAAGAACATGGAAGGAGCATGACACATGGGTATTGGGGTGAATGGGAGGGGACAGAAGTCGTAACAGTGTTAAACTACCCCAGATGTAGCTGCAACCACAACGTCAAAATGTAGTCCACTCATTTTGTGCAGTGTGATTTTGCGTCTCCACTTGCAACGAGCAGAATTTGTGGCAAAAATGGGCAATATTACAGCAGCCAGTGATACCTCCTGCACTTGCAAACTCCTGTTGGTAGAGACCCACCATTGGGTCGTAGTCTAGTAAAAGCTGGCACAAATATAGCTTGTTTTCAAATCTCGGGGCATACTTTCTGCTTTGCCTACGGCCCTACGCTATTTATGCAAGGGATTTATGCTGCTTGAAAGTGGAACAGGAGCAAACTATGTTTCTGCTACGTTTCTGTTTTCCTGTGCCTTCTTTTATTACACACCTATGCATTTTTTGAAGAAGGTGGGAGTTTTTACAATGTATGCACTGTGGAAATCCTGGTGGAGTGTCCAGGATAAAATACTAGATATGTTCGAATTCATCCTTAGCAATGCAACTTATTAAGTAATCTTAGGCTGGCCATTATCTTTTAAAAATAAAAATAACGAGAAATCCTGATTGCTAAAATACTTCCTGTCCGTGTACATAGTGCTTTGCAGCATGAGCTAAAATAGGTCCTGACCCTGGTGGCTTTCAGTCCAAGAGTTGACAGCTGAAAGAGAACAGGGGGATATAAGAAGAGCCAGCTGAATTAAACCAAGAGCTAATTTAGTTCTGAATTCTGTTCTCACAGTGTCTAACCAGATGCCCATGGAAAGCCAACAAGAAGTATATGAGTGTGATAGCCTGCTGCATTTCATGATCCCCAGAGGCTGGTGTTCAGAGGCAACCAACCAGAAGCGTATGGGAAGCCCAGAAGCAGGACATGACTGCAACAGCACTTTACTCACTTGCAATTCCTAGCAGTTGGCTTTCAGAGGCATACTGCTTCCAATGATGGAAGTAGTAGTACAAAGCCATAGCATCCTCATCAAACTTGGTTACCTCATTACAAACTCCTAATTCCGAATCCTTTTTAAAGCAAGTTAGAAAGCACTGGTCCCAGTGGAGTTCCTTGCAGAGCCCCATTTCCTACAGCCTTCCAATTTGAGATGCCTGCTGGATCCTCTCATCCAGATGTTTGTTGACAGTGTAGAACATGGGGGGACGGACAGGTACTTAGATTTTGTTGAAATTGAGTGAATGGAGGGTCAAGAACAGCTTCATGGACAATGTAGATTTTGAAGGGAAGTAGATGACACTAGAAAATCTGGGAGGGATTTCAGGGCATAAAAGGCAGCAATGGATAATAAGAGGAAAGAGAGAAGGAAACCTTCAGGCTGCTGAGGGAGGATAAGAACTGGAGGTGCAAAGATGGTGGGCATGGCTGTATCTGAGTTATTGTGAAATACAATTTTTACCCCCTTCCTTTTGAGTGTTGTGGAAAGGCAGTGTAATGTATTACTAATAAACTTTCCTCTTTAACATACTCTTCAAATCTCTCCATATGTGCTATCTTGGGTGGTCCTTCCTAACTTAAGACTTCATTCTCTCTGCTCAGTGGATGAGCAACACTAAAAGCCTATTAGTTAACCCTCTTCACTTTCTACTTCATATGCATACATTTACATAATTAATGGGCGTATTTGGAATTTGCATTGGAGATAAGTGGAGCATGTTGTGCTTCTGTGATGTTTTGATGCTGAACATTAGCTCACTGCTCATTAAGATGGGACACTGAAGAAAAATAGAACATTGCTGTTTCCCGCCAATAAACAAATGCTTCTATGATTAACAGTCTACATAGTTATTTTAGTGTACAAAATGCATCACGGTTTCTAGTTCATCTATGCTCTTGTCAGTCTTGAAAGAAGTGGGTGATCACTGTTTCCATTCTATAGATAGTAACGGAGAAAGTATCTGGCAGGGCATCTTATCTAGTGAGTCTATGACTGTGGTCTACTCAGCCCAAGTCCATCTTAGTATGGCCCATACTGGCCCTCACTGAGTCCAGGAGAAAATACGGGAGCCGCTAATAGCCTGCCTGCTACAGTGTCATAACACTTTTTGCAACCTTCCTAATGACTCCGCAAATTGCCAGCCAACTCACATTCTTTAAAAATGAAGTGCGACATATGGGGAATCATTTAGAAAAACTAAACAAGGACACAAAGGAAGCCAAAAGTAGATCCTAAACGCTTCTGAAATATTGAATGCTCCTAAAAGGCGATAAAGGAGAAACAAAGACAGAAATAGTTGCTTTATACATACAGACTATAAGGACTTTGGGCCCAGAGACTGGTCTCCTGCATGTGCATTTACCACCACCTGTGTTAAATCTTGGGAATAGGGCAAATTTTGAGCAAATAAAAAATAGGGTGAATTCTGGGGTAGGGTGAGATTTTTCACTCCAGATGCACGAAATGAATGTGTTACTATAACACAGCATCTTTCTCTGTCCCCCACACCTCCAGAGCTACTAGAGACTGAAACTATTAGTTTCATGTGTGCTGTGTGCTGTGTAAATCATTTTTGGGGGTTCTTAATAAAAATTGGCTAACTTTTTCAGTAGGGGCAAAGCAGAGCCTACTATGAATTGCTTCCTTCTGTGTTACAGGCCCGCTCCCTGATGGATGGGAACAAGCCATGACCCAGGATGGAGAAATTTACTACATAAACCATAAGAACAAGACCACATCTTGGCTAGATCCAAGGCTTGACCCACGCTTTGGTAAAAGTTCCTCTCACTTAAGACTCTTTTTTTTTTGTTTCCCCTCCCTTAAGACACCTTTGTACTTAGGTAAATATAACATATATTTTTTCCTTTTTACTGGCTACCTGTAGCCAAAGACTTGGCAAAGTATTTCAGATTAATTTCTAAAATTCACCCCCACCTATCTCCGTACCTCATGTCTCTTTAACTGTCTTGTGCCTCTGCCCACTTCTGTTAACACATAACACTCCCATCTCTAGGCAGTGGGATAGATTTCCCCCCAGTGTCCTCTTCTAATTGACACTGCCAACCCACTATATTTGAGTTTTCTGCTGCCTCCTTCCCACCCCTTCCTCAGATTCTTGTATTGTAGGCTCCTTGAATAATATGTTGCATCTTTACAATGTTTGACATCCTTTACTTACGCTGACAATTGTTATAACAATTCCGTAAGGTTAGCCTAATGATGCCCATAGAGGGCTTAGGCTGCTTAGTTCAAGGAAACAATTTGACCCAGAATTATTCTAGTTCATGGCTTGGTCTTCAAGCTTCTATCTACACTAGCTTTATACACTAAAGGGATTAGAGACAGCTGATCTGCCTCATGAGTCCTCTTTCCACTCAGCTTTTCAGCCTTTACTTTTCCTTGAAGTAAATCCCCCTCAATTTCTCAGGACTTGATCTTCCAAGCACCTCTGATTCAGTCCCTTATGCTAATCAATGCATGCCTTTGCTTTTCCATGGCTGGTTTTCCACTCCTTACACAGCAACAACATTGCGAGCACGTGACTGTCCCTTCTTCTCAGCAAGAAGGACTGTTGTGAACATTCTGTGATGTCACAATGCCTCAGCCAATGGTTGGCATACAAGGTTAGATTACAGGTGACAACCGCTTTAATGCCAAGGTTCAGGATTTTATAGGATCTCTGTCTTAAGAAACTCTGTCATGGGTTTACTTGGCAGTAGAAGTACTTGCCATATAATTGTCCGCATTAATATGAAATCATCATTATTTTTGCTTTGCTATGCCAGCGAGACTTGTTTTATAACTTGCATTGTTATAAACCTTGCACTATAGTTTGCTGTAATGATCTATGGGAAAACCCCTCAGCAGATACATAATGCATAAAGCTTTGGAAACTTGTTTATAGCAAAGAACTGGGTTCACTGTAGTGTTTGTTCCAAATCTAGCAACACACAGGTGTTGTCTCTTCTTATCTGTTGGCATGGTTGAGAGATCCAGGCATGCCCTTTTACAATGCATGATGGCTGAACAGCTGTGAAGGATGCTGAAATACTTAGTGAATAAGGGATTATTCGCCAGGGGCTGGGGAGTGGAAGGGAGTGGGTGGGTAACAGGATTGCAAACCGTGTTTGCGACCATGCCTTTTGGCGATCAATTTTATATAGGCCATTTATAGAGCTGCCATATTTGAAAAAGTAAAAGCCAGGACACCCCAAAAGTTGTTGATCTTTTTCTTACAAAAACAGGATTTTTCGATTGACCTGCCTAAGATCCAGGGCAAAGCGCCACCTTTCAGATATCCCTCCTCCCCCACATCAATTCCTTTAGAATTAGTCTGTGATCCTTTTGGTTTCATTTTCTATCTTCCTGTAGCTTATTGGGAAATCAAAACTTGGAACCAGCTTCCTGAAGGAGCGGTTTCTAATGACTTGAAAGTAAACTTTTTAGTTTCACACACAGAAAAATCTTGTGTGTGTTTACTCGGGAGAAAGCCCTACTGTGTCCAGTGGGGTTTACTCACTAGTAAGTATTTAGGATTGCAGTTTTGAAATTGGTTGGAATTCACATAGACAATATTCCCCCCCACACAAAAAAATGCTAAAAATGGGCATGTTGTGTTTAAAAACAATTGTTTTGGCCTTAATGGAAACTTCTCCACAAAATGTTATATAGGCTTTACCGCGGCTTATTTGGGTACCTGTTTATTAATTTCTTTTGTTTAGTATGGATATAATAATATTGGATAAGAGAAAATAATATAGGCCACTAATATGTGATAGACAGTTAGGGCCAGGGAATGCTCTGAAGGCTTGTAGTAATGCCACACTGCTAAAGCTGAGCATGTCTCTGCCTCATTGGTACCTAGAAGGGATATTGGAATCTTAGGGAAGCTGTTGGGTATTTCTGTAAAGAAAAGCAGGATATGTGAAGTTAAGATACTCTTTAAAAATGCAGTAACTCGGTTGGTTGGTTCATTATTTTAGAATGTTATACCTGTACATATGTCCTTATAAAGAACCACACAACAGACGTGATACTGGCAAGAAAGCAGATACTTGTGGCTTCTGAAGTTTTGTCTTGGCCTTAGCGCAGTGAAACGAAAATAATGTGCAGATCACTGAGTAGGTCAGGCTGAAGGTGTACAAAAGGCTTTGAAGCTTCACAGGGCTTTTGACCTATCAACAGCTGTGGGCCTCTTCAGGGAGGTGCATTAACTTCACAAGTGCACACTGCTGGAAGACTCAACAGCTCTTGTTTTTCCCGTATTAGATCTCACTACTCGTATTTGTGTGTTAATGTTTTACAGCAAAACCCTAACCATGCCTGCGCAGTAACAAGTCCCATTGAATTCAGTGGGGCTTGCTCCCAGGTAAGTAGGGTTAGAATTGCACCTTTCAGTGCTAAATAAGCCTTCTGACTCTTCACGATACAGTTAACTAAGGCAAAAAGTTTAACAGCCCGATTTTGTTTGTGGAGAGGAAGAAGGCTGAGGATTGCAAAAGATCAGGGAGCTCAAGAGTTAGTGCCCTGCCCTGTTTGTTTGTTTGTTAGTTTCCTGTACTTCATCTTTAGATCTTGGGTCAGTTCAGTATGAGAGGCATTCTGACACCAGACTGCCAAAACACCTAGTAAATTTGAGGTGCTATGCAACTTAAGAAAAAGTGATGAACCACAAGGAAATAGTGCAATGTGTTCTAAGGAGTTCTCTTGTTCAGAGCTCCGGCTAGGATAAAGCAGCAACATTGCAGTGATGCCTAAGAACTTAGGGGAAGAGGACCATTCAGCAGCAGGGAAGGAAGAAGAGATGTCTTTCTCCTTTCCCACGCACCCAAAGCCTTCCTGCCCTGTTCTAGATAGTTCAGCGCTACTGGAGGTCAAGTGCAGGATTGCCTGGCAGCCTCAGCCTAACCGCTTTATTGCCAGATAGAAGAAATGGGGAGAACAAGGAAGGGGAAAGGGTGCTAACGCCCCCTCCACTCCTGAAATGACATTGTACAGTATGCGGAAAGAGTTTCACAAACATCATGGTATGCATTTTTCTGTCCACCACCCCTGCTGGAAATCTTAAACCATTGAAGGCTCATGTCACATGACCTTCATTTCTCTCTTTAAATAAGCTGATACCTTTGAGAAATCACATATCCAAGCATCAAACTCTCCAGAAATGCTATGATTTCACAGGGTGGCTGTATAGGAGGAACTGTAATCTGATTGGTATAACTGTACCTGTGGTTGTTTGGTGATGGTTTGTTAAGGTGTTTATGGAGGTGGAATGAAGATAGTGGTCAGAAAACCATTTTTTGCTCCACAACTGCCATTGGCTTGTGTCACTTGGAAGGTCTTTATAGGCCAGTTGAATAATTGCAGTTACAGTTAAACTGGCTGTATGTCTTGAAGAGTGAATGTCAGCTAGGAATTAGAACTAACTTGCCAAGTTTTAGGCAGCTTTGTATGTTGCAAAAGCTTTCAGAGCTATGCAATTTCAAAAGCAGGGTGCTTGCTCACATATGCAGTAAAGCTTTCTTTGTACTGTAACAGATTTGTTCCCCTTTTATTATATTCACGAATGACAACATTTGTGCTTCAGGGTACTACACCAGGCATAGGCAAACTCGGCCCTCCAGATGTTTTGAGACTACAACTCCCATCATCCCTAGCTAACGGGACCAATGGTCAGGGATGATGGGAGTTGTAGTTCCAAAACATCTGGAGGGGCCGAGTTTGCCTATGCCGGTATTACACTCTGCAACACCCCAGATCACTTCCCTGCAGAAAATAAGCCTTACTAGATACACTGAGTTAAAAGCCTGTTTTTTTTTTTATTCAAAAGATGAACCTGAGGCAAAAATAATAAAAAAATGTCCTAAGGTCAAGCACTAAAATAGCTAGCTCCAAAGTGGAATAATTTATTGTGTGAACTGAAAATGTAGACTAGCATGGACACTTTCCATACCATGAAAATATTACCAGCCATTACTTCTGGGAAGTTTGGAGCACTTAACCGTAAATGATCTTGTTTAGTGCCTGGATGTGTATATAAAGCCAAACGGAAACTCGTAATTTCACAATTACTCCTCTTAATGGATTTATATCTCTAGTGGGCTTTGTAACAGAACAACTGTTAACAGTGCGCCTATGTAGTAAAATGTCCTGTTTAGTGGCAAGCAGATAGGCTTTAACTGTATTAGTAACCAATTAAAATTCATAGTTGTTCAAGAAATAGATGAATCAAAAGATGGGGAACTTGATATGAATTGGCCCCTTTCCCTGTGATTTGATTTAAATAGCCTTGTAATTTTAAATTGGTCCACCCTTTGTGGCACAGCAGTGACCTGAAATGCAGTAGAAGAGGAATCAACTGTTAGGTTGCAAAACTTTCCTTGTCTGGTTACCTGGAAGAAATCATGACGAAGCAGGTAGCTGTTTAGGCACACTGAATGGCTACTTGCCCATCACTACACTGAGTGCCGGCAGCTCAAATATTTTTTGGTGATCATACCAAAATGATTTTAGAGCTGCAGCTCTTAGAACTGTGTTACTGTGAGAACCAAACCATGTTTGGTAGGGTCGAGGCAACCTCTGCTTCTCCCAGGAAAGAGTGATCTGCAAAGTGTCATGTCTGGGCCATGTGTTGATGATCTGAGAAGGAAAGGGTTGGGGGTTTTTTGTTTCGTTTTTTGCTCCTTTCCCCCATACATTGATCTCTTTCTCTCCCCCCCACCCCACCTCTTACTTGCAAGAGTTGTTAAAGGCTATCTGGAATAAGGAGCTAGAGCAAAGGTCACAAGCTGGGAACATCTCTCTCTGGAAAAACACACTCAGTCTGCTGTGAATAGTGGTGTCTCCTCACTCCGAGCAATGAAACTACTTGTCTTAAGCATTCCATCCTTTCCTAAGATGTGAAGTGCTGCATCAGTTAAACTCAAAAGCTTCAATATCCAAAAAAGAGAGGCATACAGCTGTTTTATTTTTTCACTGCATAGTTTCCCTTTTTGGGCCCAGTGTGTATGCATAGTGCAGACAGAGTTGAGTACACGCCAGAAGATTTTTTTTTTTAAAAAAAAATTATTCTGTGGTTGAACTTTTAATCTGTTCCAGGCCTTTTCAGTTAAAGAGCTCGGCTGAAGGGGGAAGGGGAAAGAGAAGCACAAGCATGTGGACTTCTTTGATTGAGGGCGATGGCAAATGGGAGACAGCCTGCTTTTGAACAGAGAAAGGAGGCTTCCTTGAAACGTTCTAAGTTCTACGTGGTAGTGATGGCTGTGTTTCAGTTTTCAAATGTCTGTGCCAAGGGAATTTGTTCTGCTCGCACCCTTCTCTCGCCTGACCTTTTCCCCTTCTGGCTCACAGTGCATATGAAAATCCAAAATTAGTGGTTTGAATCTTAACTTTCCTTCCCACAAATCAAACAGAATTAATTTTCACAGATCAGGATCTCCCCATGATAATTCCACCCACCCATACAAAAATAATAATAATCTCCTGCTGGTGATTGGGAGACGCTTGGATGATGTGAGCTATGGTATGGAGTTCTGCAGATGTAAACATAGAATAGATGTCCAGTACAAAACCCGCTGAAATGAACAACTTTGTGTTGGTTCATCTATTGTTCTTTCCAGTTCAGAGCATGCAGATGAATTGCTTCGTAAACTGAGCACCATGTTTAAATTGAGGGGAATGTGGGTTTTCCATCTGAGGTACCAAAATGCCCTGTTTCACACTCCTTCTCCCTTTTAAGAAATGTGTACAGTGGTACCTCGGGTTACAGACGCTTCAGGTTACAGATGCTTCAGGTTACAGACTCCGCTAACCCAGAAATAGTACCTCGGGTTAAGAACTTTGCTTCAGGATGAGAACAGAAATCACGCAGCAGCGGCATGGCGGCAGCAGGAGGCCCCATTAGCTAAAGTGGTGCTTCAGGTTAAGAACAGTTTCAGGTTAAGAACGGACCTCTGGAACGAATTAAGTTCTTAACCTGAGGTACCACTGTATTTAGCAACTCTAGGTTAATAGTAGTTTTTTTAAAAAAACTCAGTGATTTAGGAGACTTCAAAATGCTTTGTTCACAAGAATAGATGGACTCTCATTGCAGCCTGCTTTCCATTGTGAACACTGAAAACAAAGCACCAAGGAGGAGAAATAAATGTAATTTCTGAGCAAAACTCAGAAATTAACCCTCCTCCACAGGAAGCCTCTATTACTACATAAGATGTAGAACTAACTAACTAACTAAATAAATAAAGCAACCAAGTAGCATGTGCCCAATTGTTCAGGCATTTTGGAACAAAAGAAATCAAACACACTGAGACTCGGCCACCAAGGAATTTCCCTTCCTTGCCAACTTGTGGGATCACGAAGTGGTCCTCATTTCCCTGTATTGTTCTCACTGGAATACAAGCACTGGTAAATTAAATGAAGCATCTTGTTTACACATTCCAGCTTCTTTTTGATTCAGCTGTTCACCCTTTCAACTGTTTAGGTGGGTAGTCTTACATAAACCGTTCAAATTTAGTGACCTTCTTTCTAAATTATTGACACATTGGCTGGAGAAAGATGTAACCTGTCTGGGTACTTCCTCTCCATTTTACAGTATATGTGGTTTGTACAGGAATACTCTCCAAGTAAAGTAGCAGCAGACGTGAGCCTCTTGAAGTATAACTAGGTAGGGTGAATGAGAGGTAACACTTGCTCAATGCTCAATTGCTCTCATGTCAATTTGAGGGCCCAGAAGGTGAGTGGAGCAAGGCCAGGCCTCTCATTACCAGAAAAGCACAACTGCCAGTTCCTTTTGTCTTGGATCCCATCCTGCTCCTATAATGCTTGAAGGAAGGAATCGTACTTATGGTACATGCACAACATCAGTGACTAGGATACATGGGCATGAGTTGAACCTGCATGATCAGCCTTTTGCTATCTCAAGACATCATTGGAGTAGAATCTAACCATAGGGAAGTGGCAGGCATGCGTGTTTGGCAGCATGTGACTTGGGCCACGGACTCAGAACAGGAAAACACCCCTCGTCTTTCAACAGGAGCACTTCACATTTGGAGAACTGTACCTCTGAAGTACAGTTGTACCTTGGTTGTCAAACGCCTTCGAACCCGTCCGTTTTGGCTCCTGAATGCCGCAAACCCGGAAGTGAGTGTTTCGGTTTGCGAACGTTCTTTGGAAGCTAATCATCCGACACTGCTTCTCCCGCTTTCCGATTGAGTGCAGGAAGCTCCTGCAGCCAATTTGAAGCCGTGCCCTGGTTTTTGGAAGTCGAACAGACTTCCGGAATGGATTCCGTTCGACAACCAAGGTACGACTATACTGCTGGTGGTTCAAAGGATGCAAGAGGGAGTTGACAGTTAGAAAATTGGTGCTTTCAAGTTCCCAAAAGTAAGCAGTAGCTCTGTGTCACACGGTATTAATCGTAATCCCAGCTGGGCAGCAGTGTGTGTGTGTGTGTGTGTGTGTGTCAGTGTCAGAATGGTGTAGCCTCTGCTGCATCTTGGTCCTGCCACTCACATCAGTTGGTGTGAAAAGTGAGTGAAGCAAAACCCTACTCGGCTGCACCAAAGCTAGTGGCAATCAGGTATGGATTGGACTCAGTCTTGTCAAATTATGCCAGTGCAGCTGACTCTGGATCCAGGGCCAGATCAGCCCCTCCCTGCCTCCCAAATGCCTTGTTCAGGAGCTTTTGGCTTGCAATGGAAATCATTGCTTCTTCCACCATCTTGCACCTGGAGTAGAGATGCTAGCATTACTCTATGGACAAAGGTTTGGGGCTGGACAGAGGGTGACTTCCACCCATCCAAGCTGCTTCCTACCACAGTGCAAAGGATTGAACGGTTGCATTGGGTCAGGCTTGCCCTCAAAAGCAAAAATGTTGTTTAAGGTATTGTTTAAACATAATGAATGCACAAAGGCACTTGCAAACTTCAGCCCCAGAAATACTATACAAAAGAGTTCCCCTCCATTTTAATTGCTCTTGGTGCCATGCACAGTTCATATGTGAAGATGAAAACAAAGTTAATGGAAAGTTATAATATACTTGTAACACAAAATATAAATTGCAGATTTGCCAGTTGAAGTTGGTGTACTATGCTGACACTTCAAAGTTAAACAGCTTAGTCATAACTTCTATTATTCTTCCTTTGTGGAGAATACAAGGGGACCAGTTCTTACTTGATTTATACAAACAGTGAGAGCCTTATGTAAAAGAAGCAAAAATGCCAGGGTCCTGCCTACGTTTGCTCCATATTTTTGAAAGGAGCAAATGCAGCCTGCATTAAATGCAAGATATTGCTGAATTTTGCATTGCAGAGAATATTAATAGCCTTAAATATGGTGATCTTCTGACAAAGGGCGGTATAGGAATTGAATAAATAAAATAAAAGTTTGCATTCCCTTTGTCCCACTCTCTGTAAAGATAACCAATCAATACGACCAAGAACGACACAGTCCTTGCTTTTGAGATAGAAAGGGGTGGAGTATTCCTAGTATCTTGATTCTTACTGATTATAGAATATTCTTAAAACTTCATCCAAGTTGCAGATGTAGAGTAGAAAAACTGAAGAGACTGTATTCTGTCCTAAAATGTTAACTTACTAAAGTGTGATCGTTAAGAAAAACAATGTAGCTAAATGGTATGTGTTATAAAATGCTGTTCCCCTCATTCCTTGCTCCAAATCCCTCTTTCCTCCTAAATCCCTCTCTTTCCTCTTTGAAATAAAGACATTTTTGTTCCTCGTCTGCCTGTGAGGTCTTTGTTACTTGCCCCATTTGTGGGTGTTGAGCCTCATAGTTAAATGCTTCCTTGATACCCATGAAAGTAAGGAACAGGAAGCTGGTTAAATTCTAGCTCTAGCAGATAAAGGAAGTCATTTTGCCTCCCCCCCTACCCCCCTTCTCCGTCTGGGCAGACTTTAAAAATGAGCTAAATATTTAAAGATCATTAGATGTCTTTCTTGAACCTCCAAAGTGGAGTTGAAGGTACGTAAAAATATTGGCGCTCCATATGAAGGTTGCAGTGGGACACAGGTGGCGCTGTGGGTTAAACCACAGAGCCTAGGGCTTGCCAATCAGAAGGTCGGTGGTTCGAATCCCCGCGACAGGGTGAGCTCCCATTATTCGGTCCCTGCTCCTGCCAGCCTTGCAGTTCGAAAGCACGCAGTGCATGTAGCTAAATAGGTACCACTCTGGAGGAAAAGTAAATGGCGTTTCTGTGCGCTGCTCTGGTTCTTCAGAAGCGGCTTAGTCATGCTGGCCACATGACCAGCTGTATGCTGGCTCCCTTGACCAGTAAAGCGAGATGAGCGCCACAACCCCAGAGTCGTCCGCGACTGGACCTAACGGTGAGGGGTCCCTTTACCTTTGTGAAGGTTGCACAGCTAAGCTTTTATTTGTATGGGCTTTGCTGTGCAACATCTCTTTCTTTGATTGGTCATAGATTATCCCCCTGCCCCAATAAGAAGTTTTGCTTGCCAAGTTTAGGATGTTTAATAGCACAAACAAATGTGTTTTCCAAAGCTGGACCCATGGTTAGCTATTTAATAGCCCTGGCTACCTGTATAATAGCCCATAACACAATGAAGACATTCTTAATTTTTCTTGATGTGCTCCATTTGCAGACTGAACCCTGGTAGATTTCAGATAAGCCTGGATATATTTGTTCAGGATGTTTTGTTTTCTTTTTTTAAGCAACGTGTTTCTTCTGCACCGCAAAGATGTTGGGGGCATTGCCTTTTTTCATAAAATCATGGCAGCCCGCTCCTTCTATTTTATGAATTACAGTGGCAGGGCCAAGAAGTATCCGTGTGCCTCCAGCCCCCCACTCTCACCCTGTTGCTTTTTATTTTGCCTCTTGTAGGAGATGTTCCTGGAGGAATTGCACTCTTAAATGCTAATCATTTGAGCGTCTTGGAACTGGCTGAGAATATGTTCAAGGAATTGAAAGTGTTTGGTTATTTTTTGCCACATGCCTATAAATAGCCTGGGTTTGATCTACAGCCCAGTGGAGCTGGCCGATGGCTGTCTATTTACAACCGAAATGGAAACTGGCACAATTTCTACATGAGCCTATATTTATCGTCAAATGTATTTTGTTTCTATGACCTAGGAGCAGCCCAGTTGGCTAAAACGTGTAATCGGAATAGCAGCCTTGCTGCCCAAGTGCTTGGTTAGTTTAAACTGACTTTGAGAGCTCTTGATGTAAACCAAATTGTGAAGTGAGCCTCCCTAGGGAGGAACTGTCAACTTGGCGTCCTGCTTTCTGTCTTCCAGGCCGTCGCTGTTCTGAATTCAGTTTGTTCTCCCCTTTTATTAGACTGTTCTGGTTGAAAATATATGGGAAGATGGTTGTTCTCAGCAATAGGGAGAGATTTGGATCACTAAATACATAAAAGACATCAAAATAAAACTGTCTTATGACCATGATTTGAACAACTGCTTTTGATGCACACAAGGAAAGTTGGACATGCATATTGAGGGTTTTATTTATTTATTATTTTTAAAGAGCCCACTCTTTGTATAGTATGAGCAACTAGTTTTTAACTTCCCCCTCGTTTCAGAATTGGCTTTTCAAGCAGTGCAGGGCCTCCTGTTGTGGAATTCACTGTGAAGTTTGCTGGATTATCTAAATCCATGGTCTCTATCAGCTAAGAGAAGACTTCAGTTCTGTGATCCCTGGTTGGTAAAAGTTCTGGGTGTGGGTGCATCCCAAAACACAACCCAAGACACAGTTGTTTTAGGATTTGTCCTTTTCTTCAGCATTCTGACATTCAAAAAGCATTTCTTTTCCTTTCTCTCTCTCTCTCTTTTTAAAAAAACACATATTTGTATTTTCAAACAGGAATTTATTTTGTGCTGTTGTTTCCTAAGTTTTACATTTCGTCCTTTTCCATTTCCACTTCTGCTTGTGATTATAGCACACAGCAATTGTATACGATTTGCCCATGATTTAACGCAAAAAAGAAAAGGAAAAGGTACGCAAGCATTCTAGTTACAATGTCTGTGTTCAGAACAGAGGCTCTCTGAGTTTATGCAAGCGAAAGGCTGCTTTAAATTCAGATTATTTCATCTCAGAATCATCTTATGTTTACCATTTGCCACCCATAATTGCAAATCTTCCTTTTAAACTTCTGACATTAAATGTGATGAGAAAATGTACTACAATGCTCCATTTTGTTGAACACCTTCCTTGCAGTTGGATTTAGAGCAACCATAAGGCTGATATTTTTGGGATGATGCCGTGAATGGTGCTTCAGTGTTTACTATACATATTTGAGATGTGAAAGTTAATCTAGAGTCTTAAGTGGCCTGCCAGTTCATTCAGAGAATTGTCAGCATAAATAAAATAGAAAACAGCCAACACTTCTTCTGTAGTAGAATAAAATGTTTTAGTTTTTTAAACCATGTTTAGCATTTTATGTGTGCTGCCCAGTGGTTATGGGGAGGCATAGGAATATAATAAATATATACTGGGTACTTGAAAAATCTCAGTGTATATAAAAACCCCCACAATAAATGCGTACTGGAAAGTTATGGACCGAGATAGATCTCCTACAATATTTTTATCACCAAGAAAACCCTGGTTCTGCACTCTGAATAAACTGCACATAAATTGCTTGTGCAGTTTATAACTGGTACTCTCCCGGCAACAGCTGTTTTCAGTAGCACTGGAATTTAGAAAAGGGTAGAAATGACTAGATGGGTAGAAAGCAAAAATGAATGAATGAATAGGGGGACTGCAAATGTTGCTCTGTCAGAGCTCACCACAGATGCTACATGAATGTATTCAACCACGGGTAGCAATGAGGGCTAGAGATTTTATAGAAGTAATGAAGCAAGCCTTGTCAAGCCTAATTGTCAGAATCTAGTTACAGGTAGGTAGCCGTGTTGGTCTGCTGTAGTCAAAACAAAATAAAATAAATCCTTCCAGTAGCGCCTTAGAGACCAACTAAGTTTGTTATTGGTATGAGCTTTTGTGGGCATGCACACTTCTTCAGAACCTAAGCAGCCTCAAGTAGAAATAAGCAACAAGCTTGAGTTGAGCCATATCTTTGTCTGTGGCTTCTGCCATTTTGAAATGAAACTTGCCACTACTTATTTTATACCTTTATGCCAAAATGATCCATGAAGCTTGTTACGCAATCACATTTTGGGCCATGATAATGTACAGTGGTATCTCGGTTTACAAACTTAATTCGTTCCAGAAGTCCGTTCTTAAACCAAAGCGTTCTTAGACTGAGGCACGCTTTCCCTACCGAGGCCTCCCGCCTCCGGTGCCCTTCCACCGTTCGGCTTCCATTCCTCTTCCGAGGCAAAGTTCGCTAACTGGAACACCTACTTCTGGTTTTGTGGCGTTTGTTTCCCGAATATTTCGTTAACAGGGCTGTTCGTAGACCCGAGGTACCACTGTACGACTTTGGATGTCTACTTAAATCCATTTGGAAACGCAAATGGATAGCTTTCTGAACTGCGGCTTTCAAGTTGCTTTTTAAAACGCCTGCCCTATTTCTTGCCTCCACAGCTATGAGCCAGAGAATCAGCCAAAGTGCTCCCGTGAAGCAGCCACCCCCAATAGCCCCCCAAAGTCCGCCTGGTGGAGTTCTGGGGGGCAGCAACTCCAATCAACAGCAGCAGATGAGGCTACAGCAACTGCAGATGGAAAAAGAGAGGTTGCGGCTGAAACACCAAGAACTGCTTCGGCAGGTGAGGCCGCAGGTTAGACAAGCGCTTCCACTCTAACATAAATGGCTGCTTGTGCATGTGTGGGTGGCGCTGTGCTCATCCACTTGTAGTTCCAGCAAGCATCAATAGTTTGGAGGAAGGAAGAGGTACCTTGTTTTCGCGTGGAAGGTAAGCATTCAGACCTATGCACTCTAAGGAATGTTTCCTCCACTAAATTGCCCAAGCAAAGTGACATTGCTGCAAGCAGACAGGACCATCACAGCTGTGAATGTATCTCAGGTCAATTGCTTCTTCAGAATACGTCTGTTGCAAGGTGGGTTCCCCCCTTCCCACCTCTCTTGCAATGCTTCCTAGCATTGGCGCTCTTTTCAGCACTTAAAAGACTGCCACATGGACTGCAACCTGCTGGGATGCTTTGCAAAAGCTATTAATGCTCTGCATGGAAAAATTGTTCCTATCGAGTTCTCCAGCTTCACAGAGGACGGAGCCTGTAAAATGGAATAGGCCTTGTTGAGTTGAGGCCTCCCATCTCCTTTGTAGTTAAAATGCTCCCCACAGTGTCTGTAAAACCAAAGCGGTCCATAAGGACATATGAACTGCAGTTGGGCTGTAGGGCTATTTAGTCCACTGCTTTGTTTCCATCAGCAACCAACCAAGTTCTTCTGAAAGTTCGCAGGCAAGGCATGAAGATATTGGCCTTGTTAACAGTCCCTAGCATCCTTGTTTTTGGAGGTATAGTGCCTCTGTACATGGAGGTTTCCTTTAGCTCTCGTAGCTTATAGCCATTGATAGACACGTCTTCAGAGTTTGCCCCACCTTTTTGTAAAAAAAGAAGTCATCTATACCTGTTTCCATCATCACATCTTGTAGTGGTGAGTTAAGTATGAGTTGCGATTTGACAAAATCAGAACTGTTAATGAGAACTCCAGGTTATGAACTCTGTTACTGGATTCATGATTTGGGCATCATGGATTTACTTCACAATACCCATCTAAGAGCAACCACTTTATCCCCCCCACCCCTAGTAAATGTGAAATTTGTCACTAGCATTTTGCTAAACCTTGGCATTGGATAAAGATTCTTGATGTGAGTGTTCTAATGGTACACACGCATCCTATTATGTACAGCTTCGCTGTGATTTACGAGACAGAAGGGTGGGCTGGGAGAATTCATCCACATTAGGCAACGTGTATGTTGCAAGCTATTCTCAAGAGCCTAGCTTTCTTAAAAGCAAACTGGATTAAGTGAGTGTTTTCACTTCAGTTTTAATTAGTTTTTAAAAGCTCTTAATGGTTTTTCCAATGTGGTTGTAGGCTGATTGCTGCTTTTGCTTTTCTTTTTTTAAAAATAACCCTGGAGGCATGAACCCCAAAGAGACAATTAAGCTTACCTTCTAGAACTGTCGCTCTCAATCAGCGCTTCCTGTCCTAGATCTTTTGCTAATTATTGATTAGCTCCTTGTCTCAAATGTCTGGCATCACCTTTTGTGAAGGTTATGGGGCATCACAGACATCCTAACCTCTTTAAACTTCTTTTCCCCTTTGGGTGATGGGTCCTGCATCATGAAATATTTTCATGCTCTTGGGAGATCACTTCCTCAGGCTTTTGACTTCATCGCCTCTTGCTTTAACTGCCCTTATTCTGGAGTCTAACTCTCGCACTACATTCTGTACCGAAGGAATATTTGCAGGCACAACTACTTTGTGTAAACTGGATTATTGCAGAATGTGTGTCACTTCCTTAAAAACAAAACTGATGATGACTTTTCTCTGGACAAGTTAAAAAGAAGGGTCTTTTCAGCTGAAATAGTCTAAGCTTTTCCTATAACTGCTTTGCTATTAATCCTCAAACAAATTCATATGCCGCCGTGCCAGCATGCTTTTAGATAAGGCTTCTAATTTTGGATTTCTTCTTCGGTAACTTCCTCTTGAGAAGTTGACTAACTTCAGGCCAGACCATGTTCTCTACCTTGATGTCCCCTATCTGTTAAATGACATGTGTTCGTGTGCTCTGTAAGCACCCCTAAGCGTCTTGTTCCATTATGCAGCAGCTTTTGTCAGCTCTTAACTCCCTTACCCTTTTGTCATCTTTGGCTGTCTCAGGAACTTGCCTCGTCAGAATGCTAAGAGAGTGATGTGTTTGTCAAATCAGCCTAGCTATCCCAACCACGCTCAGCAGAAAAGAAAAGAAAAAAAGAGTAATGCTTACCCATCTTATTTCTTTTACTCTTAGGCATTGCGGAATATCAATCCCAGCACAGCAAATTCTCCAAAACGTCAGGTAGGCTCCTAACAAATGTTTCAGCAAGATAAGAAACATTTTTTAACTTAGATCAGCTGTACAAGGTGCTTGGGCTATATGAAGCTGTTTGTATTTTATGAACCACAGCCTGCCAGTAACCTCAGCATGCCTGAAAAAGGAGCTCTAGTTGGCTTAATAAAATACACCGTCTTGCTTGCTCTGTGTTTTTCTCAATCATGATGCTGTGATTCCCAGATAGCATTTCTCACTGCCAGGAATAATGCTGAAGACAAAGCTGTATTGCTGTAAAGTTCTCTCTTGGGTACTTGAGACCTCAACACTCCTAAAATGTTCCAGTAGGAAGAAGAGACAAGATTTCTGTTCCAACTTCAAGAGTCTATGTTGCATCAGCACTATTCAATATGACTCCCAGTCAGTCTTGCAAATCTTCCTCCTCTAACAGTGTTCTAGCTCCTTTCACCTCAACATTGACACACAGCCATAAAACTTCAGTTATCGAGTAAGCTGAACTAAATATCAAGATTGGTAGGTGCTTTTATATTAACAGCCTTTCCTCTCATTTTTTAGATTTGCTATACAAATCTGATATCTCTCAAAAATCCTTTCTGGCAGCTGAGATGCCTCATAATTTAGCTGTTCAGTGACAAGGGTATAACATCAGCTTGATTCAGGCCTGGATTCTTTTACCTTCTTGCGGTGGCCGCAGAGCCTTGAGTAAAACTATTTTCTTATAGGCTACAGCAGGAGCGAGGCGACACAACATCGTGCAAGCTGAACTTCTTGAAAACTTTGTTCTGTTCATCATAGAAGTGCCCTCGTTCTAAGGAGCTCAGGATGACATAGATGTGGTTGTCCCTTAAACAAAAAATTCTCAGAAATATGGAGCTTGAGAGTTAGTGGCTTCACCAACGTCATTTGCTTTGCTTCATAGTTGAGCTGGGTTTTAAACTCTGATCTCCTTGGCCCAGGCCAACATTCCATCTGCTACAGCACAGTGGTTTTGTCTTCATGATCTTGTATGTGTCATCACATGGCATTCCAACTCAGTTTGGCTTGCTGCTTCAACCCAGTAGTTTGTTTTTATCTCATCAGTTTATGGGCTTTGCTCTGCCGTCAGGCAATGAAGTTTTGTTTTTCTGTGTGCAGAACAACATGCTCAACCTCAGTGCTATGCTTTACTCGCCCCATGCTGTTTTTAATAATCCGATTCTAGTAAATAGTAGAATCTGGCTCAATAAATTCATCTGGTAGCTCTGGAGAATCTACCAAGGCCTTTATTTCTTGGAAGTTGTTACCACCAGAGCTTGTACACTCAGAGCTGCCTTCTATCAGAAACTCATGACTGACTGTTATTCATTTGCTTTGTCAGGGCAAGCTGTTGGATTTGGCCAATTTAAACTTCCCATGGCAGGCTCTTGTAAAGCTTAGGAGCATCACTAAGCAAAGTGCACGGTACTTTCTTCCTTCTTTCACTGTGAGAATTGGAACACATTTCTGTTTCACATAAAAACATAGCAATGCTGATACCCTTTATCAACTTTTTTTGCTTTTATTAGAATCAGCCTGATATTTCTGTTAGTTTTAGAGCTATGTTTTGCTCAGCACTGCTTCTGTTTGTGACTCCAATTCTTAGTGGTGCTGACTCCAATTTCTACATTTTAGTGAGATCCTGTTGATTTCGCATTTTGTGTTTTAAAAAGATTTTGGTCTAACATTTTCAGAGCCACTTGGAGATCTAAAACGCAGGTTCCACTCCTGTTGGAATTCACATATTAAGCTATTTAGCACAAGATCCACTATGCAATAATGGCCATGATAGAATCATAGAATTGATAGGTTATCTCTCTGTGTGCTGTAAGCAGGTAGCAGGAGATAGAGATATGTGTAGAATCCTGCTAAGTTCTTGATAAGATTGTGAACAAGGTGATATAGAAGAAAGGAAGATCACAACATCCAAAATTGTCTCATCTGAGAAGAAATACTTCCTAGCTCCGTAAAGTGATTGATTAAATCGTGATTGGAAAAGGAAATTTGATCCACGTGAGTTCTTTCTCCTGTAAAGTATTCCTTTTTAACAGAACTCTTAATATCAAATATACCTTTCATATTTGCAGTTGTCTTTAAAGCTGCAAGACATGAAACATTGATCCCAGTAGGCTGTGTGTTCCATATATTGGTCCTAGCTAATGAAACTTTCAGCTTTTATATTTAAAGGTGTGCTTGAAATCGCTTGAGAGAACCTTTTGATAAACTCCTCTGTTCGGTGTAACAGACAAGTGACAGAAACCAAAGCACAACAACACTGTGTTGTCTGCTGTGTTCTGTCCTTGCCACCTCCATTCTCATTTCTGTACCTTTTAGTGGCTCTGTAATTTCTTCCATCTTCTCAAGTTTGGCTTCATGAGCAAATTGCTTGCCTTCGAATACATTTGTCAGGCCTTTCAACTCCTGCGGTTTGCACATTTTGGCATCCTTTTCAGAATGTGTGTGAGAATCAAAGCTGTTGGATCCAAGCTTTACCATAAACCCAAGATTTATTTATTTTTTAACTTAACTGCTTATATTATATTTTCCTTGGAAAGGTAGGAATTCTGCCGTGTGCTTTATTCAAACTGCCACAAAGTCAAGCCATCCTCTTCTACTATGTCAACACAACAAATCTAGTTCTCACGTCACAGGATAGCCTGCATCATCTGCCTATGGGAAAGGGAGGAAGCAGATTGCATGGGGGAAAAATAGGCCAGAGGTTCTGAAATCTCGAACCCTGGGCCACCAGTGATCCATGAGCTTCATTCAGGTGTCTGCGAATTTGAAGACAGGAAATGGCACATCCATATGATTTTGATAGCATTTTCACTGTTATTGTATTATATCTTGAAATCTCTGGAATACAATAAAATGCTATACATGTAGCAATAAAATTAAAAATCACAGCATCTACATTACAATTTCTACAGCAGGCAGAAAAATCATTAAGTGTTTAGCAGTTTGCAAGTGGTCCACGGAGGGGTGTGTGTGCACAAACCACTGACTTAGTTTATCTAAACCCCCCCATACATAACTGGTGCAATGTGGGAACAAGTCTCAGGAGATATTATTGGCTTATTGGCTGGGCATAAGTAATCTCTGACTTGAGGGGGGCACCACAATGACTACCCCTCAAGTTAATCTTACACAAATGATTACCCATTTTAATGAGTTAGTCATGATTTTCCCTACCCAGCTTCATGTGTCGGGAGCCAAAGTGATCCAATCCCTTCTCCCTCTTAGTGCTCATTATATCTTCTTACCTGGATCAACAGGAAAGTAATACTGCCGTAAGTACTTGGTCCTTGTATGACCCATTCTGGCTAATCAAAGAAAGTTGTTTCAAAGAACGCAGAGGAAACCCACAAGCAGCATACAGAGGTTTCGGCAAGTTATGAGTTCCAGCAAATATTTTCCCTAAAGAAGTCTTAAGGAAGCATGTTGACAGGGTTTGTTTGTTTAAAAAAACATTTTAAGGTTAGACAACTCTGTTAAAACAACTGTTCATCCATTCTACTGGTCATATGGGTCAAGAAGTAACTGTTTGAAACTGTAGGGGGATAGATTTTGTAAAGGTTCAAACAGAAACTGGGTGGGGGCAGCGACAGAATTAATTGCCCAGGTAAGTTGTAGGAAGCACCTTTCCTTGAAAGTTTTAAAGAAAAAACAGGCTGAGCTGGCAGGTGTCCGCTGAATGCTTAGGTAAGTAAGATATCCTACCTTAGGGCAAGCAGATGAGCAAAATAACCCAATGCTGATTCTTTAAAACGTTGAAACAGAGCACCGCCTCTCTCTTTTCCTTTACGTTTCTGCAGCAGCCTGTTTTGATGGTGCCTGTCCTTGCCTAGTGTTATAAAATCAGTGATTCACTTCCCCTCCCACGTTAATGTATGCCATTAATTTGCAGAAATAAAATGTTTTCCGTTTTTAAGCTATTGGGCTCGTGCACATTGACCTCAAATGAATGGAAATGGGCTGGTGTAGGCTTGGCACACATTTACTCTGAGGGCTGCCACAGCTGGAAGAGTGAAGTCAAGTTTTGCACCCCAGTAAAAATACCCGCCTGGGATAGAATCTGGGTTGCAGCACACAGAATCAAATCTTAAAGTGGAAGTCATCATGTAGAGTGGTGGTTGTTTTTACAGTGAAAGTAAACTCACTCCTTGCCACACTCTGTGAAGGAGGGGGGGATTTCCCCCCCCCCCCAGACATCAGTTTGGTTAGTGACCTGAAGATTTTGTGCTCTACTTGCAGTTGCTTGGCCTGCTTACCTTAGTAGCTCTTAAGTTATCTCCACTACAAGCCTCACCCCCCCCCCTTTCTTTTTACAGCCTACCGTATTAAAATGCTTGTAACATGCAATGGATTGAGAGGAATCCAAATGTATTAGCTGCGGACCATTATGCATTCTGCTAATCTATGCTAGTCTGTCCTGGATTGTACGTCATCAGTGGGATTGCATTTTAGTCCGTGTTTTGTCAGTCTATACAAGCAAGGTGATGCAGCGATCAGGATCTAAGCAGGGCTTACTATCACATTTGCATGCTGCCTTGCTTGCAGCCTTTTGTGCTTGCTACTGAGCCTTGAAACAAAATGGCTAAAATGTGCCCTTAAGAGGGCGGTCCTTTTGGATATATCAGTTGTGTTAAATTCACACCGCTTTTAAGAAAGTGTATGGTCTAAAATATGTTTATTGCTGGAGATGCAGATCAGCAACAGACTATCTGATCCTTTTTTCGTATCTTGGTATGTACTCCCAAGAATAAACAAGTTGGCCAGTTTGGATGTAATGGGCAATTCGGCGGCAGCTCATTTAAAGCTGTAAAATACGATATCCTACCTGCAGTCTATAAAGTAGTACAATCCGGGAAGGACTCCACCACATTGATTTGCATAATATGTAGCTTAGCTCTTGGACTAAAGGACATTGACGCCATCGCCTGCCCTATAATAATGTGCTTCAAATGAAAGGTGACAGCCGTTCTGGGATGAATTCAAAGGCCCGTCTAGCTATGCATTCTGTTCCTACTGTGGCAATTTGGGTGCCTGTGGGAAGCCCACAAGAAGGACATAAGTGCAATAGTAGTATTTTGGTCACGTTCCCCACCAACTGCCTCTTATAGCAAAATCATCATAACACACTGCCACTCATAATCTAATGTGCTGTGTGAAAAAGTAATTCCCTTTTGTCTGTCCTGTTGCCAAGTAGCTGATGCTTTTAACCAAGGTTAGTTGAAATGAGGAATTTGCATTTGTAAAAACCAGTATGGGTCGACATCTATCTTAAAAGTATTTGGACTTCTTTCTGACAACCTTTTTATTGAAATGCTGTTAGCTTGCCTGCATCTGGCTGTGGGCCTGGCAGACTAGGCAAATTTTACTTGTTACTAAAACCATGGACCTGGAGCGAATGCGCCAAAGCCCAGACCTGAAGTCTATCCATATTCCACCCAATGTGTTTGCATATATTGCGTGTGGTGTTGTGAATAGTGAGGTTGTGTGTTCACTCAGGACTTCAGTTCAAAACTGAGCCCTTCTGTGTTCAGTTTCCTGGCGAAATAATAATAATAAAGCTTTAATAAGTGTGTGAGTGAGTGATTATGAGTCAGATGTCATGGTGTTCCATCTTCTCCCAATGTGGCTCAAAGCCTTTGCCAGACCTCAGAAGCACATACTATTCATTCCGGGTTGCTGAGCAGTTTTTAGGCTGTTCAGAACTGATGAAGGAGTTGCTTGATGCCATCTAACACTAAGAAGTTATTTTCTGGAGAGAGAGAGAGAGAGAAATGGCTACGTACAGGTAGTGCTTCAGAAAAATAAACAAGGCTCTCTTCTCTCTTTTTCCCCCAGGGAGAAAGTGAGTCCTATGTAGCTAGCTTCAAAGCAGGATGTTGACTGACACAAGCATGTATAGATTGTGAAATGGGCAGAAGTTAACTACGGCCTGTTTCATGTGAATGGTCCATTCATGTGAATAGTATAGCTACAGAAAGACTCCTGGTAGATTGTTATTCCTCCTCCTGTGACTGGAAAAACACACAGAGCAGATCACTTGTGTGAGCAATTATTTGCAGGCAATGTATTTTCTAACTGCTCAAGAGAAGCTGCACTGTTTCATGAATCCCCTCCTGCCATGTTAGTCCACTCACATAAGCAGCTATTTTCATGGGTAAGCAAGCTTCATATTGTTCTCATGTGCTGCCAAACCATAATTGGGTGGTATGTGTGCAATCTTTTGAGAAGCCTCACGCTTCCTTTGCTTGCGTGTGGTGACTCCGTGCTCCTGGCCTGGCTCGAGGCAAACCATAGGTTGGCATTTTTCTAAACGCTTGAATTATGTGTTTGTCAGGAGGGGGGGACGTGAAGGAGCACTCAAGCTCCTCAAAGCATAAACATAGTTTGGTGCTATGACTAAATCGAGATTCTGCACCAGCTCCGGGTTTGGTTAGCTTTCACTGGAAAAGCAAATCCACCTTAATTGTTGTAGCTATTGTGGCTATTGCCACTTTAATTTTTCACATATATGTGTTTTACATTGATTCTCTTGTGATGGAAAACAGGAAACATGCCAGTAACAAATTACAATGGAACAATGGAACAGGTAAGGTGTGTGATAACAGAGTAAATTAAAACAGAGGAAACGTGTCTAGGGTTTTGAATACATGTGGTGTGATGAAATCAAGAGAGCTTAGCAACTGATACTGTTGTGGGATTCTTTATCTTTTGCCATGTTCTTTTATTTTTCTGTGCATAAGTTATGTTCAGTCCCTCGTGTTTAAATCTGAAACACTTGATTTATTAAAAATAATTTCAAAAGCCAGGAGCACTTTTTTTTGTTTGAATGAAAAATTGGGCTTCAAGGGAGCAGCTGTGTGTTTAAGTGGAAATTTAGCTTCAAGTATACTCTGCACCTGTGAAGTATTTGCACCGTGACACCGAAGTGGGTCGCACTCTTTGTTTCAGGAGGAAGTCTTAGGACTTCGCAACAGATTGTAGTTTTGCAAGAAGTTGTTAGCATTCTGTCTGCATGGATGAAGATGCAGAGAAAGGCAACATTGGCAAAATGCCTGTGGCTGACGTGTGCTAAACTACCTGGCATGAGCAGTGTGTAAACATGGAAGCTGCAAACTGGCTTGTGAGGTCAGAGCTTCTTTCAAATGAAAAGTGCTTTTACTGGCCATGTGAGTAAACTATTGGTATGAGCAGTTTTTTTAGCACTAGCCAATCACTGGCTTGTTGTCTTAAGACTTGGGAACTAGCCCAGTGATGCTGGAAAAAGGATGTGGCTGAACATGATCCTGTAGAATCCAGGCCACATTTCTTGAACCTCAGTCCTTCTCTGAAATAATCTGCTAGTGTTCAAATGCAGACAAACCCTGAAACTCTGTTCAGCTGTTTTCAGGGCAAATAGGCCACCAGTATGAGAGAGGGGCCACTGCTTAGAACAGGCACCCCAAAACTCGGCCCTCCAGATGTTTTTGGGACTACAGTTCCCATCATCCCTGACCACTGGTCCTGTTAGCTAGGGATGATGGGAGTTGTAGTCCCAAAACATCTGGAGGGCCGAGTTTTGGGATGCCTGGCTTAGAAAAAAAAAGTATTAAAAAGATTTAGGGCCATTAGTGGGATGGATTTATTTTGGATCAAATTTAAATAATCCAATTCTATGGGAAATGAGAGTCTTCTGCAGTTCTGCTGAAAGTAATTTGGAAGATTCCATTCATTTTTGGCAACTGTATTCCTTGCGGCATTCAGACACATAAAAAGTAAAATAAAGTTTGATACATACCTACAGTTGGCTTATTTATAGAATTGGTTAGCGTTCTGTATGCCGTGATAGAGAAGAGAAGACTCTCTGGAAAAGACCCTGATGTTGGGAAAGATTGAGGGCACAAGGAGAAGGGGACGACAGAGGACAAGATGGTTAGGCAGCGTTCTCGAAGCTACAAACATGAGTCTGACCAAACTGCAGAAGGCAGTGGAAGATAGGAGTGCCTGGCGTGCTCTGGTCCATGGGGTCACGAAGAGTCGGACACGACTAAACGACTAAACAACAACAACAACAACAACATGCCGTGATAACCACAGCTGTAAAGCAATTCCATATGCAATTGCTTTATTCTGTTGTGTGATCTCATGATTCCTTTGACAAAATAGAGCATAAACTTCTCTAGAACACACATTTGGCCAGTCCTTCAACCAAGGTGGAATCTAGATGACTTCCTGTTGAGAAGTAGGCTTTCAGCACTTTCCCCCCTCTGCAGAGGCTATTTCTTAGGGAGGAAAAGCTCCCTTCCTTGCACACCTGTTGGATAATTATTGAATAGGGCAGATTGAATCTGAATCTTGATAAGGAAGAGGTTATTATGTTTTCCATGTTCTTGAGTCTGAAAGGTTGGGTAGACTGCTTGTTCTGGATAGGGCTGTGCTCCCCTTGAAGGAACAGGTTCCTACTAGCATGAAGGGACTTGTATCGTTTGAACATTGTCACTAGTTGGGAGTGCCTGTTTTCATCTACAGCTGGTTCACTAGCTAGGTCGTCTTTGGACAGAGGTGACTCGGCCACAGTATTCCATGCAATGGCAACTTCCACATCGGATTATTGCAGCACATTCCCTTTGAGGCTGCCCAGGACAATGACTCGGAAATTTCAACTGATCAAAAATTCGAGATTACGAGCTCGGACCCCATTTAGAACTTGCATAACTGTTTAGGGAAGTTTTTCATGTCCAATGTTTTATTGTATTTTTAATATTTTGTTGGAAGCCGCCCAGAGTGGCTGGGGAAACCCAGCCAGATGGGCAGGGTATGAATAATAAATATTTGTTATTATTATTATAACTTGTTTCAAAACATCTATAATAATTTGCCAGTTTGTTCCTGGGTCCAGTTCAACGTCCTCAAATTAATTAGTGTTGCAAGCCTAAAGACATGGCCCCCAAATATTTGAAAGACCACCTCTTCCGCTGAGTTCCCTCAAAGTTGAGGGGTTGGTAGCCCAGGGAAGGGCATTCTCTGTAGAAGCCCACAAGGAGTGGAGATCTCTCCCCACAAAGGTATGTCTGGCACCTTCATTGTACAGCTTTTGTTGCATGATTCTAGGATGCACGACTTGATCCTGGTCTATGACAACAGAGATTTTAGGACCTCTCCTATTCTTCTGGTTGTAAATTGTTTTAACTGATTTTAAACTTGCATTTCTATGTTGTTTTTGTAACTCGCCCTGGGACCCTATGGTGAAGGATAAGCAAGGGAAATTGTTGTTGTTGATGTTTTTATTAAGTTTTGCGAAGACAGCTTATTGTTAAAGCCCATCTAATATCACCTGTTATTTGTCTTGATGGTGAGAATTTATATGTTGCTATATGCTGATAGAAAAATGTTTTGCATTTGGTTTTTGCATCCTTGTTCCTGCAGGGAATATGGCAATAGAACCATATAAGAGGTTCCTGCCAGCTTTTGAGATCACTTCCTGCAAAAATCACTATGGGTTGTGTCCAGTGTCCCATTGTGAAAAATTACTAGGAATGGAAATGTAAGGAGCCTGCTTAAGTCCTAGAAAGTATGTTGATGAATTTGCAAACATGAGCAGTAATTTTTAATATCCAGTGGTGCAAAGATTTAAGAATTGTGATTCCAGAGCATTTATGGGAATGATATAAATTATGTGTTCATTGCCATAAATGCTTTGGATAGAATGTCTCATTCACTATGATAGAAGTAACCGGTAAATATAAAAGTGTTATATAGATGGTATCTGATGCCATCAAAACTTAATAGGCTACATCATACCACTGTTTTCTGATGCTGGAAATGTCAGGCTGCCCGATGTGATTTTTCCTCTCCACCTGTGGTGGAGCATGTAAAAAAGCACAACCAATATTGGAAAACTATTTTGGGAATGGTTAATCCTGGTTTTTGGCTGGGCTGTAAATGATTTGTCCGTTTATATACAACAGCACCATTAAAGAATCCAGAGTTACTGTAATAGAGAACCCTTTTAGCAAATATTCCAGCAGCCAAAATCTTTCAGACACATTATTTGGAAATTTGACTTTGCCTACCTTCTTTCTATGCAGAAGTGGCTATAGAAAAACCTTTGATTAAGTTGAGCTGGAAAAACTGAGTGAAATTAGACACCGACAAACAGAGGAAGATACAGTACAGTAGTTTAATGGGATCGCACATATTAATTACTAAGATAGGTAGTTTAAAAAATAGCAGTTGTTATATATGCAATACATTCCACCCTTTAAAGCAAATATTAAGGGGGGAGGGTTTGAATTGGATTTGTCAGCTACCCCAAAAACAAACAGCAAGTCATATTTTGAAGGCTCACTTCTTCGCTGTTGGGGTACATTTTTTTCCAGAGTTCTAATTTGGTTCCTGGTGTTGCTCAGATAGGGTTTTAGCATTGCCCATGGCCCAAAACTTGCTTATTTAATGGCTGAGCTTGAGTGAAGCATGGGGATTTGATCCTGTGAAGTATTTTACTTGTGACATTTGTGCAGATTTTTGTAGCATCTATTAATGAATGTACAAGAAGCCAGAACTGTGGAATGCCAGATAATGAAATTTTGAGTGAAGGAAATGTTTAGAAGGCGCTTGATTCCTCTCCTTTTTAAAAATCAAGCTAAGGATTTCACATTTAGGGACTAGCAATGAAGTTATGTAGACCTTCTGACTCTTGAGAGAGAGGAAAACAGACAGCTAAATGCCTTTAAGAGACCAACTGGATAGTTTTCAAAAAGCTAACCTCATTTTTAGAGTAGCTTCTCTAAGGGGTTGATGGATTGTTTTGGCTCATTTTTCAATATCCAAAATTAGAATTTTGTACTAACAATGAGTCTTAAGTCTCTTTCTTTCCCAAGGGCCGTTAGAAAAGTTTGACATAGGGGTTTTTTTTATAAAAAAAAGCAATGAAGAAATAAAAATAGTTTTCAGCCAGATTTTTTTTCAGATGTTACTTTTTATACATAGAATAGTATATATTTTTGAAACAAGGACAAAAATCTGAACGTACCATACATTTCCCAGCAGTGCAATCCTATATATGTCTACTCAGAAGTAAGCCCCATTGAGTTCAGTTACTCCCAGAATAATGAGTACTGCTGCCTAAGATTCACCCCCTTCTCGAAAATATTAAAAACGGAGGATATTGTACACATTAGGAATTGGTGTTAGAAAATCACAGAGCAACATCTGAAGAGCATCACATTGGCTACTGCTGCTGCTCTTGAAATTTTCCACCTTTGTTTCAAGTGGGAATTATTAAACCAGAACTCCAGCAATTTTAACTTCCAGGCGCCTATAACATAGTAGTTCAATGAGTAGCTAGGGCAGAGGTTCTCAAACTTACATGGTGTATCAAATTTTTTTCAGAGAAAAAATTACTCAGAGCCCCCCTGGAAATATCTCCTCTTTAAGGGAAAGGGTTTTGCTAGTGCCACAGCCTGCCTGCCTGCCATTGGCTAAATAGGCAGACATGCACTTCCTAGAAGTGAATAAATCACAATGAATCTGTGCCTCCACTGCTAAACCGTATTTTGTGTCGTTAGAACCTGTTGACTCCACAGTTCCATCTCAGGATCACCTTCCTTGCCTTCCCTTGGCAATTTGTATCAGATTTACTTGGAATATGTATGTGTAGCTCTGAACCATTTTGCAAATGCAGCTCTGAGATGAGATTCTAGACTAGAGGGAGGGACTGTATTTGTACTCTTACATAGGTATGCCCAGAGTGGCTGGGGCAACCCAGTCAGATGGGCGGCATATAATTAATAAAATAATAATTGTTATTGTTATTGCAGGATTTGCATTAAAATGTGTGCTGGGACAATGTGAAACAAAGGTGAAATGGGCACCCTTCTGGTTGTGCATAGTGTGGATGCGTGTTCTTGCCTGTTCTTTAGTGGTGCCGATGGATTTTGAACTTTGTACACAGAATATACTAACGCGGCTACAACTTGGTCGGCAGGAATTGGCTCTTCGCAGTCAGCTTCCCAGCATGGAACAGGATGGAGTTCCGCAAAATCCAGTGTCCTCTCCTGGAATGTCTCAAGAACTGAGAACAATGACCACAAATAGTTCGGATCCTTTTCTTAACAGGTTAGTAGCTGTAACTACAATTGGTGGTTTTGCTTTGCAAAAAAAGAGAGAGAGAAAAGATTCTGTTTGGTGCATGTAATTGTCTGTTTGGAACATCTGCCTTTTCCAAGAACCACAGCTGTAAATGAATCTTTCCTTAAATGGAAAGTCCAGATTTTGTTTTGTTTTGCTTTGTTTTTTAAGTTGAGGATTAAAAGCTGTCTCCTGCGGGAGGAAGTCAACTGTTCAGACTTGTAGGAAGGGTTCGTCTTCAAAGTCATAACATGTTTGCCCCGGCGCAAGTCAATTGATGAACAGCCGTTAGAATTACTGACTCAGAAAAGCTTTTCAAAAGTTTAGCAAGGAGATCTAACGTTGGGCTCACTTTAAGGAGTTTCTGCAGCAGCCCTGGTTCTATTTTTATCCTTTGTAGCATTTACAGAGGAAACAGTGATAAGGTTTTTACATATCAAGTTGCAGAGCTTACAGGCTAACAGGGTTTTTTGGGGGCATTCATTTGTGCAGCCTGTTCAGATAGATCCTTGTGAACTGTTTTGTGCATCTAATTTAAAGAAATGTTTCTAGCCCTCACTGTTGCAAAGATACGCTTGAAAACGGTAAATATAAAGATTTCAGGAGCTCAGAAAACTGGGGATATATGTATATAAGTTTTCTCCCGACGTCTTACACTGAGGACATGACATTCAGAGGCCTGATTTAAGTTTTCTCAGTCATAACCACATTTGCATATATTTCAGTAGAACTTCCTGGTGTCTCAACAGCCTAATCGATTTCATTGACTATAGGACGTTGGCAGTACCAGATGCCAGGATAGTGTAAATTGTTGCCTTTATCTTCCTTCCCACACACAGGATGTGCAGATTATATTCATTACGACTGAATATGCAGACTTTCTGTCGCTGGTCTATGTTACAATGTACTCCTGCTATGGTCAATAACTCCAGAGCATAAATGTGGATATTGTAGCTTATAGCATTTTATGTGTGTGTTGAAAGGTCTAAAAGCAATTTTTGCATTATTTAGTTCAGGGATAGCAGACCTTTTTTTCTACGAAGAGATGTTGAGTCTTCCCTTTTCTCTCTTTCTGCCACCTCCTTTCTCTTTCTTTCTTTCTTTCTTTCTTTCTTTCTTTCTTTCTTTCTTTCTTTCTCTCTCTCTCTCTCTCTCTCCCTCTCTCTTGTCAGGTGGCTCTAAGCAATGATTTGAGAGTTGGGGGATGTAGGAACGAATGACATGCTTTTCTCCGACTGCTTCCTTCTCCCGCTTGGCTTTTGGGCAGCTTTTCACATTCCATCCCTGTAGGTGGGGCTACACTGAGTTGCAGCAGCCTCACAATACGTTCTTTAGGGTCCTGTGGGAGGGGGTGATCCCAGCAGACTGGCTCCATCCCCTCTACGCAGCTAAAGTAAGCACATTGCCCACTTCTCGGCTGGCATCCGACCAAATGCTTCCACCAGTGCAGGGACTTTTGGATGCGCAACAGAAGTTCCTGTCCATCTTCCCCGCGCACCTCCCCAAATCTGCACCAGAAAGCGGGAGTTAGCGGGAGGAACCCAGAACAGATTTAGGGGAAGAATGGGAAATGAGAGGGAAGGGGAGCTTAAAGTCCTTGCACTAGTAGAATCACTTTGTTAAATAACTCCCAAGCTACATTGACTTGGTCTCATTTTCCTCCTGCCACAGCATCCTGAAGCCTGAGCGTTCTGAGAGTCTGTTGCAGGCCTGTAGGGACCTGCCTTTTTGTTACTTGAAATCTGTGTCCCTCATGTCTCAAGTGTGTTACACACACATTTGGGATCCTTTTCTTTTTTTTAATTTTAATGTATTTTTTTAATTGGAGGGGGTGCTACTTAGGTCTGGAAGATGAGAAATATCAGTTATTTTTTAGGGAAATACATAAAGTGCTGGCATATCCTAAGGATCCCAGGAAGAGACCTGTGTCCCCACACCAATTACCAGCCTCATTCTCAGGGAACCCCCCTTCTACCCCCCACCTCTCTTTTTGGTTCACAATCTCTAACCAGTTATGAAATCCACATCCCAAACCTGCCTCTCCCCATCACCACAGGTACCATACCTTGACCAAACTGTATCTACAACAACAGCAAAAAAACTTGGGCTGGATATTTCACTTGAACAGCCTGAACAAATTGTTCCAAAAAATGCCGGGTCCTTTTTGGTGTTAGCTTTAGGCATGGATGCATGTGATAGGTAGATAGATAGATAGATAGATAGAACTTTATTCGCATTAGCCAAGGCCATAGCAACCGTAAAACATTACAGTATACGCAGAAAAGGAAATTTGATATAAGAGCACAATTTAAAGTCCTGAATCAGCAGTCAGTTAGTGGTCCTTATTCTGATTGCCCCTGCTATGAACCTAGCAACCTTTGCTGTTATCTGCTCATTTTGATCTGATAGAAGAAAGGACATTGTGGCAGTGGTTGAGCGCCCTGGGATGGTTAGTACCAGTTGGGTGATGATCTTGTTCCTCAGGTTTTTGTAGAGAGTACAGGACAGGAGGACGTGTGCCGCTGTTTCGGTGCTACCTTCTCCACAGGGGCAAAGGCGTTTCTTAGGCAGGATCTTTTGGAATCGACCCTCAAGTCCCGCAGATGGCAAAACATCCAGTCTTGCAAGTGTAAAAGCACGTCTGTATTTTGGAATAATAAGTTTGTGCAGATATGGGGCCAGAGAATCAAAATGGAGAGGTGGAAAACCAAGGGCAGAATTTCCTTATAGTGACCAGGTTGTTCTGATGCTTGATATCTTTTAGACGTTGACCAATTACACTGTTTGCTTTAGTAGGGCCTATAGTGAGTAGGTGTTGTGGGGATAGGCCACAAGAGTGAAGTTTTTGATGGACGGTTTTAAGCCAGGCACTTCTATGGGAGTCTTGAAGTACTAGGGATAGTAAACCGGGGGGATTTGAGTTTAGGCGGAGCCAGAAGTTAAGAGTTCTTTGCCAAGTCTGTACTTCTACTGAAGAGACACTTGCCTCATGGATGCCTGTGCTTTTGTTGTTGTTGCAGGATTGAATATTCCGTGCAGAATTGAGAAGCCAAAGAAACTTCTTTTTCGTTTTTTGTAATGTCTTTTTTTAAAAAAATGTGAGAACAGAATTAAACTTGCCTTTATGTTTGGGGTAATGAGTGCTTCAGTGTTCTTGGTTAAAACTAAGATGATTTCCCCTTTACAGTGGAACTTACCACTCGAGAGATGAGAGCACAGACAGTGGCCTTAGCATGAGCAGTTACAGCGTCCCCAGAACTCCAGATGACTTCCTCAACAGTGTCGATGAAATGGATACAGGTTTGCATCCTTTCCTTCTAATAGAAATCTTGAGATTTTTTTCTTTTTTGGTAGCTTGCCTGACTAGTAACAGAGAGAGAGAGAGAGAGAGAGAGAGAGAGAGAGAGAGAGAAAACTTCACTTCTAGGTAATGTCAGAATTCTCTTATGCCCTGTTCCAGGGGACAAGATCCAGTGGGTTGAAGTTACAGGAGGGTGGGCTTCGGCTGAACATGCAAAGGTTTTTAATGATAAGAGCAGTTTAATAAGGGAAACAGTTGCCTAGGAGGGAGGTGGGTTGACCCTTTGCTGGAGGTTTACAGTAGGTAATCTTGCTTCTAGCTTTTGTTTGTTCGCTTAAATATTTTTAAAATATTTTTTAAACAATGCATCATATATAATTTAATATTAAGGTTGATGCGACTCTTTGATTGAATTGTGAATATGAGTCCGTTATTCATAGAGTGGTTCCCACCATCCCTGTGGGAAATACCTGTCCTATGCATTTGCTGCCAGGTGTGCAGATGGCCTGCCCTATGGTGCTACAAGACAGCAGGGGTGTGTGGCGTTTGTCCACAGCAGCCCAGAGGCCCATGGCCTGGCTGCGGCGGACTCACACATACCGCTGTAGACTATTGGCAAAATCACAGTAAATTAGGGAAGGGTGGCACACACTTATGTACTGGATTTGCATGCTGTCTTGTATTTTAGTCTTTTCTTACAAGCTGCTTTCCAGAAAGGTTGTCCATCACTACCTTTTCTCCTGGTCTGGCCACCGGAAGTTGTTTGTTTGTTTTCTTAAAACCTATGTTGCCCATATGTTGAGTGCAAAGGTTAATGAAGAGAACATGTCAGTCGAGAGTCTTTGGAGATGTGATGCATCTCGCTGGCTTCCGTGTTGGGACCAAGTCCTCAAATTTCTCCAGCTTACATGACATTAGATGATCTCTTTCCGTGAATGTGATGTTCCTGTTTTGCATTCCTTCTGCATCCAGGTGACACTATCAACCAAAGCAACATACCCTCCCACCAGAACCGCTTTCCAGATTACCTTGAAGCCATTCCGGGGACAAACGTGGACCTTGGGACGCTGGAAGGAGATGCAATGAATATAGAAGGAGAGGAACTGATGCCAAGCCTACAGGAGGCTTTGAGTTCCGACATCCTTAATGACATGGAATCCGTATTGGCAGCCACCAAGCTAGATAAAGAAAGTTTTCTTACCTGGTTATAGGGGCCTCAGGGAGATGGAGTTTGAAATCTTGGAAGGATCTAAGGAGATAAGACACGTACCTGATGTTGAAAACAAGCCTGTACGGCAACGGCTTCTTGGCTTATGATCAGAGAGGAAAACAAGTAAATGAACAAAATACTCCAGATTCTTTTTCATCCAGTGTTTTGTTCCTCCTTGTCCAAACGCTGCTGTTTTACTGCTGACCTCTTTCACAGTTGACTCTGAAGAATTAGATGTTTTGTTTTATCCTTTTATTTTTATTTTTTATTTTTGCTGTTGCAACTACTGTTCCACATGGTCATAATGGAGAGAGGGAAGGATGGGGAAGTAGCGAGGGCCCTGTTTTGGATGATGACTGCCATTCCTTTTGTCTTGCTATCTGTTTTGTATGCCATTTTATCTAATAATGCAGATGTTTTATGAATTCAACTCTGCACATCCTTTCTTGTAGCTGGCTATGCTTTGCTTGGAGTTTTGCTCTTTTGCCTGTGGCAAGCTGCAAAAAACCCCATGACTTACTGGTCCAGTAAGCCAAAAATGATGTATCTGATGGAATAGAAGTCAATACGGATTTGGAGATAAGGATCAGAAGAAGGCCGAGATCTTACTATTGGGCACAGTCCATCAGACACTATGGCTGCTTGATCAACGTTGAAAGGAATGAAATATGCACAGCAGTGATTTTTCTATTGGATTAAGCCCATCATTATCTACTTAAAAGTTCTCTTTATTAGCTTGTTCACATTTTATGGCACCATAATTGATTCATTTTACACACAAAAAATCATTAGAATCTTGATTGTTGCCTCTTATTTTAGCTTTTTTTTCAAATTCTAGGCCTTCTTTTTAAAAATATATATATAGCAGTAGGTTAAGAAGTTAACTGTTTTCAGTTTTGTGGTTTTTTTGTTTCATATTTTTAAATAATGAAAACTAAATTTCCTGACTTCACCTAGTCTTATTTAAGTCTGAAATGGTTGACTTTTTTTTATACCTAACTAGTATAGCCAGATAGCCAGTGAATATCTATAGTTCTATGTTTTGCTTATAACTTTTTAAAAGATAGCTTTGAATGTATTATTAGATTAAAGGACCGGTGGCTTATCTTTTGTGCCTGTACCAGAATTCAAAGCAAATTTTAAAAGTTGGAACTCCTACTGAACACTATTCCTAAATACACTTATTCGTGCCAATAATTTCAGAGGAATTTACATCCATCAAAATGTTTTTAGGACTTCTGCTTAAAAGTGACCAACCTGTATGGCTTTTATTCATGAGTTTTAAACACAGCAAAAAAAAAAGTATACTATGGTTCTTCATCATGGGACAGCTCTTGCCATTTTTGAGAGAGCTTTTTAAAATGTTGATGAAATTGGTGGCTTGAGATTCTAAAGTCCCTGATGGATAAAAACTGAGATGCCTTCGTATAGTTAGTTTTATGATATCACCTGCACTGTCATCTTGAGTTTACAACGCTAGCAACATGAACACTAAAAGTTAAGGTGCATTCAGAAGCATACTGACGAATAAGCCCTTGGTGCATATAGAAGATTGTAAAGATATGTGTTAGATTGTAACGTGAGCAAGTAGTAGTGTATTTTAGTAGTAGAGATTAGCACTGAAGTCGAGGAGCCGAGTACATCTTGAAACCATGAACTATTTTTACCAGAAATGATTGTCCTCGAAGTTGATTGTAGGAATTGTGACGTTTTCCAAAGAGTATTTTTAAGTGAACAAAATGAGCATGAATCAATGTTACAGTATAAGCTATGAAGTTTTGGTTTTTTCCGTAATGCGTTGGCACCAGCTAGTACCATCTGGAGCTTTCAACATTCCCATTCATTCATTGTCCTTATTTTCAAGGGTTTATAACCTGGCCATCAAAAGACCGTTCAGGCTGAAACTTTGCGTGTTAAGTTTTAATGTCAACAATATCTCCTAGGTTCATTTTACCCCACCCCCTAGCTGACGAGTGGGATGAAACCTAAAAGCGAAGCTTTGGCCAAGAGGCTCAATGGCTCCCTTCCGCAACATCATGTTAACTCCTAAGTCATTACTTGTGACATAGTCGTAAGAACACATCGCACTCCTATTAAGAGGATTCCTTTATTCCTAGTCTCCCCACATTTTTCCAAAGATCCTTTCAAAAGGCAAACTGACACAAAATATAATTGGACTTTAGCAGTTGTATAAATGAAGAGAAGTTGGACATTGAGCGTTCCTGCTTTTCGGTGAGCTCATTTATATCCAGATATTGGAGGACCACTTATATCTGTTTTGAGCCTCAAGTAGAAATTGCTGAATTCCTATCCTGGGTATTGCATAGAAGTGCACAGAAACAGTTTCTGTTTGCTTTTCTTGGTCACAGCTTTAAGGTTGGAACTTTTTAATTATTATTTTTTTCCTTGCTGTACATACACTACACAGCTTATACTGTATTCGAGTAGCACTGCTGGAGAGGTACCGACATAAAACTGGGAATTCTTGAATTTCTCTTAACACTAAACCGTTTATGTAGTACTTAACGCAAGTTACCTTATAAGCCTCTTCATTCGATGGGAAATGTGCCTTAGAGATTATTTGTACCGTTAACAGGAGAAGAAAAACAAGCCAGTCTAGATTTTTATTCAGATTGATCACTTGACAGAGTGGCTTAGCTTTTGTGTGTGTATTGAAATGCAGAAAGAAAGAAAGAAAGAAAGAAAGAAAGAAAGAAAGGAGAAAGGAAGGAAGAAAAGTGTTATGAGTAGTATTTTGTATTGATTGGTGTATATATTTAAACAGATCACTGTCCTAACTTTATAGCTTCGAGATTTTTTTAAAGTACAGTTATGTTCAGATTGCAATGGAAGCTTATGAATTCTTGTGTATGTCTGACAGCATAACTTCTTTGGAATGTGTACTGTTTCTATAAATCATATGGATCAAAAATTGTACCAATCAGTGTTGGAGCTCAAGCAATGCAAAAGGTGAAAAGACAATTTTGGAGTGATTAACGGTAACTTAGTTTTTGCACATCTGGAGAATCCATATTAAAACGACTTCACTTGCAATCATAGTGGGATTTTTTTTATACAAGATGCAGGTGTGCGTGTGCGTGTGTGTGTCTAAAACGACACTTTAGGGTGAAAAACTTCCATATTTTAAAATGTTTTCTATTAGAGAACTCTGAAACTCAACTTTTGCAAATATATATAAAGTTATGAATGTTATATTTTCTTTATAGAGCATGCCTCTGTTAGGTACCGTAGTAAATTCTGTTACATTTTCTTTTATGTAATACGTTTTTTCCCCATTGCTTTTTTGTTTTACATGATATAAATATATACTTTGCGCTTACAGTGTCTTGTTTGGTTTTTCCACATTTAAACATACCGAAATGCAGAGGCACAAGGAATTTTGTACCAGGTCTTTACAGCTAATGCAGAATCCTTAGACGTTTAATACTTTTTTTATATAAAAAAAGCAATCAAATTTTACATATCCATGTTTGTCAAATTCTATAAACTGTTTGCTGGCAGTCACCATTTTTATATTGTACAATCAGCCAGCCCAGCCTCATTGGCTTGCGGGGGGGCAGTACATGCACACATGCAAGGCTTTGGATAAGGTCTCTTTGACCAAGGACAAGTAAAACTCTGGCTGTTATGCCAATGTTTTCTCCACAGGTGGCAGAAATCAACTTTGCAACCAATAAAGGTATTTTATTGGGGGGAGAGGGAAAGAAAATTAAGATTTTTTTCCAGACACCATCCTCGTCTAGCAGCGCATATGTGCCGTGTTCAGAACTTTCCTCATATCGAGTGGTGTGAACAGCAGATACCAGCAAAGTCAGCAGAAGACCATATTTCAGCCCTAGGGTTACAATGTTCGTAACATTGTTTGGGGGGGGGGGCGTTAAAAAATGTTTAGTGCGTTTCCCACTTTTGCTTGTATTTTTGTATATCATACTTTATTCAATAGATTCCATGGCACCAAACAGCAAAAAGCTCTAAAACTGCACTACTAAACTTAATACAGTGGTACCTTGGGTTACATACGCTTCAAGTTACATACGCTTCAGGTTACAGACTCTGCTAACCCATAAATATTACCTCAGGTTAAGAACTTTGCTTCAGGGTAAGAACAGAAATCATGCTCCGGCGGTGCAGCAGCAGCAGGAGGCCCCATTAGCCAAAGTGGTGCTTCAGGTTAAGAACAGTTTCAGGTTAAGAACGGGCCTCCGGAACGAATTAAGTACTTAACCCGAGGTATCACTGTATGGGGAAGCAGCTGGAAAGCAGGTCACCACCACTGAATAAGTCCTCTCCTTTATTGCATTACATAGTTCCAATAGGGAACGTTTTTGGAGGAAAACTTCGTATCTTCAAGCATGGGCAGTCTAGCGTTCCCTTTTTATTTACCAATTCTCAGTCTGTGTCAGTGTTCCTCAGAATGCTTAATACCTGGGATACATGTATTACAGTCATACCTCAGGTTGCAGGCGCTTCGGGTTGCGCAATTTCAGGTTGCGCACTGTGCCAAACCTGGAAGTGCCGGAACGGGTTACTTCCGGGTTTCGACGCTTGTGCAGAATCGCAACCTGTGCGTGCACAGACACGACGCTGCAAGTTGTGAACGTGCTTCCCGCACGGATCATGTTCGCAATCCGAGCGTCCACTGTATTTTCTCATATTGGTGGTTTACTCTGAATACCGGTTGCTGACGGACTCGCAAGTCGGGAGAGGACAGTTACACTCACGTGTTGCTTTCTGGTTTCCCCCACTCCCACCCTGCCCAATTTTCCAGCATTGTGGGCGGTAACTTTTACAATAAAAAGGAATTAGACAGGGTCCCTTCCATCTCTTCAGTACTGCGAAGAACAACTTCTTGACAGTATGTGCTGCTTCAATAGTAGGACTGACTGCCACCGCCTTTAGAGATTTTTTTAAAGCAAAGGTTGGATGTCTGCCTTTCAGGGATGTTGTTGCAGTGGATTTCCAGCTCTGGGAGACCGTTAGATTAGACAGTCTCGTAAGATCTCTCTAAGATTCTATTTTTTCTTTCCAGAATTCGTCATATTGAAACCTTACGTGGTTGACCATCACGTTTATGACATCAGCCTTGCTATTGGTGTGTCTTTTGAGGGGAGTAGGACGTTCAGCTGAGTTGCAGGAAGGCCCTAAATAATTTGAAACCTTATCAGGGCTAAATAAAACTCTCGACAATTGCATGACTAACACCCTAGATTATGGTGACATTTGTTTTCATTAACTTGGAATAAGAAGCAACATGAAAAAAGTGCCTCTCCCAAGTCCTTAGTCTGTTGACCACACCCCCGTTTGAAATCTCAAAGTACTGTATTTTTTGCTCTATAAGACTTACTTTTTCCCTCCTAAAAAGTAAGGGGAAATGTGTGTGCGTCTTATGGAGCAAATTCAGGCTGCGCAGCTATCCCAGAAGCCGGAACAGCAAGAGAGATTGCTGCTTTCACTGCACAGCAATCCCTCTTGCTGTTCTGGCTTCTGAGATTCAGAATATTTTTTTTCTTGTTTTCCTCCTGCAAAAAACTAGGTGCGTCTTGTGGTCTGGTGCGTCATATAGCGCGAAAAATATGGTAAACACATCTGCAGCAAAAGGAATACCTCTGCTCTTGCTCCTGTGGGCAATTTTAAAGATGCCCAGCTCAGAAGCATTACTTGCTCTACATAATCATATTACTTAGGATGTGCCCTATCTGAGTAGTGTCTGTCCTGTAAGGTTTCTGCAAGCATTTCTTGTTATGTTTTTATTTGTCGTATCTAGAGGTATTATACAACTGGCTCCATCAATTGTGGCCTATTTGTTTTATCTGGCTGTTAATTTCACATGCTGCTCCTGGCTTCATCCTGGTTTAACTTAAATTAGGGGAAGGGAGGCCATAGCTCACCCCCAGGTTCAGTCGCTGGCATCTCCATATAGGACTAGGAGAGACCCTTGCCCAAAACCCTGCAGAGCCATTGCCTGTCAGTCTCAACCAGGATTTCCCAAACTCGGGTTTCCAGCCGGTGTAGAAAATCATGAAACAGGTGAACCAACAGTCTGAATCAGTATAAGACGGCTTCCTATCTTCCTACATTTTGGGGGCTTGGCTAAGTTTGTAATTGCATTTTCCAGTAGCCACCTTACCTTTTAAACAGGCTATTTCACTTCAAATGTCACTTCAGTGTCTGGGATTATATTGTATTAATCTAAATATAGCAATAACAACAATATACGGTATTTGGAATGCTTTTTTAAGCAGAGGTTGGGTGGCCAGCTGTCATGGCTGTTTTAGCTGAGATTCCTTCCAACTCTGCAATTCTACGATTCTACGAAATGGTATGTTCACTTTTATTATTGAAAACTGCCTTGGGAACTTTCCAGCCTTGAAAAGCAATTGAGAAAGAAGTTAAAGAAATATTTCTGCATGGGATCCGTTTCCTCAACCCCCCCATTCTTCGCCAGTTCTTCAAATTATGAATAAGAACTTTATGATAACTACATGTATGCAAATGACATAGCACAATGAATTCTAGGCACAGAATTTGTAACTTTTAAAAGAAAAATGTGAGATGCTCTTCTGCATTCCTGACTTCCTTTGCTGCATTTGAATTGGGTTTTAACATAACTATTAAGGGAGGGGGGGAGAGATCTGACTGTGTTTGGAGATGCAGATGTTTTTCTAGGGAGACTTCCAGATGTTTGGTTTATCAAGTGATTCTGTTTTCAGAGGTGCCTGGCACCTGCAGGCCAGATGTCGACTAGGCTGATGTTCCACATGCTGGCACAGAGCAGCTCTTGTGGAAACCCAGTTACTCTGGACCTCTTTACTGGCACTTCCCATCCCCCCACTCCCCGCTTCCTATGAGGTCCTTCCTGCTTTGGAAGCGCCTATCCAGAGGCGCTTCGACCAAAGAAGCTCAAGGCTGAATTTGGGATGGGGCGGCCAGACAGCCTCTGCCAAGAATTCTGGTTCAGACAAAACAGAACACACTAGCAAGCTGACATCTATCTGGTTGCACAGCAACAGAGTTGTAAAACTTGCTGCTTCGCTGACAGGCCTGGCAAGAACTGTGGGGCTATTAAAAAATTTCAGCACAACAAGCGTGTGTGGCTTTTTCAAGTGGACGGCCGAGCCGTGTACCAAGAAGGCTTCCAGATTTATAGTGGGAGAGATTTTGTCAAAAAGCACACTGCCTTTTAGGGTGTGCTCTGCTTTGTTGTGTTCTGACTGGGAGGAGGTGAACCCATGGAAAATGCAGCTGAAGTATGACATACGAAACAAGAAGGAGCCTGTGGGATCAGGCCAGCGGTCCATCTTGTCCTGTTCTCCTAGGAAGTCTGCAAATGGGACCTGAGCACAACAGGACTCTGCACACCTGCAGGTCCTGGTATTCAGGAGCATTCTGCCTCCAATGGTAGATGCAGGACAAAGCCGTCAGGGTTGGTTGCCATTGATTATATGACTCCTTGATGGAGATAGAAGGTCCCACCAAGTGACCCAAGTAGCCACTTCAGCTAGGAAAGGGCTGCTTCTCACACGTCCTGCTAAGGCAGAGCTGGAGCCCTCCAGATGTTCACAGAATCATAATATGAGTTGGAAGAGACCCCAAGGATCCTCTAATCCAACCCCCTGCAATGCAGGAATCTCAACCAAAGCATCCATGACAGATGGCCACCCAACCTCTGCTTGAAAACCTCCAAGGAAGGAGAGTCCACCACCTCTTGAGGGAGCCCATTCCACTGTTGAACTGCTCTTACTGTCAAAACATTCTTCCTTAGTCAGAATCTCCGTTCATGTGACTTGAAGCCCTTTGGTTCGGGTCCTACCCTCCAGAGCAGAAGAAGAATACAAGCCTGTTTCCTCTTCCATGTGACAGCGCTTGAGATATTTGAAGATGGCTATCATATCTCCTCTGAGTCTCCTCTTTTCCAGGTTAAACATACCCAATTCCCTAAACCGTTCCTCATAAGGCTTGGTTTCTTTGTTTTTAGGCTCCAGTTCCCATCAACAGGGGAGCTGGAGGGCCACTAGTTGACATCCCTGTAATACAAAGTTTCAGGAAGCTATATTGCAGTAAGTGCATTTTCCTCTTGACCTGAAACACATTTGTTCTAGAAACCACAAATCCAGGAAAGGGCCGGGTTCTGTAGGTATTGTCACCATGTGAGAAAGCTTGGTCGTCTTCCAGTGGAACAGGTACAGCAGATTTATTTTTTCAGATGGGGCTGCAAAGGCAGGGATGCGCAACAGGAAGTTATGCACCTAGCCAGAGACCGGGCAACAGCAGGTTGGATTCACAGAGCAGGAGAGCGATGACTGGGAATTTGATAAAGCCGTGGTCTGCAACATCCTCGTTCAGCTTGCAGGCACCTATTGCAATGAATTAGTGTGCAAAGCCATCTGGGAGGGCAGTTAGATGGTGGAAGGCCAAAAGGGTCACTAGGCTCTCAGCTTGTCCACATGGGTTTGTTGACACCTGCGTTTGTGCTTTAAAGACATGCTCAGCCTGTTTTTGATTTTGCCAGGCAGGCCTTTGCCCAAAGCGGTTTTAAGGCTCACTAACCCTCTGAGCTATGTTTCCATTTATTTGCTTTTCCCCCTCTTGCACAGCTGACAAAGGAGATGGACAACAACATATTTCAGGAAGACGCCCTTCCCTTCCCTTCAGATGTACTTTTGTGAACCAAACGTTCCATGAACAAACAGCCAAAGGTGAAACTTCAGGTCTGGGCACGTTGGCCTAACCAGGCCTAGCTGTGAGTGCTACTGCTTTCTTCAGACAGGCTGCCACTTTAAACAAACTGTCCTTCTTTCCCACTGAACTGATTAGGTTTTATCTGTGTCAGTGTCTCCCAAACCTATACAGTGGTACCTCTGGTTAAGAACTTAATTTGTTCTAGAGGTCCGTTCTTAACCTGAAACGTTTCTTAACCTGAGGTACCACTTTAGCTAATGGGGCCTCCCGCTGCTGCCATGCGATTTCTGTTCTCATCCTGAAGCAAAGTTCTTAACCCGAGGTACTATTTCTGGGATAGCAGAGTCTGTAACCTGAAGCGTCTGTAACCTGAAGCATCTGTAACCCGAGGTACCACTGTAATAACCAAGCTCCTAAGACGTACTGCACCCCTTAAGTCTGCCTTCAGAAGATGCAGGGTTTCCCACAGGGATCTGGTTGGTCACTGTGAGAACGGGATGCTGGACTAGATGGGCCCTAGGCCTGATCCAGGAGCTTCTCCTTAGGTTCTTACGTAAAAAGATAAGAAAAGCCCTATTGGCTCGTTCCAAAGGCCTATCTAGGGCAGCTTCCTGTCCCCGCAGTGGCCCAGCAGGAAAGCCCACAAAAAGAACTTGAGGGCATCTGCTTGACATGCAAAAGCTCCCTGTTTTGACCCCAATAGGGCTGGGAATGTCCCCTGTCAAACCATGAAGAGCTGTTGCCAGTCCAGGTAGATAACACTGAGCTAGGTGAACCAAAGGTCTGACTCAGAAAAGGGGAGCCATTTTGTGCTACGCCACCCCAGGGCAGCCATTTTATGCCTGGCACCCACAGCGCTTTCTCAAAAATCCCAAATGTGCCCTCTGGTCCAAAAAGTTTGGCAAACCCTGTCCTAGGCATGGATTCGTATTTCATATCCTTGTTTCTTCCACCTTAGCTATCCCTTGACCTTGTAAGCTGATGAAACGACACCTTGAAAATGGGCCAAGTGCACACACCAAAAGTGTGACTGACTGATTGTCCGCCCACTGCCCCCGCCACCCCATAAACTAGACTATTCTGTGTACCAGTGCAAACGCAACACACACAGCTGGTGCATACGTGTGTACATTTCACACAGAGGAGCAACTAAGGCTTCTAGGCCTGGCTGGCACATTGCAAACCATGCCTGGTAATTGCCTTTTTTGTTGCGTGGGGATATAGCGTAACTCACATGAAAAGTTTTTGCCAATACAAGAAATAATATGCAGATTGTGGTGGAATGGTAATGGCAGACCCTCCAAGTGCCCCTATTTTCCAGGGACGTCCCTGATTTAGAGAAGCCATACCAGTTTCTGATTTGATCCCTGAATGTCCTGCTTTTCCTATTTTCCCTATTTTCATTGGATAAATGTTGGTGGGTATGGAGTTATTCGACCCCTGAGCCGTCTGAAGGCAATCCTGTATAGGGAAGGTTTTTGGTGTTTTTTTTAAAGTTTAATGTTTTATTATGTTTTCATATGTTGGAAGCTGTCCAGAGTGGCTGGGGCAACCCAGTAAGATGTGTGGGGTATAAGGTAAAGGTAAAGGGACCCCTGACCATTAGGTCCAGTCACGAACGACTCTGGGGTTGCGGCGCTCATCTCGCTTTATTGGCCGAGGGAGCCGGCATACAGCTTCCGGGTCATGAGGCCAACATGACTAAGCCGCTTCTGGCGAACCAGAGCAGCACACAGAAACGCTGTTTACCTTCCCGCCTGAGCGGTACCTATTTATCTACTTGCACTTTGACGCGCTTTCGAACTGCTAGGTGGGCAGGAGCAGGGACTGAGCAACGGAAGCTCATCCCGTTGCAGGGATTCGAGCCGCTGACCTTCTGATCGGCAAGTGCTAGGCTCTGTGGTTTAACCCACAGCACCACCCGTGTCCCTTTATACCCCCGTGGGGTATAAATAGTAAAATTATCATTATGGAATGGGATGTCCCTATTTTCATAGGAGAAATGTTGGTGAGTATGTCATGTTACTTGTTTCCCAGAGATTAAATTTGTGCTTTAATTTGGGAGGGTGATTAGAGACTTTTAACAGGTGTCTGAAAGAGAATAGTAATGCCTAATGTCAACAGTCAGGGAAGTTCTGCAGACTGAAATGATCAAACAGCCATGTAGAATCATAGAATCATAGAGTTGGAAGAGACCACAAGGGCCATCGAGTCCAACCCCCTGCCAAGCAGGAAACACCATCAGAGCACTCCTGACATATGGTTGTCAAGCCTCTGCTTAAAGACCTCCAAAGAAGGAGACTCCACCACACTCCTTGGCAGCAAATTCCACTGTCGAACAGCTCTTACTGTCAGGAAGTTCTTCCTAATGTTTAGGTGGAATCTTCTTTCTTGTAGTTTGGATCCATTGCTCCGTGTCCGCTTCTCTGGAGCAGCAGAAAACAACCTTTCTCCCTCCTCTATGTGACATCCTTTTATATATTTGAACATGGCTATCATATCACCCCTTAACCTCCTCTTCTCCAGGCTAAACATGCCCAGCTCCCTTAGCCGTTCCTCATAAGGCATCGTTTCCAGGCCTTTGACCATTTTGGTTGCCCTCCTCTGGACACGTTCCAGTTTGTCAGTGTCCTTCTTGAACTGTGGTGCCCAGAACTGGACACAGTACTCCAGGTGAGGTCTGACCAGAGCAGAATACAGTGGCACTATTACTTCCCTTGATCTAGATGCTATATGGGGTAAGGCGATCCATGAATTGCTAGCAAACCAATAGTAACATCTTAAACTTGACCTGGTAGAGAATCGGCAGCCAGTATAGAACTTTGCTGACAGACCCACTCGTGTCAGCAATCCAGCTGCATTTTCCACAAGGGAAGTTTCACCTAGGGTGTATTCCAGCAATCCAGTTTTGAAACTACCAAGGATTGTAAAAAAACACTATCCTTGAGGTGCTTTTCTCCTCAACTGAGCTGATCCTGGAATTGAACTCAGCTGGAATGGGAAAACGTCAGGTATCTCCTGCTCTGCCACCATCTATCCAACACTGAACTAGTGTGTTATCTAATGCTGCTACTGACAGCACTGGCTATTAGTCATGATGTCTAGTACCCCATTCTGTGGCACCTGTGTGATGATCTTGATAGGCGCATAGCATTGCTGCTTATGATATTTCCACCTGCACAGTGGCTGTTCAAGCACCCTTCTGAATTCTTGCTTGCTGGTGTAGCCAGTCATGTTCTGGCCTTTAATCTCTCAAAGATCATTATAGAGAATATTAAGGAAACTTGCAACCATTTATATCCTGAGAAGCCACTGCTACAGTTGGGCAAGTTTTAACAATGGCAATATTGTGCTCAGTCCTCTCCTACATTGTCTTTCTCGTTCCTGGGAGACAGCTGGGCAGGAACACAATCAGTCACTCTTCTCTTTAATCAGCTGGTTCCCAAGGGAGGATTGGGTGCTCGAAGGTCACACAGGCTTGTGAAATTGCTGAATGAATCAGAGCAGTGGCAGGCTGTTTGCATGGAAAGCCATTGCATAGGGAAATGCAATGGCTTTCCATGCACTCAGGGAAAATATGTACAAAATGATGTACAGGTGGTACGTAACGCCCGTAAAACTGGAAAAAATATATAAAACTGGGGATAAATTATGCTGGAAGTGTAAGATTAAGGAGGGCGATTTTTATCATATGTGGTGGTTGTGCGAGCCTATTAGAAAATTTTGGGAATCTATTTATAATGAACTAAAAAAAATCTTTAAATATACCTTTATAAAAAGACCCGAAGCCTTTTTGCTGGGGATAATTGGAGAGGAAATCAAAAAGGAAGACCAAACACTCTTTCAGTACGCGACAGTGGCCGCCAGAACTCTAATAGCGCAGAATTGGAAGACACCAAGAATCCCAACCATAAATGAATGGCAATCTAAACTACTCGATTATCTAGAATTGGCAAAAATGACACAGAAAATAAGAAATCAAAAAGACACAAAGTTTAATAAAGATTGGAATAAATTCATGGCATACATGGAAGCAGAGGTAAAATAATAATAATTAAAAATCACAGTAGGTGTGATATAACACTTGTGATGTAAAAAATTTTTTGAGGAAAAGAAACTGCAGACAGAAAAATTTTATAACACATTCCGAAACCGAGATGAAGGGAAGTCAGTCAGTGTTATGTGGTCAATTTGTTGTTGTCTTATGTCAGGAGTATATATATATTTTATATATATATATATTTTCTCTCTATTTAGTTTTTTTGTGTGTGAATGTGTTGTGTATGTCTTTTTTGTTTGTATGGTGTTATAAAATGAATTAAAACCAATAAAAAAAAAAAGAAAGCCATTGCATAGGGAGCGGAGGTAAGTAAGAATGAGGAGAGGGCAAATGCAGAAAGTAGGCCTTTAAAGTGTTTTATTGCTATTTCTTCATCTGAAGATCTCAGAGCGGTTCACAAGGTACATTATCTGCTTTTCCTATGTGTAGTACTTGCAAAAGTGGTCCACGCAAGAAGGAAGTCACATTGTTAATCTTTTGATCCTGGGTACTGATGACAGCATAAATACTTGTTGTTTAGTTGTTTAGTTGTGTCTGACTCTTCGTGACCCCATGGACCAGAGCACGCCAGGCACTCCTGTATTCCACTGCCTCCCGCAGTTTGGTCAAACTCATGTTCATAGCTTCAAGAACACTGTCCAACCATCTCGTCCTCTGTCATCCCCTTCTCCTGGTGCCCTCCATCTTTCCCAACATCAGGGTCTTTTCCAGGGAGTCTTCTCTTCTCATGAGGTGGCCAAGGTATTGGAGCCTCAGCTTCAGGATCTGTCCTTCCAGTGAGCACTCAGGGCTGATTTCCTTAAGAATGGAGAGGTTTGATCTTCCTGCAGTCCATGGGATTCTCAAGAGTCTCCTCCAGCACCATAATTCAAAAGCATCAATTCTTCGGCGATCAGCCTTCTTTATGGTCCAGCTCTAAATACTACCAGCTTTTAAACATTTTTTTTTAAATGTGGAGACTCACTACCAGTTTAACAGTGCAATCGCAGCTGTATCTACTCTGAAGTCCCATTATATTAAATATTGCACCCTGACCATACTAACTGGGGATCAAGCTGCACTGAACGCTCATTTCTGAGCAAGCATGCAGAGGATGGCACTGTAAGCCCTTTTTCTTGTCAATGTGCCCTGATCATAGCTGTCAACTTTCAGATTTGAAAATAAGGGATTGGCAGCCTCGAAAATAAGGGATCAGCAGCCTCACCTGTCCCAGGGACAGTCTACGGGATATCTAACAATCCAGAATAGCAGCGGGAAGCAGCGGGAAATGGCGCTGGAATAAGGGAATTTCCCACAAAAAAATGGGAAGGTTGACAGCTATGGCCCTGATTATGAGAAAGACGTCGAGGGAATACATTTGCCCAACTCTTCTTCACCTTCAGAACAGAAACTGAAAGCAGAATCCTAAATGGTTAAGCTGCTGGATCAGATTAAGTGCTTATTTAGTTCAATATTGTTTGCCACAGTGGTCAACTAGCCCAGAAGCTGCACATGAAGGAATGATGCTGTTCAGTAACTAGTATTCAGAGGCATGCCGTTTCTGATCCTGAAGGCAGCATGATTTGTTGGGTGGTGGAATTTATTTAGCTTCCTCAGATGCTTGAGGAAGACCTGCATTTGAGAGAGGAGATTCTCCGAGTAGCATCCAGGAACAATTGTCTACGGCTGTTATGAGTGTGTACCTGGACTCACCTGTGCACAGCCAACCCCTGTTTATGTTCATATAAACACTGCTGAGAGGTTTAGGATCTTTTGCTGGCGTTATGACAGGCGCTTGTTATGGATGTATGTTAACCCTTAATCTTATGCCCACGAGAAGCTCTCACACAAATAAAGAAAGCTTGGTTTATTATAGAAAATGGGACAGAATATATAAAAATGCTGCTTTAGAAAGCAAAGTTACAGTCTAAGCAGGTAACAAATTACTATACATACACACCTTGATTAAAGAGTAAAAGATTCCCTAACTATTCTAAAGGCCTGCGGAAGCATAGGCATAACCCTCACTAGGAGAAGGGGGAAGAAAGTGTACCTGTCCCTAAAGTAAAGTGAAAGTGTGCAGAGTCCCAATGAGCTAGGAGAGCTAATTAGCCGTTGAACCTAGTTTTTTAAATATCTTTTTGCCAAGTCATGCCAGTGTATATGGGAGGGGGCTGTGAAATGAGTGATTCCTACAATTTCTATAATCCAGTTTTTCCTACCTAATTCTTACCTTGCCTATCTTTGGTCATCCTGTTCCTGTTTGCTTAACAAAAGGGTGAAACACTTGTGATAGTAAGCTACTATCTGCACCTGACAATCTCTTTTGATCTGTCTTCAAATCACCTTACCATTGTGGGGATGGATCTCATTGAGGAGTTCAGTAACCTATACTCAGCAAAATTAGACTGGTCATGTTGTTTGGATGCCTGATTATCATCTTCCAAAACAACTACTCTATTCCCAACTTAAGAATGGAAAATTGAAATACCAATGGACAACAAAAGAGGTTTAAAGACACTCTCAAGGCAAATCTTAAAAAATGTGGTATAAGCACTGATAACAGGGAATCACTGGCCTGTGAGTGCTCCAATAGGAGAACAGCCTTTACCAAAGGTGTCATGGACTTTGAAGACACTCAAACTCAGGGTGAAAAGGAGCAATGAGCTAAGAGAAAGGCACGTTTGGCAAACCCTCACCATGATCTACTCCCACCCGAAAACCTAGGTCCCCACTGTGGAAGGACGTGTGGATCCAGAATTAGCCTCCACAGTCACTTACGGACTCACTGTTAAGACTATGTTCATGGAAGACAATCTTACTTGGCTACGAATGATCGCCAAAGAAGGAGAACCTGTTTTTCTTCTTAAGACACAGTGACTCTTGGTTTCAAGTTTCATGTTCTAAATGGTAAAGTCATCTTAGCCAGCAATTTCCTTTTCCTTTTCCTTTTATTCTTTCACACCACACGGTGGTGCTAAAACAAAGCAGTATAGTGCAGACCCTTCCTGGCGCCACAAAATGCACATCCACACCCTGTTTTAAAGTTGAGAATGGCCTTTCAAGGATCAGTTTAGCCACACAGAAAAAAGACAAGAGAGTCTTTGGTCTCATGATGATGGGTTATTTTTGACCAATTGAGAAACACACACACACACACACACACACACACACACACACACACCCTTGATTAACTAATGAGTGAAAGATTGGAACAGATTGAAAGATTGCAGCCCTTTTCAAGAAAAGCAGAGCAAAATCTGGAGGGTGATTGGAGACTATCCTCCCTGGCATAAGGACTAGAAACTCTGAGGGACAAATTAGACAAGAGCTGGGTCAGTAAGCCCCATCCCTATCAACTACCAATAAAGGTAAATGGACCTCTGACCATTAGGTCCGGTCGCTGACGACTCTGGGGTTGTGGCGCTCATCTCACTTTATTGGCCAAGGGAGCCGGCGTACAGCTTCCGGGTCATGTGGCCAGCTTGGCTAAGCCGCTTCTGGCAAACCAGCGCAGCACACGGAAACACCGTTTACCTTCCCGCCCGAGTGGTACCTATTTATCTACTTGCACTTTGATGTGCTTTCAAACTGCTAGGTGGGCAGGAGCTGGGACCAAGCAACGGGAGATCACCCCATCACGGGGATTCGAACCGCTGACCTTCTGATCGGCAAGTCCTAGGCTCTGTGGTTTAGACCACAGCGCCACCCACGTCCTATCAACTACCAGTACCAGGCTCCAAATGCAAGTACTCCCTGCTCCTTTCTCTCCTTTGCCAGAGTTGTTGACACAACATGTTTTGCTGCCTGAGGCAAAGGATGTTACATCCTGCCCCCTAAACAGATACAGAAACTGACCTGCCTAGTAGTTAAACCTTACTTCAGCACCAGCAACGGGGCAGCATCCTGCACCACACCTCAGGGCAAAAAGTCAGTCATGCCACATGGCCTCAGGAGGAACAAGGTGAAAATGCTTCCACTATCCCCACTTCCTTCTGGTCCCTGAGGCAGCTGCCTTGCTTTGGTTAATGGTTTGGGGTTGATCTGTTCCCCTTCCCCTTTAACGGCAGACACTCCTAATTCTGTTAATACTACTATCGGGGAATACCCCAAGTAGCCAGGATGTACCTCTTGGTATCAACTTCCTCAGTTTTATTATCTGGAATGCTAGGCAGAAAATAACCCCAAAATCCCATTAACTCAATGACTTCTGCCTGTTTGCCCTCCCTGCTCCCAACTCTGCATTCTTGAGGAATCTCCCTACACATTCTGAGCCCCAAACCTCCAGAGCAGAGTTGGGGGCAGGGAGGAAGGGGAGTTCTGTCAAACAGGCAGAAGTCATTGAATTCTTTCCAGGTTTGCTTCCATTCTTATCACCAGGAGTTTGTACAGGGATGGCCATCTTTCTAAGATGTTTATCAGCGTTACGACACATATGAACTTCCAACGAGACTCTCCTCTGCCCTCGTGAACTTTGTCAATATTGTGTAAAAGAAATACCCAAAGTCCCCCCACCCCCAAAGCCCATGGCAGCAAGGAACATTCTGTCCTTGGGATTTAGTACATATTTCTCTTCAAATATATATCATTTTCCTTAACTGTGTAAACTTGCTGTTCTGTTTTGTAACTAGAAGCCTTTTCCATCTAAGTTTTCAAAACACACCCCTACTATATTTTAGACTTTGTGCGGTACTTGCCTTTGAATGATCATAGCCCAATGGCCTGTTAATAAAAATACTGCATTTTACAAAAATTATGGGGTGTTGCTTCAGTCTCCACTTTTTTTTAGCGCTAGCTGAGTTCTCTTCTACTAGGACTTTCTAAGCCCTACGGATTTGTGTGGGTGTGCATATCTACACATGGAGAATGATGTCATTATGTTTGGGAAAAATGTCTACGAGATTCATGTTTCTGCCACGCACCAAATAAAAAGAGCTATCTCAGAAAACAGTTGCTCTGAAAATGTAATGTTACTACAACATTGGTTGGGTACAAGAAATAACTTATGAGTTGTGCTGGAAATGCATTACGTGGAAAGACCTTAACAAAGTGCCAACAAAGAGTTTTCTGGAACCAGTCCAGTCCAAGAAGGACTGGACATTTCCTTAGCATTGCTATAAACAAAGAAGGGAGTTTTTACCCTCAAAAACAAAGAAGGGAGTTTTTACCCTCACAACTACCTTTGTGTTACCAGACAAATGGAGAATCTGTCAACATACAGCAGGCAGCCAGGAGATTGCGGTCCAGGGTTTATTTACCATACGAGCTTAAACTTGTTTTAAATGTCTTGTCTAAACTTGTTGAGAGGGAACCTTGACAATGGTAGTTCTCTCAGATGACTAGGGATCTCTAACAGAGAATTTGAAGCAGCCCCACCAATGGGTTCTTGGTGGGAATCCCTAATAATTAAATTGGCATAAAGTGGCTTTGAGTAGAGAGGAGCAAGCTCTTCAAATCTCTCTTTGGATTAACTTGGAAATGATACGGATCTTCCAAAGAAACTCCCATTGTTTCTTCAAGTCAATCTGGGGATTTCAGAAAATGCTGTCACCCATCCACTCCAGCTCTTGACAACCTCAAAATTCCTCCCTGCTAATCCTTTCTCACATGGACACACACACACACACATTCTCTGTCTCTCCCCTGCCCTGTTAAGTAGTGGTGGGAATGGCAAGCACACAGAGAGAGGCTGCACAGGAGATACTAGGAAGTTATTGCTGTGATGAGCTGCTAGAGGAAGGCCTGCCCCTCACCAGTGGAGCCAACTTGAACAAAAACATAGGGGTCAGTGGCAGTGTGGGCATTGGCAGAATGGCTAGGGCACTCATTCAGCCTCCCTCCCTTGGTCAGCTGCCTCCCTCCAGCTGGGTGCCCACCTCTTCTATGGCAGCTGCCCAGGCATATGGCATCCAACTATGAGGCAGCAGACTGAGGGAGGGAGGTT